GGGATGTAGCCTGCCTGAGACTACATATAAATATGTACTACTCATGTAATGTTCATTTGTCGTTAAAATTAGTCATATTTATTTCTCATTGTTTTCTGTATGCAAAACTATAGTTATTCTCTATAATTGTATTTTTTGTTAATATTTTTGGGTGTCTGAAACAGATTACTGTAATTGGATGTACATTATGTATTTCTTATGGGGAAATATTACTTCGGTTTTTGGTCATTTTGGATTTCGGCCAACGTTCTGGAATGGAATAATTGTGAAAACCAGGGGTCTACTCTACTATGATGCAATTGTCTCAAGGGTGGGAAGCCTTTGACTTATAAAGGTGGTCTTAACCAAGATTTGAGCATGAGAAGAATGTGACCCAGTAGACCCCAGTTCAGCCCTAGTTGAGTGAAGATGTATGGACAAGTCTGTCCTGTCCTTGTTCGCCTAACTTTGAAGACTAGGTACCAGGAACCTGTGAGCTATATCCTAAACAAGAGGACCTAGAGTACCTAATGGGATTAAGTCACATTACATAATTTTTTGTTTTCTTATCCTGGATTAATAGTTGAGCACAATTTTGGTTGCTCAACAGAAACCCACAAAACACCATCATAAAATAACCAGCAAACGAACTTGAAGAAACTATAACAGTGCAGACAAGAACTAACGGATCCATTTTCATCACAATGAAATGTGTTAAATCAGCCACATCTATGGAGAAAACAACAGGTTAGCAGATTACAAGACAGGCGAGATTTATAGCCCACCTGTTCAGTGAGTTGAATATACATTTGGAGCAAGTGTGGAAACGGTAGGTGCTTGCTTGTGCTAATTAGGATTATTATGAAGTCTGTAAAGGCCAGTGTAACAAGTTGCTGAACACCTGGATTGAGGGGAAACTGCACTTTGTGGTTCCATAGGCTGGTAAGCCCCAAAATTTTGGGAAACTCTCTGTGATTAGGTTGGTATGTATTCAGAGGAGTGCAACTTTGGTTTTAGATTTTCAGATAGCTGAAAGCCTTAATATGAAGCATACTATAGTACTGTACAGTATTTACATTGAGGAAGTCAGGGATACTAGAATGTGAAGTATGGCAAGTTGTACATACAGGTAAACAGTGGAAAAAATGAGGGGGGCTATGCTAATTTTAACATCTTGAACATAGCCATATTTTTCATACACATGACACCATTCATATTTTACAGCATAGAATATTAATATTCATAAGGTAGTAGGTTGGTAGACAGCAACCACCCAGGGAGGTACTACCGTCCTGCCAAGTGAGTGTAAAACGAAAGCCTGTGATTGTTTTACATGATGGTAGGATTGCTGATGTCTTTTGTCTGTCTCATAAATATGCAAGATTACAGGCATGTCTTGCTACTTCTACTTACACTTAGGTCACACTACACATACATATACACATTTATTTATACACACTCATCTGAGTTTTCTTTGATTTTATCTTAATAGTTCTTGGTCTTATTAATTTTCCTTTTATACCATGGGGAAGTGGAATAAGAATCTTTCCTCCGTAAGCCATGCGTGTTGTAAAAGTCAACTAAAATGCCGGGAACAATGGGCTAGTAACCCCTTTTCCTGTAAAGATTACTAAAAAGAATAAGAAGAAGAAAATTGTCAAAGTGGGAAGTCGGGAATTGCGTGGATGTTGTGCAGATGATAAGAAAGAGATGATTGTGGATGTTATGAATGAGAAGAAGCTGGATGTCCTGGCTTTAAGTGAAACAAAGCTGAAGGGGGTGGGAGAGTTTCAGTGGAGAGGAATAAAATGGGATTAGGTCAGGGGTTTCAAATAGAGTTAGAGCTAAAGAAGGAGTAGCAATAATGTTGAAGGATAAGCTATGGCAGGAAAAGAGGGACTATAAATGTATTAATTCAAGGATTATGTGGAGTAAAATAAAGATTGGATGTGAAAAGTGGGTTATAATAAGCGTGTATGCACCGGGAGAAGAGAGAAGTGAAAGAGGAGAGAGATTTTGGGAAATGTTGAGTGAATGCGTGGGGATTTTGAATCAAGTGTGAGAGTAATGGTGGTTGGGGATTTCAATGCTAAAGTGGGTAAAAATGTTATGGAGGGAGTAGTAGGTAAATTTGGGGTGCCAGGGGTAAATGTAAATGGGGAGCCTTTAATTGAGCTATGTGTAGAAAGAAATTTGGTAATAAGTAATACATATTTTATGAAAAAGAGGATAAATAAATATACAAGGTATGATGTAGCACGTAATGAAAGTAGTTTATTAGATTATGTATTGGTGGATAAAAGGTTGATGGGTGGGCTCCAGGATGTACATGTTTATAGAGGGGCAACTGATATATCGGATCATTATTTAGTTGTAGCTAACAGTTAGAGTAAGAGTAGATGGGAAAAGTGGAAGGTGGCAACAACAGTAAGAGGGAGGTGAAAGTGTATAAACTAAGGGAGAGGAAGTTCGGTGAGATATAAGCGACTATTGGCAGAAAGGTGGGATAGTGCAAAGATGAGTAGTGGGGGGGTTGAAGAGGGTTGGAATAGTTTTAAAAATGCAGTATTAGAATGTGGGGCAGAAGTTTGTGGATATAGGAGGGGGGGGGCAGGAGGAAAGAGGAGTGATTGGTGGAATGATGAAGTAAAGGGTGTGATAAAAGAGAAAAAGGTAGCTTATGAGAGGTTTTTACAAAGCAGAAGTGTTATAAGAAGAGCAGAGTATAATGGAGAGTAAAAGAAAGGTAAAGAGAGTGGTGAGAGAGTGCAAAAGGAGAGCAGATGATAAGAGTGGGAGAGGCACTGTCAAGAAATTTTAATGAAAATAAGAAAAAATTTTGGAGTGAGTTAAACAAGTTAAGAAAGCATAGGGAAAATATGGATTTGTCAGTTAAAAACAGAGTAGGGGAGTTAGTAGATGGGGAGATGGAGGTATTGGGTAGATGGCGAGAATATTTTGAGGAACTTTTAAATGTTAAGGAAGAAACAGAGGCAGTAATTTCATGCACTGGTCAGGGAGGTATACCATCTTTTAGGAGTGAAGAAGAGCAGAATGTAAGTGTGGGGGAGGTACGTGAGGCATTACGTAAAATGAAAGGGGTAAAGCAGCTGTAACTGATGGGATCATGACAGAAATGTTAAAAGCAGGGGGGGATATAGTGTTGGAGTGGTTGGTACTTTTGTTTAATAAATGTATGAAAGAGGGGAAGGTACCTAGGATTGGCGGAGAGCATGTATAGTCCCTTTATATAAAGGAAAGGGGACAAAAGAGACTGTAAAAATTATAGAGGAATAAGCTTACTGAGTAAAACCAGGGAAAAGTGTACGGTAGGGTTATAATTGAAAGAATTAGAGGTAAGACAGAATGTAGGATTGCGGATGAGCAAGGAGGTTTCAGAGTGGGGAGGGGATGTGTAGATCAGGTGTTTACATTGAAGCATATATGTGAACAGTATTTAGATAAAGATAGGAAGTTTTTTATTGCATTTATGGATTTAGAAAAGGCATATGATAGAGTGGATAGAGGAGCAATGTGGCAGATGTTGCAAGTATATGGAATAGGTGGTAAGTTATTAAATGCTGTAAAGAGTTTTTATGAGGATAGTGAGGCTCAGGTTAGGGTGTGTAGAAGAGAGGGAGACTACTTCCCGGTAAAAGTAGGTCTTAGACAGGGATGTGTAATGTCACCATGGTTGTTTAATATATTTGTGGATGGGTTGTAAAGGAAGTAAAAAGCTAGGGTGTTTTTGGGAGAGGGGTGGGATTAAATTTTGGGAATCAAATTCAAAATGGGAATTGACACAGTTACTTTTTGCTGATGATACTGTGCTTATGGGAGATTCTAAAGAAAAATTGCAAGGGTTGGTGGATGAGTTTGGGAATGTGTGTAAAGGTAGAAAGTTGAAAGTGAACATGGAAAGGAGTAAGGTGATGAGGGTGTCAAATGATTTAGATAGGGAAGGATTGGATATCGGATTGGGGAGGAGGAGTATGGAAGAAGTGAATGTTTTCAGATACTTGGGAGTTGACGTGTCGGCAGATGGATTTATGAAGGATGAGGTTAATCATAGAATTGATGAGGGAAAAAAGGTGAGTGGTGCATTGAGGTATATGTGGAGTCAAAAAACGTTATCTAGGAGGCAAAGAAGGAATGTATGAAAGTTAATAGATACCAACACTCTATAATGGTGTGAAGCTTGGTGGTAAATGCAGCAGCGAGGAGACGGTTGGAGGCAGTGGAGATGTCCTGTTTAAGGCAATGTGTGTGTAAATATTGTGCAGAAAATTCGGAGTGGGAAATTAGGAGAAGGTGTGGAGTTAATAAAAGTATTAGTCAGAGGCAGAAGAGGGGTTGTTGAGGTGGTTTGGTCATTTAGAGAGAATGGATCAAAGTAGAATGACATGGAAAGCATATAAATCTATAGGGAAGGAAGGCGGGGTAGGGGTCGTCCTCGAAAGGGTTGGAGAGAGGGGGTAAAGGAGTGTTTTGTGGGCAAGGGCTTGGACTTCCAGCAAGCGTGCGTGAGCGTGTTAGATAGGAGTGAATGGAGACGAATGGTACTTGGGACCTGACGATCTGTTGGAGTGTGAGCAGGTAATATTTAGTGAAGGGATTCAGGAAACCGGTTATTTTCATATAGTCGGACTTGAGTCCAGGAAATGGGAAGTACAATGCCTGCCACTTTAAAGGAGGGGTTTTGGGGATATTGGCAGTTTGGAGGGAAAATTTTTGTGTATCTTTATATGTTGTATGCTTCTAGACTGTTGTATTCTGAGCACCTCAGCAAAAACAGGATAAATGTGCAAAGTGTGTGAAAGTGTTTGAATGATGAAGAATGTATTTCTTTTGGGGATTTCTTTCTTTTTTTTGGGTCACCCTGCCTCGGTGGGAGACGGCCGACTTGTTGAAAAAAAAAAAAAAAAAAAAGTGTAACTATCATGCTATTCAAGACTTGACTCTGCTGTATATGCCTCTTATATGTGATCTTATTAGCAAGTTAATTAAAACCAGTAGGATGGCCTAGTCATGTGTAAATACTTCTCAGCAACAAATTGCTAAATCAGATATTAATGTTCACTACAATTTTCATTGCAGATAACAAGAATGATTTTACAGGAGATGGTTCCCAACCTCCCAGGCCTAAGGTAAGTTTTAATGAAATCAGCAAATAATACCATCCACAAATCAGGTACACAGGATTAAAAATTAGTTTTACAAAATACAGCACCTATATATCTGTAATATAAATATTTTTTTTTTAAACAGTGCCGGCTGTCTCCTACAAAGGTAGAGTAAGTAAGTAAGTTTATTTAGGTACTGATACACATAACTAGTTACACAAATTATCATACATAAGTAACATATGTGTAAATTACCTAGGATAGCCCAAGTCAGACATGATTTATTCCCCCCCCCCCCCAAAAAAAAAAAAAGGAAATTTGCTGTTACTAATTCAATAGATATCTTGCTAGGAGGCCACAAACATCACCTCTAAAAAATTTAAGTGACCCTCTGAACTGCAACATCCTCACCCCATCTTTAAAGTGAATTAAATTCTTGTAAAAAAATTGCAAAGCTCTTATTACCAGCATTATTTTTGAGGCATATTTATAAAAGCACATTAATTTAATAATGTTCAAATTTGTTGAAATAGAGTTTATACAAAGTTTTAAGTTACGATTATTTTTTTGTTTTCTGGTGAGCACTAGACCCATATGGATTATGGCTAATACTGTGAAGAATAATTAAATTCTGATGGAATGTATGTAAAAGAAAGAAATTAAAAGTGAGCATAAAAAAAAGGAAGATGAGAGTAACAAAAAAGTGTAGGCAATGAAAGATTGGAGGGAGGAAGTATGGAGGAAATAAATGTACTCAGATACAGTGGTACCTTGAGTTACACGCAGCTCCCAACTCGAACAGTTGTGTAAGTGTACTTTTGTAAGTTTTTTTGTAAGTGTATTTTTGGGGGTCTGAAACGCATTAATCTAATTTTCCTTATTCCTTATTACCTGGAGTTTACCTGGAGAGAGTTCCGGGGGTCAACGCCCCCGCGGCCCGGTCTGTGACCAGGCCTCCTGGTGGATCAGAGCCTGATCAACCAGGCTGTTGCTGCTGGCTGCACGCAAACCAACGTACGAGCCACAGCCCGGCTGATCAGGAACTGACTTTAGGTGCTTGTCCAGTGCCAGCTTGAAGACTGCCAGGGGTCTGTTGGTAATCCCCCTTATGTGTGCTGGGAGGCAGTTGAACAGTCTCGGGCCCCTGACACTTATTTATGGTCTTTAACGTGCTAGTGACACCCCTACTTTTCATTGGGGGATGGTGCATCGTCTGCCAAGTCTTTTGCTTTCGTAGTGAGTGATTTTCGTGTGCAAGTTCGGTACTAGTCCCTCTAGGATTTTCCAGGTGTATATAATCATGTATCTCTCCCTCCTGCGTTCCAGGGAATACAGGTTTAGGAACCTCAAGCGCTCCCAGTAATTGAGGTGTTTTATCTCCGTTATGCGCGCCGTGAAAGTTCTCTGTACATTTTCTAGGTCGGCAATTTCACCTGCCTTGAAAGGTGCTGTTAGTGTGCAGCAATATTCCAGCCTAGATAGAACAAGTGACCTGAGGAGTGTCATCATGGGCTTGGCCTCCCTAGTTTTGAAGGTTCTCATTATCCATCCTGTCATTTTTCTAGCAGATGCGATTGATACAATGTTATGGTCCTTGAAGGTGAGATCCTCCGACATGATCACTCCCAGGTCTTTGACGTTGGTGTTTCGCTCTATTTTGTGGCCAACAAATGGGAACAAATTCGTTCGGTATCGGTACTTGAACAGCCTTCTGGAACGAATTAAGCTAGTATCTCAAGGTACCACTGTATGTACTATTTGGGAGTGGACTTGTCGGCAGATGGGTTTACCTGGAGTTTACCTGGAGAGGGTTTCGGGGGTCAATGCCCCTGTGGCCCGGTCTGTGACCAGGCCTCCTGGTGGATCAGAGCCTGATCAACCAGGCTGTTGCTGCTGGCTGCACGCAAACCAACGTACGAGCCACAGCCCGGCTGATCAGGAACTGACTTTAGGTGCTTGTCCAGTGCCAGCTTGAAGACTGCCAGGGGTCTGTTGGTAATCCCCCTTATGTGTGCTGGGAGGCAGTTGAACAGTCTCGGGCCCCTGACACTTATTGTATGGTCTCTTAAACGTGCTAGTGACACCCCTACTTTCATTGGGGATGGTGCATCGTCTGCCAAGTCTTTTGCTTTCGTAGTGAGTGATTTCGTGTGCAAGTTCGGTACTAGTCCCTCTAGGATTTTCCAGGTGTATATAATCATGTATCTCTCCCTCCTGCGTTCCAGGGAATACAGTTTAAAGGGAACCTCAAGCGCTCCCAGTAATTGAGGTGTTTTATCTCCGTTAATGCGCGCCGTGAAAGTTCTCTTGTACATTTCTAGGTCGGCAATTTTCAACCTGCCTTGAAAGGTGCTGTTAGTGTGCAGCAATATTCCAGCCTAGATAGAACAAGTGACCTGAGGAGTGTCATCATGGGCTTGGCCTCCCTAGTTTTGAAGGTTCTCATTATCCATCCTGTCATTTTTCTAGCAGATGCGATTGATACAATGTTATGGTCCTTGAAGGTGAGATCCTCCGACATGATCACTCCCAGGTCTTTGACGTTGGTGTTTCGCTCTATTTTGTGGCCAACAAATGGGAACAAATTCGTTCGGTATTGGTACTTGAACAGCCTTCTGGAACGAATTAAGCTAGTATCTCAAGGTACCACTGTATGTACTATTTGGGAGTGGACTTGTTGGCAGATGGGTTTACCTGGAGTTTACCTGGAGAGGGTTTCGGGGGTCAATGCCCCTGTGGCCCGGTCTGAGACCAGGCCTCATGCTGGATCAGGGTCTGATCAACCAGGCTGTTACTGCTGGCTGCACGCAAGCTGACGTATGACCCACAGCCTGGTTGGTCAGGTACCGACTTTAGGTGCCTGTCCAGTGCCTTCTTGAGGACAGCCAGGGGTCTATTGCTAATCCCCCTTATGTTTGCTGGGAGTCAATTGAACAGTCTTGGGCCCCAGACACTTACTGTGTTGTCTCTCAGTGTACCCGTGGCACCCCTGCTTTTCATTGGGGGAATGTTGCATCTCCTGCCGAGCCTTTTGCTTTCACATGGAGTGATTTTTCAAGTTTGGTACCAATCATTCCAGGACCTTCCAAGTGTATATTATCATGTATCTCTCTCGCCTGCATTCAACGGAATACAGATCAAGGACCTTCAACTGTTCCCAGTAGTTTAGGTGCCTTATCGCACTTATGAAGGATGTAGTTAGCCTAAACCACTCCTACTTAGCTATTTTAATTTTCATCATTTCTTTTGGTGTGGGTTGACATAAACTGTCCTCTTCAACACCACTGGCCATTGATAACTCATTATCATCCATGTTCACATTAGGAATTATCACATAGTTATTACAGTATTATCTACAAGGATGGAATTATTACAATATTATGTATGTAGAGAAGGACTAAACCCATAGAAGTCATACAGCATCTTGGGAAATGGAAGACAATCTGGTTTGTTCCAAGGAAGGGATTGTCATGTCCAATTCCTTGAATCAAGAAACCCTTACCTTGAGGGATGGAGGCATTATAAAGTGTCACAATTGCAGCAAGCCTCGAAGAGTAATTCAAAATCCTAATGCTTATATAAAAATGGGGTAGGGGAGGAACAGTATCAAAATATTTTGACACAATTTAAATATGTGAGTGGCTGCAAAATTTGTGCCCCACTTGCTACTCAAGACTAGAAAGAGCATCATTTTCTGGCTAAAAACAACATGGTGATCGTCCCCCACCCTCCCTACTCCCCAGATCTAGCCCCCTGTGTCTTCTTTCTCTTCACTAAAATAAAAATAGTACTCAAGGAGTGGTGTTTTAACATGGAGGAGATTCAAGCAGAATTGCAGGCCACACTAGATGCCATTAGGAAAGATTTAGAAATGCTTCATGGCAATCCAGGAATGTTTTGATAGTGTCTTGTATGTGTAGTCACGGACTCGTTTCCTGGATGGTGAGGCAGAGGAAGATCTGGGCTGGATTAGTGCAAGTTTGTTGTGTTCTTTGGTCTGCCTGTCTGTCAAAAGTTGAAGCTGCTTTACGGCTAAGAGGTTTTTGTTTAACCCTTTCAGGGTCGACAGGCCCTCTCAGAGACTTGTTCTCAGGGTCGCCCAAATTTAAAAAAAAATGATTTTTTCTTATGAAAAAATAGAGAATAGTTTCCTGATCATAATGACACCAAAAGTATGAAATTTGATGGAAAAGTTATGGAATTATGCTCTCGCGAAGTTAGCGGTCTCGACGATGTTTACGCATCGGCGATTTTGCCCACTTTGAGCCCAATTTTCGGCCAATTCCACTGTACAAGTCAACAAAAATCATGAATATTTCGCTAGAACTCCATTTTTTCTATCGAATGAGTGCAAGAAACCACCCATTTACCGATTTCAACTATCCAATACAGTGGTCAGAATTTAGCAATTTTGCCAACTTCACACAAATTTCAAAAGATGCCAATTTCCAAATAGGGTCCAGAATAAACAAGAAAGACATTCCTGGCCCTAAAATGACATTTCCTCTGTTCATTAGTCACGTCCCAATGCCCCTCTTACATTCTTTTGCTTTCCACTTTGAATTTTTATTCTCACAAAAAATAGAAGATTTACTGTTATGCAGACTACTGCATTAGTGTAAAAAATGGTATAAATAACATCGGCACACTTGTGAAAGAATATTAGACTCACCAGTTGACGTGTATTGGACACTTAGCATGATTTGTTTACTTTTGAACTTTGATAAAAATCGAACATTTCTGCTACTTTGAGCTCAATTTCACGGTACTTTTCATTGTAAAATCAATCAAAATCATCTCAGTTTCTGTAATATGATTTCCATTCTATAGAATGAGACCAGGAAAACTAGAATACAACAATAAATACCATACGAAAATACAGTGCAAAGTCGCTGTTTTAATCCAAAAACACGGTCAAAGTTTTTTTTTTTCTCATTACGCACTGTGTGCTGCAGGATTTTTTTTTATACTGCGCACACTCACCACATAGACCCATTCTTTCATATGTAGGCCTACCAGCTTTCTCTCACTAGATTTGAGGGCGCTTGAATTTAGGCGTACTAGTACGTCAAAAACCCTGGTGCGTAAGCCGTACTATATGGCCGAAACCCTGAAAGGGTTAAATGATGAGAAGCATGAGGTGAAGGTGGTGACTGGGGTTCTGGAGGTTGTGGATGGAGTGGAGGTATTAGGGGTAGTGGTGAATGTGAACCAGAGTTGATGTTATGGTAGAGGGGATTGTGGCAAAAGTGGTAGGTATAGCGATTGTGAAGTAAAGAGTGGTATTAGAGGAAGACGGGGTTGTCGAAGATGAGTGTGTGGGGGAGGGTGGGGGTAGAAGTGGTGGAAGGGGGTGAGGAGTAAGTTTGGTATGGAAGGGGTGGAAGGAAGGCAGGAATGTGAAATGAGATTAGGAAGATTGTCTGCAGTGAGCATAAAGTTTGAGTGAAGTCGTTATGGAAACCTTTGGCTATTGCCATTTCAACTTGTACAGCATTGGTGATGAGGCAGAAGTTTTGTAGTCAGTAGAGTGTGTTGGGGGGGGGGGAAGGGGAATCTGTTAACTGGAGCTGCTGGATAGATATGGTTTGGTGGTGGAAAAAGGATTGGTGGTGGGGGAGGGGAAGCAGGGGAGTGGAGAAGCCCAGGCATTGAAGGGTGGAGTGGAATTTACCAGTGGCTGTGCTGACTGCAGAGTTTGTGAGGAGAAAAGATTTATGGGGAGAATATGGCTTGTCTTTTTTTGAATGTGGAAGTGTACTCTTTACAAAGATGGCAAAGGTTGGCTACACCAGTGTATGTGGTTACCACAAATGGGGCACTTGATGGGGAGATTGCATGTAATCCAGAAGTGGCCAATGGCTGAGCATCTTGAACATATTTGTTGGGATGTACAGGTTTTGGTGAGGTGTCCAAACTTATAGCATTGCAAGCATTGTGGCTTGGTTGGCAACGCTCTTGCCTTACACACTGAGTGTCCGTGGTTCGGTTCCTGGCACGGGTGGAAATATTGGGCATGGTTCCTTACACTTGCTATCCCTGTTCACTTAGCAGTAAGTAGGTACTTGGGTGTTAGTCTACTGGTGTGGGTTGAATCCTGTGGGGACAAGATTGAAGGACCCCAATGGAAAAAAGAGAGAGAGTCTTCGATGATGCATTGACTTTCTTGTGTTATTTGGGTGGTTAACTCTCTGGGTTAAAATTCACCCAAAATCTCATGTTATCTTAAGGAGGGACGCAAATGGTTTCAGTACGAATGAAGCATTTCAGGTGTACAGCATGAAGAGGAGTAGAACAGTGTATTTTGAGGATGTTGGAGTTGAAGGGGCGGTAGATGTCTTCCACAGCGATGCTCTTGGTGGTAAGGACATGTATGAGGTCAGTTGTGTCAGACTCATGGACAGTCAGTAATGGTTTGTAGACATATTTTGCAATGGCAGTACATATACATGTACTTTAGGTGTAGTGTTCAGGTATCCAGATGTTGGTAAAGTCATTGATGACATGTGGTGGGATTGGTGGAAATATTGTAAGAGTTCTGGTCGAGTAGTAGCTTGAAGCCAGTGTGTATTTTGAAGATGCTAAATTTGTGGAACTTGGGTTAGTTTGAAAATATTGCTGGTAGAGATAGCGTTGTGGTCAGGTGTAGGGTACTTCAGGCAAGTGCAGGTAGGAGGAGGGGCTGTGAGGCATCATCCTGGACAGGATGGAAGGAGCAGTATTGTTGGTCTACTTGTTGAAGAAACAGGAGACTCAAAGCCTGGGGACATCAGGATTAGTCACACAGCAAGCTGGAGGCAAGAAAGGCTGACATAGCTGCTGGTGTGGTACTCTGGAACATGTCAGGGGCATCTCTGGGGGTCCTTAAGGGACCCTCTGTAGTATTGCAGATTTTGGCACCCAGCAGTGTGTCTAGGCCTGCAGAAGGTTACAGTGCTGGAGGTGCAGCAAGAGTAGCTGAAGGCTGACATTACAAGACTACAATACACATGACTACACAAAACAAGACTATGCTATATAATATAACACTATACTGCATAATACACCACACCACACTAGACAAAACTATACTACACTAGACAAAATTACACTAGACAAAATTACACTAGACAAAATTACACTAGACAAAACTATATTACACTAGGCAAATCTACACTAAACTAGACAAAACTACACTACACTAGACAAAATTACACTAAACTACACTCAGCCCTAGACTAACCATTAAGCAATAAAAGGATATGCTTAGGGCACCAAGGGAAGGGGGGCACCACAGAGTACCAGTACCATAGTTGTAGCCATCAAATATTCCCAAATGAGGCACAAGTGTCTCATGATGCAAAATGGATGAACATTAGGCTCAGACATCTTACAGGGTAGAAGAAGGGAATTTATAGGTGTATCAAAAGAGGGGAGGGTCATCTTATGAATAAATATACTCTCATTAAGAGGGAGGGTAAAGAAAGCATAAGAAAAGCTAAATGAGACTATGAAATTAAAGTTGCTTTTGAGAGTGGTATATGTGAAATCAGTCATCCAAGTAATCAGTCAGTCTTAATGAGACTAAGCTTGCAAAAATTATGCACTTTTTATTTTGTTTCTTGTAGGGAGTATTGAGGACCATTCCAGGGAAAAATAGATACTAAAGCACTTCCAGTTGCTCAGATCAAGACTTCCTTCAATTACAGGTGGCCATATTCAAGGACTAATTCCTTATTATAAACAGTTGAATCTGTGGTTACCTCTAGTCATCTCTTCTTGTTTGGGAAATAAGTTATTATTTAGTCTCAGTATTTCAATGATAAACTGTACATCACTATTGTGTTGTTTTATTTATTTTGCAGGGAAAGTTGACACGTCCAAAACCTTGTTATTTATGGACGACAGCTGATGTACAGAAGTGGTTCAAGCGTCACTGTAGTGAATACTTCCAGCTGTATTCTCACCTGCTCATTATGGTATGTAAATTGTAGGGATGGAACAATACCAGTTTTGTTGCCGATGTTGATGCCATCAAAATTAGTCAATGCCCATCAGTACTGGTACTCATACTGCTACCATAAAGTGGCTAGTACCCACCGATACTCAGTTGTATACAAATCCCATCAGAATTAACTAATACCTATACAGATATTGATACTTTGACACTGCCCTAGTAAATTGCCTATCCTAAATTATTCATGACAAATGTAATAATATAAGATTACACATAATATTAAAGATAAACCCAAAGAATTACATGCATTTTGGTCAGTGCATGATTCAAGAAAGGTATCCCCATATTCCATAATCCCAGCCTTTTCTGTCACAAGACATCCACAAAAAAAATAAAAATATTGGGTGGTCATCAAATTTCAATATAAAAAATGTATACCTGTGTGTTTTTTTTTTATTATTATTATCACACTGGCCGATTCCCACCAAGGCAGGGTGGCCCGAAAAAGAAAAACTTTCACCATCATTCACTCCATCACTCTCTTGCCAGAAGGGTGCTTTACAATACAGTTTTTAAACTGCAACATTAACACCCCTCCTTCAGAGTGCAGGCACTGTACTTCCCATCTCCAGGACTCAAGTCCGGCCTGCCGGTTTCCCTGAACCCCTTCATAAATGTTACTTTGCTCACACTCCAACAGCACGTCAAGTATTAAAAACCATTTGTCTCCATTCACTCCTATCAAACACGCTCACGCATGCCTGCTGGAAGTCCAAGCCCCTCGCACACAAAACCTCCTTTACCCCCTCCCTCCAACCTTTCCTAGGCCGACCCCTACCCCACCTTCCTTCCACTACAGACTGATACACTCTTGAAGTCACTCTGTTTCGCTCCATTCTCTCTACATGTCCGAACCACCTCAACAACCCTTCCTCAGCCCTCTGGACAACAGTTTTGGTAATCCCGCACCTCCTCCTAACTTCCAAACTACGAATTCTCTGCATTATATTCACACCACACATTGCCCTCAGACATGACATCTCCACTGCCTCCAGCCTTCTCTTCGCTGCAACATTCATCACCCATGCTTCACACCCATATAAGAGCGTTGGTAAAACTATACTCTCATACATTCCCCTCTTTGCCTCCAAGGACAAAGTTCTTTGTCTCCACAGACTCCTAAGTGCACCACTCACCCTTTTCCCCTCATCAATTCTATGATTCACCTCATCTTTCATAGACCCATCCGCTGACACGTCCACTCCCAAATATTTGAATACATTCACCTCCTCCATACTCTCTCCCTCCAATCTGATATCCACTCTTTCATCACCTAATCTTTTGGTTATCCTCATAACCTTACTCTTTCCTGTATTCACTTTTAATTTTCTTATTTTGCACACCCTACCAAATTCATCCACCAATCTCTGCAACTTCTCTTCAGAATCTCCCAAGAGCACAGTGTCATCAGCAAAGAGCAACTGTGACAACTCCCACTTTATGTTTAATTCTTTATCTTTTAACTCCATGCCTCTTGCCAAGACCCTCGCATTTACTTCTCTTACAACCCCATCTATAAATACAGTGGACCCCCCGCATAACGATCACCTCCGAATGCGACCAATTATGTAAGTGTATTTATGTAAGTGTGTTTGTTCGTGTATGTTTGGGGGGTCTGAAATGGACTAATCTACTTCACAATATTCCTTATGGGAACAAATTCGGTCAGTTCTGGCACCTGAACATACTTCTGGAGTGAAAAAATATCGTTAACCGGGGGTCCACTGTATATTAAACAACCACGGTGACATCACACATCCTTGTCTAAGGCCTACTTTTACTGGGAAATAATTAACCTCTTTCCTACATACTCTAACTTGAGCCTCACTATCCTCATAAAAACTTCACTGCTTTCAGTAACCTACCTCCTACACCATACACCTGCAACATCTGCCACATTGCCCCCCTATCCACCCTTTTCCAAATCCATAAATGCCACAAAGACCTCTTTAGCCTTACCTAAATACTGTTCACTTATATGTTTCACTGTAAACACCTGGTCTACACACCCTCTACCTTTCCTAAAGCCTCCTTGTTCATCTGCTATCCTGTGTGTGTGCTTGTGAATTTCTGTACATATGTGCACTTTCATGTGTTATACAGTATGTGTGTATGTATTTATGTGCATATGTCTGCATGTGCTCAGAATTCTCAGTATTCTGAGCACCTCTGCAAAAGCAGTGATAATGTGTGTGTGGTGAAAGTGTTGAATGATGAAAGTATTTTCTTTTTGGGGATTTTCTTTCTTTTTTGGGTCACCCTGCCTCGGTGGGAGACGACCGACTTGTTGAAAAAAAAAAAATGTCTGCATGTTTCTTTTTGTAGTAATTATGTAATTTTTTTGTATGTGCCTATGTATACTTACGCATATGTGTATTTTTGTATGTCTTCTTTCTTTCAACGCACCAGCCGTATCCCACTGAGGTGGGGTGGCCCAAAAGGAAAAACAAAACTTTCTCCTTTTAAATTTAGTAATATATACAGAAGGGGTTACTAGCCCCTTGCTTCCGGCATTTTAGTCGCCTCTTACGACACGCATGGCTTACGGAGGAAGAATTCTGTTGCACTTCCCCATGGAGATTTTTGTATGTATCTCAGAATATATATTTAGATTGCATTGCTGTTGCCTTTTTTATAAGGTATATTCATGTGTTTGACACCCACAATATTGTACTTTTTATGAATATAGTCATCTACCACTACCGTGTTTCTTTATGAGGAATTCCCTTGTGGTTTAGCACTTCTTTTTTATTATAATAATAATAATCTATGAGGAATGTCTTGATGCAAAAGAATTTTTGATCCAAGGATTTGGAACTGCCTCTCCCTTCCTTGAATCAAAGCTGATTACCTTTCATTCCTCAAGGCACTGTATCATACAGATTAAGTACAGTGGACCCCTGCCTTACGATCAGCTCCCAACTCAAACAATTATGTAAGTGTATTTTTGTAAGTACTTTTGTACGTGTATTTTTGGGGGTCTGAAACGGACTAATCTAATTTACAATACTCCTTATGGGAACAAATTCGTTCAGTAACGGCACCCGAACAGACTTCAGGAATGAATTAATATCCTAAGGCGGGGTTCCACTGTACTTCCTTATGAATTAAATTATTATAATGTACTCCTGTTTGTTAAATTATAGTATGGTACTTCACGTTGTCTTATGTTCCTACCTCCCAAGCTATTTTTACCCTATACCAATGCACTCAAAATATTCTCATGTTTTAATTCCACAGAATGACATAACAGGTAAGGCACTAGTACGGATGAGTGAGGGGACGCTCATCAGGATGGGCATCAAACACCCAGAACATGTTGAGGCTATTTGGCGAGAGATCCTCAAGCAGCGCCTCAAGGCTGATATCCAAGAGATGAAGGAAATAGAAATGAGTGCTATTGTATCATAAAGATGCACAAGAGATTTGGGACAATAATTTGTGAGATGAGCTTATGAAGATTATGAAAATTATCCCCAGTACTAATGGTAGGTAAAATAATTTTTTTACCGGGAAATTTAAACCCAACGTACCTGAAATGAAATCTTACATTGCTCCTTAGCCTTAGCCCAATATACCGGTGCATCTCAAATATACTCCCTTCAGAGGGAATGCTGGTGAAGGACTTGATCAGAGGAATTGGAGCTACCTCTCCCTAGAATAGAACTCTACCTCCTATTCCAAGGTGGCACAAAGTAACCATTATGGGTATAGTGATTTACTAATATAATACACAGAAGAGGCAGGGCCAGGAGCTCTGACTCTTGTGTCAGATATATGCGCACACATTCTCTCTCACCTTGTTCCGTTATACCACAGCTGAAATCTTATATTGGATAGTTCAACTATTCTGTTACAATATAAAATCTGGTAATGGTTGAATTTAAGCTCTAACAACCCTGTTTCCAGTTGGATATTGACCAGCACAGCCTGCTATACTTAAATCTTGGGAATGGACAAGAAAAATTCATTATCTTTTTACACTCTTGTTAAACTGGCAGGACTAGATATTAATAAGACATATACAACACCTTGGTATCTTTATTGATGAAAGGTTTGCAGACAAATGGTAAAACATCAACAGTATGGTAAGACACTGCAATGGAGTCATTATTGTAGTGTTTCAACACAGGTTGCTCTTATCATATACATAAAACATGACAGACAGTCACAACTTGTATAGTATGTTAAGGATGTCACATGCTGTGTGAGGTTTGAAATGTCATCTATTGAGTAGAGAACCACTGCAGCAGGACTACTGGCCCTCCCAAGGATTGTTTTTTTTGTTCTAATGTGGGGTGTGGATGTGCCTAAAGCAAGCATTCTGCTATTTTGAGTATTTGTATTAGCGAGTTTAATAGATGATTATTTAAGGCATCTGGTTTTTGTCTAATTTTTAATAAAAGTGTTGCTCTGTCCCCACACCATGAGATGGGAATGGTGGGCAATAGACCAACACTATGAAACTGACAAGATAAAACAGATACCTTGAATAAGTGCCCATTAAACTCGCTAAAACAATTAAAATAGTGGTATGTTTGCTTTATCCACACCCATAGCTTACATATTAGAACAGAGAAACAAACCTCACATGGGCCAGTAGACCTGCTGCAGTGTTTCTCTATTCAACACCTGACACCTCAGCTCTCTCACATGCTGAGCACCTGACTTCCCAAATGTACTTGTGGTTTAATTTATATGAAAAAGTTACACAGTGCCTAAAATTACAGTATATATATATTTAACAAAAAAAATTCTTGTTTACAATCATAGGGGCAGATATTCTGTACTGAGTTGTCTTGTTTTTAAAGATAATCACCAAGCTAATTTTTTTTTATTATTAATATAAAGCAGTCCTCTTGCAGACTACATGGGGAATAGTGTTCAAGTTTGGTTAAACAGTTACATTAATAGTGTGAGCTAGTTATTTCAGTGCTAGATATGATTGTGTCTTCTAAGTTTTTTTTTTTTTAGCTAAATGCATTCTCTGATTATGTTTTCTAGATTAAGAGAGGCTGCACAAGATTGGGAGAATTCTGAGAGAGTCCATACTAAAAGTGGGACCTTTATATTTATCAAAATTATTCTATTCTTGTGCAGTTTCTCTTTATCTAAAAACTGTAATGAGATAATGAATTCAGATTAAAAAATACTTAAAAGACACAAGCATATCTAACAGTGAAACAACTGGTTCACACTTTATTAATGTAACTGTTTAACTGTACTTGAACATTATTCCTTATGTATTCTGCAAGATGGCTTTGCTTAATATTAGTAAACAAAAAAGACCAGCTTGGTGAATATCACTAATAACAAGACAGGTAAGACACACATGCAACAGTTAGACAACTTTATTCCGAAACGTTTCGCCTACACAGTAGGCTTCTTCAGTCGAATACAGAAAGTAGGCAGGAACAGTAGAGATGTGAAGACGATGTAATCAGTCCATCACCCTTGTAGTCGTAGAATTTGAGGTTGTCAGTCCCTCGGCCTGGAGAAGTTCAGTTCCATAGTCAGGAACTATCTGAAGATCAAGCTTGACTGATTACATCGTCTTCACATCTCTACTGTTCCTGCCTACTTTCTGTATTCGACTGAAGAAGCCTACTGTGTAGGCGAAACGTTTCGGAATAAAGTTGTCTAACTGTTGCATGTGTGTCTTACCTAACAACCTGTCGGTATTGTATACCATTTTGATGTTCAATAACAAGACAGCTCACTACAGTACTTATCTGCCACTGTGATTATCAATCAACTATTTTTGTTTACTGCACTTTATAGGCACTATAGGACTCAAACTGGTTTAGCATTTTTTTTATAAATACTATATAGCAGTTGCATTTTATGTAAGAATAAAAATCTTTATTAAATTAATGCTAGACTGTTTAGTGCTTCCCCCTTGATTATAATAATAATAATGCTAGACTGTGATCTCACTTTTGGCCCTTCAAGGAAGGTGCCATGATAGCAGAAATGGGCACTTGATCCAAAGAATTAGACCCACCTTACCTTTCCTTGGACTGAACCCAATAGCCTTCCATTTCCTCAGGCACTCTATGACTAATAGCTTTAGCACTTTTGTCATGAATATAATGATATAACCAAAGCAACTCATTTACGTTGAGCTCTAATCTAACTGTATGTTTAGACTTCGGGCTTTACTGGTAAACTCTTCATTATCCAGGTAGCAACCAGTCATAGCTCTCATGCCACTGAAGTTACTACGACCATGCATCAATCGCCAGTTGTCAGAAAGTAGCACTGTCCCTGTATATAAGAAAAATATGCTTTGTAAATTTCAGAAAAAATGTCTCTAATTTAGCCAATAGTTATGCATGACAATTTATTTAATATTTTGCTAAGAATCAATGTCTTATTCTTTCAATAAAGTTTAAAATTAAATTAATCTTTCAATTACATTTCAGCAAGCACTACTTTGTACTTCACCCCACCCTGAACCTCCTTAGTATGCCTTCTTGCTGAAAGTATTTTGGTATGAGGAATTGGAGGTACTCTCCCTTCTTGTATTAAACATGATTACCAAATATTCACCAGGTGCAGTAGGACTCCTACAGGTTCAACACTACATGCCTAGAATTATCATAAAGAAGAGCTAAACCTTCAAGGGTCATACAGCAGTCGTACCTAGAATAGTATAACTACTATGAATAGTTCTTAGACTTCTTAAAGGTTCTATATTCCTGGGTCATTTCCCACACCTATGAACAGCCTGCAACAACAATAATAATAATACTCCAAGTGGGATACCTTAATTCCAGTGAAGGGTTTGTATTTTGAGGAATTTTATCTATGCTCCCCTTCCTTGGATCAAATCTGGTTACCTCTCATTCCCAAGGCACTGTATGACCCCTATAAGTTTAGTGCTTCCCCATTAATGTAATAGTACATTAATGACACAAATTTATCCTATCAAAGAGCAACAAAAAGTTCACAAGTGCAGTACTGCATTACAAAATTTATATTTGTAGTTCTAACAATGTGAGTTAAAGCTTGTGCTGAATATTACATATATTGTACAGTACAAGCCTGGCCCATTACCGGGCTCCAGGAGTCAAAGAACTCTTGGAACTCAAAGGTATGTCATACTACCTCAAAGGTATATCATAGTACCTCAAAAGTATATCATTGTACCTCAAAGGTACTATGAAACTATATTTCAAAGACCCTTAAAGTCATATAGCAAGTTAACCAGGGATCTTCCATATGCACTATCAGATGCCATCCAATTTTTGTAAAAACTACGTATATGTACACATAAACTTATTACAGGAGGGCCCCGCTTATACAGCATGTTAGGTTCTGGGCTACTGCTGTAGAGCAAAAAATGTTGTAAAGTGAAACATAACCTTTTTTCGCTTTCAAATGTAGTATATAAAAGCATGATAACATGTTTACAATATCAAATATTAAGTGAGCAATAGAGCTAGGCCTAAAGAATGCATATACAGTACACATATAACTTACTTTAAAATATTTTCATCTTTAGTTTATAGTGAGTACTGAATATATTTATTGTAGGAAGTCTGAGCAAATAAAAAATGGGTAGAATTGAAAACCACTGCATTAGCGAAACGTCATAAGTGAAGTGCTGTAAAGCAGGGCCCTCCTGTATTATATCAAATTGAATAAGTTAATTACTGTGAACAGCCTCTCCTCACTTAACGACGGAGTTCCGTTCCTAAGACCACATTGGCAAACGAACTGATCGCTAAGCAAGGAGCATACTATAATGGTAGTGAGTTTGTGTCAACCATCTTTTATATTGTTTCAATGTCACCTTTGCACTATTTATAACACTTAGTATATTTTTATATAGTAGAGTACTGTATATTGTAATAAACAGAATAAGAGAAAATCAGCTCTTAATATATGTTATTTAGGTATGCATACTGGTCAGAGAGCCTGTCGTAAGTCTGAGTCATCGATAAACGAGTATGTCGCTAAGTGAGGAGAGGCTGTATTTAAAATATACATTTCTTTAACCAACCATTACCTGGTTCCAATTTTAGCCAATATTCATTCTTAGGGTTCCTAACGATCCTAGTGAGATTGTTAAAATGCAAGTAGAATTCTTGTATCTTCTTCATGGGTAGTGACGACAGAGGAGCACGATCATATATGTTGTACCTGTAACAACAACAATTAATTTACTCCATGTTTTATTTATTAAAAATATCTAACCATTCATAAATAGGAAAATAAAAATGAGTGGCCAAGTTGCACAATTCCCATTTTACAGAAATTTTGGTAAACTTAATGTCAATTTAAGATAATAAATGAAGGCAGAGTACTCAATATGTATTTGACATCCTTTCTGCTGTTTTCCTTACCACCACCTCTTTCCCTCATCCTTCCTGCTGATGTTTTCCTTACCACCACCTCTTTCCCTCATCCTTCCTGCTGATGTTTTCTTTACCACCACCTCTTTCCCTCATCCTTCTGCTGATGTTTTCCTTACCACCACCTCTTTCCCTCATCCTTCCTGCTGATGTTTTCTTTACCACCACCTCTTTCCCTCATCCTTCCTGCTGATGTTTTCTTTACCACCACCTCTTTCCCTCATCCTTCCTGCTGATGTTTTCCTTACCACCACCTCTTTCCCTCATTCTTCCTGCTGATGTTTTCCTTACCACCACCTCTTTCCCTCATCCTTCCTGCTGATGTTTTCCTTACCACCACCTCTTTCCCTCATTCTTCCTGCTGATGTTTTCCTTACCACCACCACTTTCCCTCATCCTTCCTGCTGATGTTTTCCTTACCACCACCTCCTCCCCTCTACTATCCCTCTTATCTTTGCCACACAGCACTGAATCCTTACAAATTTAGCACTTTACATGAATGTATATGCATTTTGAGGTGAACACGTGTCAACTGTATTATTTGGAAAGCAACTATGTTAAGTGACAATTCAAACTACTATTTGGCACCTTTGCTGTAGACTCTCACTGATTTCCTAATACTGTGTTCCATCAACAATTGTAACTATCATCCTTTCAGCCCATGTTCTTCCCTAAACACCCACACCACTTCCCACCCCCCACCTGTCCCCTTCTTCCATTCCCTCTGCTAGACTGCTGATGACTCATGGGTTAAGTGCTTTCCACAAGTGTAATAACTGACACCACAACACACTACTGTATATGGAAACCATTCTACATACATGATTTTTTTTTTTTTTCAACAAGTCGGCCGTCTCCCAACGAGGCAGGGTGACCCAAAAAAGAAAGAAAATCCCCAAAAAGAAAATACTTTCATCGTCATTCAACACTTTCACCACACTCACACATTATCACTGTTTTTGCAGAGGTGCTCAGAATACAACAGTTTAGAAGCATATACGTATAAAGATACACAACATATCCCTCCAAACTGCCAATATCCCAAACCTATTATTATTATGATAAATTATTTGATCAAAAGTATAATACTGTACTAACACACTGAGATACATGAAACATCCATGTATTTTTATTAAATGTTTTGCCTGTGCAGCAAACCTTATTACTTTAATACAGAAGGATGAGGGCAGAGACTTTTATATGGGTACTGGGGGAATACATCATCACATGTGGGAATGCCCCACTAGTGGAAGTCATGCCCACAAAGGAATTAAGGTGGGTCCACTACATTGCTAAATCTTTGGTTCATCTTATTTGTTTGACCAACTTCCACTAGTGGATCCAACCTACATGTGACAATGTCTTCAACCACTGCACCTCTTCACTTCTTCCACTGACTAATATAAAGATCTCTGTCCTCGTGCCTCTATTAGTTTGATAAAGCTTATTGCACAGGCGAAATGTTTCTCATTAGATAACCAGGTGTTGCACATGTATCTTATTCATTAACCAAATAAACCTTACAGTAAATGACTTCTACGTAGAAAAAAACAAAAAGGTAAATTTTTAGACCTAAATCTAGAAAAAATTTAATTACATCCAAGTAGTCTATCTGAACTTTTTTTTTTTTTTAACACATCGACTGTTTCCCACCAAGGCAGGGTGTCCCAAAAAAAGAAGAAACACTTTCATCACTTATTCCATCACTGTCTTGCCAGAGGTGCTGTTTGAATGGGCTCTAAGCATGAGAACAATTCCCAGGTACAAAGACTATCAATATGCACAGAAAATAGGAGAGGCATAAAAAAAATTGCTAGGAAGGTTCTAAAACTGGCGATTTATGAGGTAAAAGTGTTATGCATTCCTAGTGGTTCGTTAAATATTTAAAGCATATTACAGGTGTGAAGCAAATACTTGTATATGGAAAAAAAGGAATAAGTAGAGATATCAAACATGTACAGCAAAATCAGCAGTTACATTTTCTCAATTTTGTTAAATAACATCTCTAAATACACTGGAATGTCATTAGAACAAGGTCTCGAGTCAGAGTGGGGTACAAATTTCACAGCCACTTGACTCATATTCAAATTTTCAGTCAAAATGCTTTGACACGACCCATAAGAAATTCCCTCAGCATTTTACAATGTCTATCCTGGATACTCCGAAGATGATCTTCATGAAAAATTTCCCTTACTTTTTCAATGCTGGCATCTGTTTTTGACAATGACGAGTGACCATGGCATTCATCGTCCTTAACTGATGTTTGTCCTGCTTTGAATCAAGATAGCCATTCAAAACAATTTCTGAATCATTGCTTCATCACCAAACACTTGCTGAAGCATTCTGTGAGTTTCACTAGGCATTTTACCCAGCTTAAAACAAAATTTCACACACATACACGAATACGTGTGCAAGCACACACGTGCACACATGCATGCTGTTCTTTCTTTTAAAGATTTCAATTTGTTACACAAAAATTTGCAGTGCACTGACATGACAAAAATTGCCCATCTCACCTCAACAGAATGATCACTGAAACTCGCCACTCTGCTTCACAAAAGGAGTGAAGTACCGCACAACGTGATCTACACTACTGCTATATTTCACCCAGGAAGCGCATGAAAACTCAAATACAGGTACACAACATTGATTTTCTGGACACTGATGGTCTGGAAACTCTTATAATCCATACAAATTTATGAGCAGGAACTTGAAATTCCCACGGCAGTGTATTTACCACTCGACTGTATGTCACTTATCCAACCTCAGGACCAAGGAATACTGTGCTCTCTAAAAGCAGAAAACAGTTCTGTAATCCGGAAAGGCTTTTGAATCAAAGGGTCTTGAAAATCGATGTTGTACCTGTACGGGAACTTTTTGATAGGATCTAGCACAGTGGAACCTCAGTTTTCGTATGCCTTAGTTTGTATGTAAAACTATAGTTAATCTCTATAAAATGTATTTTTGGTTAATATTTTTGGGTGTCTGGAATGGATTTATTGGATTTGCATTATTTCTTATGGGAAATATTAACAAAATATACATTTTATAGAGAATAACTATAGCTTTACATACAAACTAGGGCATACGAAAACCAAGGCTCCACTGTATGTCCTAGAAAGGTAACTAGGAAAAAAGTGATGGTGAATGAGTCTGGTGACTTTTTAGATCCAACTTCTTCAAATGTCTAAGTGTGGATTATCTGTTGGGCACAATGCATCAGTCCAAAAAAACAAGAAAAGGAAACCTGCTAGATCAAACCTAATAATTTTCTTCGAAATCTCTGCAGTCTATACAGAGTATAGGTCTCACTGGATCATATATGCTGCATACCTTGCAAATATTTATCTTTATCTTCATGTTCTGTGATTATGAGAATGCCCAGGGCTGCATGAAACAGTAATAATGTACACTACATAGATATTTCAATGAGTGGACAAATAAAAAAAAAAAAAAAAAAAGTCCCCAAGTTATGCACAATGTATTAAATTCAAAGTGCCTGCACTCTGAAGGAGGGGGAGGAATATTTGCAGTTTTGAACTGTAGTGTCACAACCCTTTGCCAAGGCAGTGATGGAGTGAATAACAGTGAAAGTGTTTCTTCTTTTTTGGGACACCCTGCCTCGGTGGGAAATGGCTGGCGTGTTAAAAAAATTTATACGTACATTATTGGCAATTTGGAGGGATATGTTGTGTATCTTTATACATATATGCTTCTAAACTGTTGTATTCTGAGCACCTCTGCAAAAACAGTGATAATGTGTGAGTGTGGTGAAAGTGTTGAATGATGATGAAAGTATTTTCTTTTTGGGGATTTTCTTTCTTTCTTGGGTCACCCTGCCTCGGTGGGAGATGGCCGACTTGTTGAAAAAAAAAAAATATGTACATCTACTAAACACACCTGATCTGTTGTATATTACCCGTGACTGGGTTGTTTTTAAAAACAGTATCGAGGGAGAGATGGTGCTTGCCCTCCTCTATGAACTCAGAAGGTATGGCTTCAGATGAGAGGAATTCATATCCCTCAGGATACTTCTCTTGGAATTGCTTTGCTATGTTGAACCCATCGACAAGCAATGTCTTGCCACCTTCTGTAGCTGGCTGCAAACAGTGGAACACTTGGATTCTAATAAAAAAAAGGCAAGACATTACATAATAACCTATGGAAAATGATTTACATATGCCATGGCTTCCACACATCTTAGTAGCAATAAATCATCCATATGTACACTCTTTCAAGTCTTACTTCACTTTAATATTATGGCAAATTTAGTGTTTCTTAACCTGCTTGCTTGTGAAAAATATGTGTTATCCGTGTGGGCACCAATAAAGTCTGTGGAATATGCAGTATCATAATGCTTAAAGTTATTCGCCTGCATGCTCCACATTTCTCCAAAGAATGTCTTCTTGATGAGGCAAATTTTTTCTATGGCTGCCTCTGTTGACTCAGTATCAGCTGGAACCTGCAGGTCAAATATACATAATTAAATTGGAGTTTTAAAACCTGAGATTACAGTACATAATCAATTAATAAAAGCAATGTGTATTTCAATGCATATATTTATAAATAAAATTTAACTCTTTTTAACATACTTTCCAAACTAACAATATTCGTCAATAAACTATTGTACAATATACAAAATTTTCAGAAGAGTATAAAACTTACTGAATTTAAAAATAAACTATATGGTAAAATGTGCAGTAATGTGCATATGGTATGTGGCATCATTAAATTTCTTAAGATTCAAATGCTTCGAACCTGTCAGGAAGAAGGTGAGCCTTCAAAGAATAGAAAATTTAGTGCTATACATATAAAACAATCTCCATGGGGAAGTGGAACAGAATTTTTCCTCCGTAAGCCATGCATGTCGTAAGAGGCGACTAAAATGCCGGGAGCAAGGTAATGTATACAAGAGAAGGGGTTACCTTCTCTTGTATACATTACTAAAGTTAAAAAGAGAAACTTTTGTTTTTCTTTTTGGGCCATCCTGCCTCAGTGGTATACAGCTGGTGCATTGAAAAAAAGAAAAGATTTAAAACATATTCAGAAATGCAACAAACAGCACAACATTAAGTTTTCTGGTGAAACACAAACTGCTGACTATGTATGTATTTGTGATAGTAATTACAACCTTGACAAATGTTCAGTGATAGTGAGACAAGACTATGCTGGAACCGGATAATGTTATGTTTGGGGAGGATATGACGACGATGTATAAAATACTGAGAGGAATTGACTTGGTGAACAGGGACAGAATGTTTCAGAGTGAAGTAATAGAGGCAGGATCCATACCTAGCTTTAAGAAGAGGTACAATAAGGTTCTTGGAGCGGGTCCAGGAGCAATCACATATAGCGGAGTAAACATACACAAAAACAAAAAAACACAATTGATAAGTGCTCTTGACAGCCAGCAACTTGCACAACAAGCCAAATAATGACATTATCATCATCTCAAGAGAAATTAAGTTACTTAATATTTAAGCTTCTTGTGTCATTTAATACCCACTGTGAAATAAGCATTCCCTTATATACTGAACATAACCATTTTAACTTTAAAAGTATAAAATATAGGAAAAGTATTGCTATCAACCAAAAATTGGGTATCAGTTATTGGCAAAATTTTGGTACTGTCCCATCCCTATTTTTAAGTTAGGTTAGGTTAGATAAGGTTTGTCAGGAAACGGGACAAGCATTTCTTGATATGGGTCTAGAGATTTTGGTCATCTGACCTAGGCCTTCTGCTGGCTTATCGGTCCACCCCTTTAAAAATTATGATTACTACTGATATCTGTTAATCAGTTTTAAGATAAACCAATGATAGCATACTACTGTAGTGTACTGAGTACCCCCATGTCTAAACAAGAAGTCATTTTCTTTTTACCCATTACAGTATTTGGAGGTCCACCCAAAATATATGAATTATGGTGACTAAAATCAGAAAATGCTCACACACTTCTTTATATCATACTGTACCCAGGTAAGTAAAAATCTGGCAAAACATCAGTCTTGCATTCAAAGGCTTCCCTGGCACTTTACAATGCCTCTAGTCATCCTATTGTGATGCTGCAGAATTACAACCCACATGTGAAAGTCATGCATTTTCCACTTCGCATCACCTCTTCACTCAACCTCTTTAGCCCAAAAGTTATAAAACTACACTAACGGGAAGACTGGGAAGAGAATCTGGGAATTGGACAAGAAGCCTCAAAACAGAATCCATGACTTTTTTGTACAGGTTCCACATTGTCGATGCAATTACTGACAGTCATCACATGATGTGGTGAACCAGTTTACTGTAAACACCATATTGCAAAAATTATGACATGTTGTAGTCAATCTGCAAGGTTTACTCTAAACTGAAAAAGTTGATTAAAGAACTGGCAAGGAATGTAGATGGTGATTACAGCACTGGCAAGGAATGTAGGTGTTGATTATAGAGCTGGCAAGGAATGTAGGTGGTGATTATGGAGCTGGCAAAGAATGTAAGTGGTGATTATAGAGCTGGCAAGGAATGTAGGTGGTGATTATAGAGCTGGCAAGGAATGTAGGTGGTGATTATAGAGCTGGCAAGGAATGTAGGTGGTGATTATAGAGCTGGCAAGGAATGTAGGTGGTGATTATAGAGCTGGCAAGGAGTGTAGGTGGTGATTATAGAGCTGGCAAGAATGTAGGTGGTGATTATAGAGCTGGCAAGGAATGTAGGTGGTGATTATAGAGCTGGCAAGGAATGTAGGTGGTGATTATAGAGCTGGCTAAGACTGTAGGTGGCATCAAGGCACCCATCCCTTCAGGGTGGTATGCCTTGATGCCAGTGAACTTAGTGAAAGGCTCCTGATCCTAATGACTGGATTTATCCTCCCCTTCCTTGGTCTTAACCTGAATGTTTCCTGGTCCTGAGGAATAAATAACAAAAAAGGCACAATACCGTGACTGGAACGATACACAAATAACCCGCACATAAAAGAGAGAAGCTTATGACGACGTTTCGGTCCAACTTGGACCATTGACAGTCACACTCTGTGTGACTTTGTCAATGGTCCAAGTCGGACCGAAACGTCGTCGTAAGCTTCTCTCTTTTATGTGCGGGTTATTTGTGTATGTGTTAGGTAGATGGAGAGAATATTTTGAGGAACTTTTAAATGTTGAGGAAGAAAGGGAGGTGGTAATTTCATGTACTGGCCAGGGAGGTATACCATCTTTTAGGAGTGAAGAAGAGCAGAATGTAAGTGTGGTGGAGGTACGTGAGGCATTATGTAGAATGAAAGGGGGTAAAGCAGCTGGAACTGATGGGATCATGACAGAAATGTTAAAAGCAGGGGGGATATAGTGTTGGAGTGGTTGGTACTTTTGTTTAATAAATGTATGAAAGAGGGGAAGGTACCTAGGGATTGGCGGAGAGCATGTATAGTCCCTTTATATAAAGGGAAAGGGGACAAAAGAGATTGTAAAAATTATAGAGGAATAAGTTTACTGAGTATACCAGGAAAAGTATACGGTAGGGTTATAATTGAAAGAATTAGAGGTAAGACAGAATGTAGGATTGCGGATGAGCAGGGAGGCTTCAGAGTGGGTAGGGGATGTGTAGATCAAGTGTTTACATTGAAGCATATATGTGAACAGTATTTAGATAAAGGTAGGGAAGTTTTTATTGCATTTATGGATTTAGAAAAGGCATATGATAGAGTGGATAGAGGAGCAATGTGGCAGATGTTACAAGTATATGGAATAGGTGGTAAGTTACTAAAGGCTGTAAAGAGCTTTTATGAGGATAGTGAGGCTCAGGTTAGGGTGTGTAGAAGAGAGGGAGAATACTTCCCAGTAAAAGTAGGTCTTAGACAGGGATGTGTAATGTCACCATGGTTGTTTAATATATTTATAGATGGGGTTGTAAAAGAAGTAAATGCTAGGGTGTTTGGGAGAGGGGTGGGATTAAATTATGGGGAATCAAATTCAAAATGAGAGCTGACACAGTTACTTTTTGCTGATGATACTGTGCTTATGGGAGATTCTAAAGAAAAATTGCAAAGGTTAGTGGATGAGTTTGAGAATGTGTGTGTAAAGGTAGAAAGTTGAAAGTGAACATAGAAAAGAGTAAGGTGATGAGGGTATCAAATGATTTAGATAAAGAAAAATTGGATATCAAATTGGGGAGGAGGAGTATGGAAGAAGTGAATGTTTTCAGATACTTGGGAGTTGACGTGTCGGCGGATGGGTTTATGAAGGATGAGGTTAATCATAGAATTGATGAGGGAAAAAAGGTGAGTGGTGCATTGAGGTATATGTGGAGTCAAAAAACGTTATCTATGGAGGCAAAGAAGGGAATGTATGAAAGTATAGTAGTACCAACACTCTTATATGGATGTGAAGCTTGGGTGGTAAATGCAGCAGCGAGGAGACGGTTGGAGGCAGTGGAGATGTCCTGTCTAAGGGCAATGTGTGGTGTAAATATTATGCAGAAAATTCGGAATGTGGAAATTAGGAGAAGGTGTGGAGTTAATAAAAGCATTAGTCAGAGGGCAGAAGAGGGGTTGTTAGGTGGTTTGGTCATTTAGAGAGAATGGATCAAAGTAGAATGACATGGAAAGCATATAAATCTATAGGGGAAGGAAGGAGGGGTAGGGGTCGTCCTCAAAAGGGTTGGAAAGAGGGGGTAAAGGAGGTTTTGTGGGCAAGGGGCTTGAACTTCCAGCAAGCGTGCATGAGCATGTTAGATAGGAGTGAATGGAGACGAATGATACTTGGGACCTGACGATCTGTTGGAGTGTGAGCACGGTAATATTTAGTGAAGGGATTCAGGAAAACCGATTATTTTCATATAGTCGGACTTGAGTCCTGGAAATGGGAAGTACAATGCCTGCACTTTAAAGGAAGGGTTTGGGATATTGGCAGTTTGGAGGGATATGTTGTGTATCTTTATACGTATATGCTTCTAAACTGTTGTATTTCTGAGCACCTCTGCAAAAGCAGTGATAATGTGTGAGTGTGGTGAGTGTTGAATGATGATGAAAGTATTTTCTTCTCGGGTATTTTCTTTCTTTTTTGGGTCACCCTGCCTCGGTGGGAGATGGCCGACTTGTTGAAAAAAAAAAAATAAATAAAACACTTAAAGGGGTTAGCATTACTCTCAAAAATGAATACTGGATGAGAGTAACATTGGAAGACTGAAGAAGAAATACTGTCGATGGAATCTTGGGAACAAGGGTATTATCTCACAACAGAAATCATGTGCAAATCCCTACTTGTCATTGATAAGACTTAAGTGTTTTAATAAGACTAAGTGTTTGCCTTGAAAGAGATTCTAGCAATGACAGAAGCCTTAACTTTAAATGTTCTTAAATTCTTTACATTGCCATAATGTCAGCTCTACAAATCACCCCACTAAATCCATCAACATGTGAGGATTCTCCAGGAACATCCACAGAACACTCACCCAGTATTCTCAAATCCCAAATCCTTTACAAAATATTCAACTTCAATAAGTGAGGTCTGCCAAAATAAATAGTGAGAAATGAACAGTACCTCATTAAGTTTTGCAATAAAAAGAAATTCAAGACTAGAAACCTAATCCACATTTTTTTCTGTGAATTCTTCAATATATATACAATGCCATTCTAATGCACAATTTTCAGGAGTATACTCTACATGCTGTCTTATACAAGTGTTTCTTTCACAAAATTTAATATTTTTATGTCAGGTAACAAAATGCAAGTGATGAAAACCACACACCTCTGAGATGAAGGCAAACCCATGTCTGATGACAGAGTATATGAGTCTCCGGACACCATCTTTCTCAGGATCATAAAGGTCTCCCAGAGGAACCTGTTAGATAACATTGTCTGTTAAACTTACAAATTATTAGTGGACAGAGAATCATGCCATCATCATGCATTATACTCAATGACCCACATGGGTTTGGTACTGTCTACAAAATATTGTGTATCTAAAACACATTTCACTTTTAAGGCATCCTTGTACCTCATCTCTGGTTTTTATACATTCAGCTAAACAAACACGTTAATTATTGATAGAAGTAATGCCTTGATATTTGCTTATACTGCACCTTATTCCTTCTATGGTTTGATAAGGAGCCACAAGCAAAACTTTATCTTAGCATCTTCACACTGTACTCAGGAAATTTACTAGTCATTTATAAATAATATGCTACTAGAACATCACAATGCTGCTTTTTTAATGAGTTATGTAATGAGTTGGTCCACTCCTGAAAAGAGTCAAGCATAGACCATGTAATATAGAAGGGCTTGTGCTATAGTACACCTGGTCGGGAGCATGAAACTTTTGTCTTATCAACATCTCTCTAGCCAAGAGCAAGGGCATGTCTACACATTCACTCATCCAGTTACAAACAGATAGATGAATAAGAACTGGCAAATTTCTCCTACATCCATCACTTCCATAAATGTGACTAAAGGATTAGTCTTATACTGATAAAACATGAACAGATTATCCTATGAGATTGTAGGTGCAAAAACACAGATACAGTCCTTCATGAACCAGATGTACAAATGCTTCACAAATGTTAGAACCAATCTGATATACCACAGGGGCTGACAACGATCAGTGGAAGCCTGGCAGCAGTTCCTGGGCTACCAGGACAGCCAATTAACCAAGAACTATTCTGAGCATAAAAGCAAGTGTGATATTATACAAGTGTTAGTAATGGACAACACACCATCACAACCTGGCTGATGCAGCACATCATGCAGGATCTTGTCCACTTTCCTCATGAACACTTCTACTATGTTTCAGCAATATTTGCTGGTAGAAGTTTAAATTCATGGACCTTGAGTGTTGACAAAGTGTTTGAAAATTGTACTTATGACACCCCTGCTTTTCTTTGGGTTTATTCTACACTTGCCATATCTTTCACGACAATTGAGTTTTATAACACTGAATACCAGTATATTAGGGACTTGTTTGTTTCACAATTAAAAATGACAGAGGATCAAGCTTGCAATATTCCTTGCACTGAAGGAGCTCTACAAGTTTAGTGGTTTAAATAAATAGTCTCTCACCTTTATTATATTCTAAGTGTTCTAAGGTCTTCCCAGTACTCAAGGCTGGACATTTTACTGATTAAATGCAAGCAGTATAATAATAATAATAATAATAATAATAATAATAATAATAATAATAATAATAATTTTTATTATTATCACACTGGCCGATTCCCACCAAGGCAGGTTGGCCCGAAAAAGAAAAACTTTCACCATCATTCACTCCATCACTGTCTTGCCAGAAGGGTGCTTTACACTACAGTTTTTAAACTGCAACATTAACACCCCTCCTTCAGAGTGCAGGCACTGTACTTCCCATCTCCAGGACTCAAGTCCAGCCTGCCGGTTTCCCTGAACCCCTTCATAAATGTTACTTTGCTCACACTCCAACAGCACGTCAAGTATTAAAAACCATTTGTCTCCATTCACTCCTATCAAACACGCTCACGCATGCCTGCTGGAAGTCCAAGCCCCTCGCACACAAAACCTCCTTTACCCCCTCCCTCCAACCTTTCCTAGGCCGGCCCCTTCCCCGCCTTCCTTCCACTACAGACTGATACACTCTTGAAGTCATTCTGTTTCGCTCCATTCTCTCTACATGTCCGAACCACCTCAATAACCCTTCCCCAGCCCTCTGGACAACAGTTTTGGTAATCCCGCACCTCCTCCTAACTTCCAAACTACGAATTCTCTGCATTATATTCACACCACACATTGCCCTCACACATGACATCTCCACTGCCTCCAGCCTTCTCCTCGCTGCAACATTCATCACCCATGCTTCACACCCATATAAGTGCGTTGGTAAAACTATACTCTCATACATTCCCCTCTTTGCCTCCAAAGACAAAGTTCTTTGTCTCCAGAGACTCCTAAGTGCACCACTCACCCTTTTCCCCTCATCAATTCTATGATTCACCTCATCTTTCTTAGACCCATCCGCTGACATGTCCACTCTCAAATATCTGAATACATTCACCTCCTCCATACTCTCTCCCTCCAATCTGATATCCAATCTTTCATCACCTAATCTTTTTGTTATCTTCATAACCTTACTCTTTCCTGTATTCACTTTTAATTTTCTTCTTTTGCATACCCTACCAAATTCATCCACCAATCTCTGCAACTTCTCTTCAGAATCTCCCAAGAGCACATTGTCATCAGCAAAGAGCAACTGTGAGAACTCCCACTTTATGTGTGATTCTTTATCTTTTAACTCCACGCCTCTTGCCAAGACCCTCGCATTGACTTCTCTTACAACCCCATCTATAAATATATTAAACAACCACGGTGACATCACACATCCTTATCTAAGGCCTACTTTTACTGGGAAATAATTTCCCTCTTTCCTACATTCTCTAACTTGAGCCTCACTATCCTCGTAAAAACTCTTCAATGCTTTCAGTAACCTACCTCCTACACCATACACCTGCAACATCTGCCACATTGCCCCCCTATCCACTCTGTCATACGCCTTTTCCAAATCCATAAATGCCACAAAGTCCTCTTTAGCCTTATCTAAATACTGTTCACTTATGTGTTTCACTGTAAACACCTAGTCCACACACCCCGTACCTTTCCTAAAGCCTCCTTGTTCATCTGCTATCCTATTCTCCATCTTACTCTTAATTCTTTCAATAATAACTCTACCATACACTTTACCAGTTATACTCAACAAACTTATCCCCCTATAATTTTTGCACTCTCTTTTGTCCCCTTTGCCTTTATACAAAGGAACTATGCATGCTCTCTGCCAATCCCTAGGTACCTTACCTTCTTCCATACATTAAATAATTGCACCAACCACTCCAAAACTATTTCCCCACCTGCTTTTAACATTTCTATCTTTATCCCATCAATCCCGGCTGCCTTACCCCCTTTCATTTTACCTACTGCCTCACGAACTTCCCCCACACTCACAACTGGCTCTTCCTCACTCCTACAAGATGTTATTCCTCCTTGCCCTATACACAAAATCACAGCTTCCCTATCTTCATCAACATTTAACAATTCCTCGAAATGTTCCCTCCATCTTCCCAATACCTCTAACTCTCCAGTTAATAACTCTCCTCTCCTATTTTTAACTGACAAATCCATTTGTTCTCTATGCTTCCTTAACTTGTTAATCTCACTCCAAAACTTTTTCTTATTTTCAACAAAATTCGTTGATAACATCTCACCCACTTTCATTTGCTCTCTTTTTACATTGCTTCACCACTCTCTTAACCTCTCTCTTTTTCTCTATATACTCTTCCCTCTTCCCATCTTTATTTCTACAAGTTAACCCCTTCTCCTGTATAAATTACTAAATTTAAAAAGGAAAACTTTGTTTTTCTTTTTGAGTCACTCTGCCTTGGTGGGATACAGCCAGTTCATTGAAAAAAAAAAATCTACAAATATATGTACAAGGTATACAGGCCTAGCTGAGATTAATGACATACTTCTATATACAAAATCCCTTGTTATGCAGAGCATTTCAGGCAAATTAGGCCAGTCTTGTCCCCAGGATGTTACGTACACCAACTGACTAACACCCAGGCAGCTACATACTGCTAGGTGAACATGGACAGCAGGTCTCTTAAGGAAACACATCCTAATGTTTCCACCCACTTTAAAATATAAACAGTAATGTTATAATTCAATATACTGTAATAATAATAATGTGGCTACAAGGTATGATAACAAGGGTTTGATAACTTACCGTGGTCAGGTGTGCTGCGGGGAACGTTGTAGCTTTCCAAAGGAGCCGAGGAACTTTATATGATGTTCTCTGACCTTCAAAAGAATTCTGCCACAGGAACTTGTACTCATATTCAGAGTTATGGCCATCTGGCCCTGTTGAATAAAAAAAAAGTCAAGTGCATATTATATAAATAAAAAATCTTATATTTTTCTACATACAAATAATGTACCCATGCACAAATAACCTGCACAAAGGGGAGGGGAGCTTACGACAATGTTTCGGTGCGACTTGGACCATTTACAAAATCACACTTTACACTGCACAATTTATTAGCATGTGGAATACTAAAACTATTAATAAGATTGTAAAATGATTCCTGCATAACTATACATTTTTCAGATATACTTACCAAAATACCTTGTCCATTTTATCAGATATATACATGGTATCTACTTTCACTAATTTACCTTGGTACACCTTGAGTCATTCTAATCTCATTCAACATCTATGGAAATTTTCGTACGGATTCAGCATTTGTTTTTAATATAATTTTTTTTTTTTTTTTTTTTTTTTTCAACAAGTCAGCCGTCTCCCACCGAGGCAGGGTGACCCAAAAAAGAAAGAAAATCCCCAAAAAGAAAATACTTTCATCATCATTCAACACTTTCACCACACTCGCACATTATCACTGTTTTTGCAGAGGTGCTCAGAATACAACAGTCTAGAAGCATACACATATAAAGATACACAACATATCCCTCCAAACTGCCAATATCCCAAACCCCTCCTTTAAAGTGCAGGCATTGTACTTCCCATTTCCAGGACTCAAGTCCGACTATATGAAAATAACCGGTTTCCCTGAATCCCTTCACTAAATATTACCCTGCTCACACTCCAACAGATCGTCAGGTCCCAAGTACCATTCGTCTCCATTCACTCCTATCTAACACGCTCACGCACGCTTGCTGGAAGTCCAAGCCCCTTACCCACAAAACCTCCTTTACCCCCTCTCTCCAACCCTTTCGAGGACGACCCCTACCCCGCCTTCCTTCCCCTATAGATTTATATGCTTTCCATGTCATTCTACTTTGATCCATTCTCTCTAAATGACCAAACCACCTCAACAACCCCTCTTCTGCCCTCTGACTAATACTTTTATTAACTCCACACCTTCTCCTAATTTCCACACTCCGAATTTTCTGCATAATATTTACACCACACATTGCCCTTAAACAGGACATCTCACTGCCTCCAACCGTCTTCTCGCTGCTGCATTTACCACCCAAGCTTCACACCCATATAAGAGTGTTGGTACTACTATACTTTCATACATTCCCTTCTTTGCCTCCATAGATAACGTTTTTTGACTCCACATATACCTCAACGCACCACTCACCTTTTTTCCCTCATCAATTCTATGATTAACCTCATCCTTCATAAATCCATCCGCCGACACGTCAACTCCCAAGTATCTGAAAACATTCACTTCTTCCATACTCCTCCTCCCCAATTTGATATCCAATTTTTCTTTATCTAAATCATTTGACACCCTCATCACCTTACTCTTTTCTATGTTCACTTTCAACTTTCTACCTTTACACACATTCCCAAACTCATCCACTAACCTTTGCAATTTTTCTTTAGAATCTCCCATAAGCACAGTATCATCAGCAAAAAGTAACTGTGTCAATTCCCATTTTGAATTTGATTCCCCATAATTTAATCCCACCCCTCTCCCAAACACCCTAGCATTTACTTCCTTAACAACCCCATCTATAAATATATTAAACAACCATGGTGACATTACACATCCCTGTCTAAGACCTACTTTTACCGGGAAGTAGTCTCCCTCTCTTCTACACACCCTAACCTGAGCCTCACTATCCTCATAAAAACTCTTAACAGCATTTAATAACTTACCACCTATTCCATATACTTGCAACATCTGCCACATTGCTCCTCTATCCACTCTATCATATGCCTTTTCTAAATCCATAAATGCAATAAAAACTTCCCTATCTTTATCTAAATACTGTTCACATATATGCTTCAATGTAAAAAACCTGATCTACACATCCCCTACCCACTCTAAAACCTCCTTGCTCATCCGCAATCCTACATTCTGTCTTACCTCTAATTCTTTCAATTATAACCCTACCGTACACTTTTCCTGGTATACTCAGTAAGCTTATTCCTCTATAATTTTTACAGTCTCTTTTGTCCCCTTTCCCTTTATATAAAGGGACTATACATGCTCTCTGCCAATCTCTAGGTACCTTCCCCTCTTTCATACATTTATTAAACAAAAGTACCAACCACTCCAACACTATATCCCCCCCTGCTTTTAACATTTCTGTCATGATCCCATCAGTTCCAGCTGCTTTACCCCCTTTCATTTTACGTAATGCCTCACGTACCTCCCCCACACTTACATTCTGCTCTTCTTCACTCCTAAAAGATGGTATACCTCCCTGACCAGTGCATGAAATTACTGCCTCTGTTTCTTCCTTAACATTTAAAAGTTCCTCAAAATATTCTCGCCATCTACCCAATACCTCCATCTCCCCATCTACTAACTCCCCTACTCTGTTTTTAACTGACAAATCCATATTTTCCCTAGGCTTTCTTAACTTGTTTAACTCACTCCAAAATTTTTTCTTATTTTCATTAAAATTTCTTGACAGTGCCTCTCCCACTCTATCATCTGCTCTCCTTTTGCACTCTCTCACCACTCTCTTTACCTTTCTTTTACTCTCCATATACTCTGCTCTTCTTATAACACTTCTGCTTTGTAAAAACCTCTCATAAGCTACCTTTTTCTCTTTTATCACACCCTTTACTTCATCATTCCACCAATCACTCCTCTTTCCTCCTGCCCCCACCCTCCTATAACCACAAACTTCTGCCCCACATTCTAATACTGCATTTTTAAAACTATTCCAACCCTCTTCAACCCCCCCACTACTCATCTTTGCACTAGCCCACCTTTCTGCCAATAGTCGCTTATATCTCACCCAAACTTCCTCCTCCCTTAGTTTATACACTTTCACCTCCCTCTTACTTGTTGTTGCCACCTTCCTCTTTTCCCATCTACCTCTTACTCTAACTGTAGCTACAACTAAATAATGATCCGATATATCAGTTGCCCCTCTATAAACATGTACATCCTGGAGCCTACCCATCAACCTTTTATCCACCAATACATAATCTAATAAACTACTTTCATTACGTGCTACATCATACCTTGTATATTTATTTATCCTCTTTTTCATAAAATATGTATTACTTATTACCAAATTTCTTTCTACACATAGCTCAATTAAAGGCTCCCCATTTACATTTACCCCTGGCACCCCAAATTTACCTACTACTCCTTCCATAACATTTTTACCCACTTTAGCATTGAAATCCCCAACCACCATTACTCTCACACTTGATTCAAAACTCCCCACGCATTCACTCAACATTTCCCAAAATCTCTCTCTCTCCTCTACACTTCTCTCTTCTCCAGGTGCATACACGCTTATTATAACCCACTTTTCACATCCAATCTTTATTTTACTCCACATAATCCTTGAATTTATACATTTATAGTCCCTCTTTTCCTGCCATAGCTTATCCTTCAACATTATTGCTACTCCTTCTTTAGCTCTAACTCTATTTGAAACCCCTGACCTAATCCCATTTATTCCTCTCCACTGAAACTCTCCCACCCCCTTCAGCTTTGTTTCACTTAAAGCCAGGACATCCAGCTTCTTCTCATTCATAACATCCACAATCATCTCTTTCTTATCATCTGCACAACATCCACGCACATTCAGACTTCCCACTTTGACAATTTTCTTCTTCTTATTCTTTTTAGTAATCTTTACAGGAAAAGGGGTTACTAGCCCATTGTTCCCGGCATTTTAGTTGACTTTTACAACATGCATGGCTTACGGAGGAAAGATTCTTATTCCACTTCCCCATGGATATAAAAGGAAAATTAATAAGACCAAGAACTATTAAGATAAAATCAAAGAAAACTCAGATGAGTGTGTATAAATAAATGTGTACATGTATGTGTAGTGTGACCTAAGTTATTAATTAAAGGTACAACCTCTGGAACTGGACTGGGGACCCTCATCCTCAGAGAAAAGAATAAACTTGCTTTGGCGAAACCTCAAGGTTCTTCCCGAAGCTGTTTGAATATTGTCTTCTCCTACCACCCCCTATATTTTATGTAGACTTTATTAAAGACAAAATACATTGACAAAAATATAATAGGAAGTAAACAACAAAAATAACATCTCCGAGCTACATCTCGAATACTTCGTCCAGCTCCCCAGCGGTGGGTCACCGGGTGAGCAGTGGGCCACTGGGGGAGTGGTGGGTTGCAGGGGTGGGCCACAGTGGTGGGCCACAGGGGTCACACAGGACTTGCTTAATGGGAGGCATTCAGGTTAGAGTCAAGGAGGGGAAGCATAGGTTCAATTCCTTAGATGAAGAGAGCCTCATTGGCATCATGGAACCTCGCTTGAGTAGATGAAATGAGGGAAAAAAAAGTAGACAAAGAAACAGCTCATGATGAAATGTTTGTGTATGGCACCATACCTGTGACATACCATTGACCAATGGGTTCTTTAACCCTTACAGACCAACCTGAGGCCAGGGTTCTTTGCAGTCTACCATCTAGAATACTAGCATCAAACAGGAAGCTCTCAGCTTGTAGAGGTTCTCGAAACAAGCTTTAGACCATACCAAACTGAAGGACCTAGGCTTAAACCTGGGTGAAGCTGGATGTACAGGCAAGTCTTCTAATGCCTGTTGCCCCTGTTCACCTAAAAGTAGTAGTCGTGATATTTACAAAGCACTTTCACCATGTAGGTCACTCAGCTCTCATACAAATAAAATAGTAATGATATACAACACACACACACACACACACACACACACACACACACACACACACACACACACACACACACACACACACACACACACACACACACACACACACAGAGTAAAAGCGAAGATAAAATTAACAAACTGTAAAAGCTATGAACATTAATGAAACTATCATACCATGTTAAAAAAATAACAGTTTTATAGGGAATATTTTCTCATTCCCAGAATGAAAACACCTAAAGATGTTTGTGCATTTTGTCCCTTTTCTTTTTTTCATGCTTCAAGTTTTAAGCTATAATGTATTTTGAGAATGACTCTTACTTCTGACTTGAAAATTCATACTACATTGCTCCTTACTGAATATTTGCCTGAAATGCATTGCATAATTAGCAGCTTTCTATTGAACTACAGTAATATGTTTATCTATGTTTGAATGGCTCAGAGAAATACTCATTACTATTATTATTATTATTATTAATATCAACTGCTGGAGGGAGATTAAGGGTCATCTAGACCTATTGTGTGTGTGTGTGTGTGTGTGTGTGTGTGTGTGTGTGTGTGTGTGTGTGTGTGTGTGTGTGTGTGTGTGTTGTGTGTGTGTGTGTGTGTGTGTGTGTCTGAGGCTGTGATCCAGCTCTTGGGCTGCTGTATAGCTCTTTAAGACTGCTGAACTCCAGTTTTTGGTCTTGCTATTAACTTAACTGTGCTTGAAAGTGTTTGAACTTCAGCTTCTGGTCCTGCAGCTGACTTAGCTTCACACGGTGAAGGCCTGGGTTCGATTTCCAGCCAGGGTAGAAACACTGGGTGTGTTTCTTTACATCGGTTGTCTATGTTCCCCATCAGTAAAATGGGTACCTGGGTGTTAATAAACCATTTTAATGGTGTGGGTCGCATCCTGGGACACTGACCTAATTTGCCCAAAATGCTCAGCATAACAAGCAGCTTTCTATATAGTAGTATGTCATTGATGTCAGCTAGGCCTGTATACCATGTACATGTACTTGTAGTAAATAAAGATATTTCTTTCTTTCTTTCAACACACCGGCCATATCCCACCAAGGCAGGTTGGCCCAAAAAGAAAAACGAAAGTTTCTCTTTTAAATTTAGTAATTTATATGGGAGAAGGGGTTACTAGCCCCTTGCTCCCAGCATTTTAGTTGCCTCTTACAACATGCATGGCATACGGAGGAAGAATTCTGTTCCACTTCCCCATGGAGATAAGAGGAAATAAACAAGAACAAGAACTAGAAAGAAAATAGAAGAATACCCAGAGAGGTGTGTATATATATGCTTGCACATGTATGTGTAGTGTGACCTAAGTGTAAGTAGAAGTAGCAAGACATACCTGAAATCTTGCATGTGTATGAGACAGACAAAAGACACCAGCAATCCTACCATCATGTAAAACAATTACAGGTTTTCGTTGTACACTCACTTGGCAGGATGGTAGTACCTCCCTCGGTGGTTGTTGTCTACCAACCTACTACCTAGGAATAAAGATATTATTATTATTATTTTTAAGGGAGACCTCAGGATACTCACTGCATTATTTCTATTTATTTTTATGCTAAATTTTATTTAATTTCTCGGCAAGATTGTTAATCTTTGGGTTATATCGAGTTAAAAGACAGGGGTTACAGATGACACTTTCTGGGGCATGGGATGCTTTACTTGGGCATGGCAGCTACCAAAATTTGTCTAAATAAAAACAAACAACTTTATTTCTTTGTGTAGTATACAAAGTGTAGTTTACATGTAATTAAATATTGTTTAGCACAAAGAAAGCCACTAGCATGCATATGCATTTCAGGCAGATTAATCCTAATGCTTACACACTACTTAAGGTTACTGAATGGTAAAATTTTAATTATGCATTATTATAAAAAGAGAGGTAGCAAAAATAATACAATAGTACAATTTACAACAGAGAGGTAGTAAAATATTTACAAGCAGCACAATTTACAATAGTACAATTTTAAGCATATATTAATACTTTAAACTGATTTATTACACCTGGAGTATAACCTGAAGAGAGTTTCGGGGGTCAATGCCCCTGCGGCATGGTCTGACACCAGGCTTCGTGGTGGATCACGATCTGATCAACCAGGCTGTTACTGCTGGCCACATATAAACTGATGTACGAACCACAGCCCAGCTGATCAGGTATTGACTTTAAGTGAGTTAATTGGGATTTATTAAGTAGTTTCAAATTGGCTCTATGATTTCAGGCTATGGGAAGATTATAAGAGATGGAATAGAAACAGGAAGTAGTTGGACGAGTTGGTTTTGTTTGGTAAAGTGTTGGTGTAGTTATGTTTGGGAGATGAGGTGATTTTTAATTATAGCTCTAAAATGACTGGCAGATAGGGAACCCTTTACATTTAACCCTTAAATTGTCCAAATTCAGATCTATGTTTACGCACGTAATGCTCTGACCTTGATTTTCTCCGTATAAAAACATGTAAAAAAAAAAAAAGTAGATCTACGTTTGGACTGTTTAAGGGTTAAATAGGGAACCAAGCACATAGAGCACAAATTTAAGAAATCTAAGCTGAGTAATAGTGAAAAATATGGTAAAAAATAAGAATGCATGCATACTACCATTCAATAAATTGACGTGAAAAAAATGATGGGTTATGTGGTGGTAATGTGTACATTATTGGAAATGACAATAAATATGAACATTGGGTGAAGATACATGTAAAAGAGTGAAGATCTAACTTTACTGAGAGCATACCAGACGAATATTGTACACAGAGATAGAAAAAGTAAGCCCAAACACTGTATAAATTGGATCTTCATGCCAAGAAACATGTTGTGAACAAAGATTATCACATCTCAGATACTTACACTTTATTTTTAATACCTCTTTAGTTGTGCTAACAGCAGCTGGCCGAATGTTCAAATTAATATCATTAACATCGTAAATTCTTTGATGTGTTTTGTGGTTGTAACACAGAGGGCAGCGGCAGTGATCCCGCAACCAGAGGTAAGGCAGGTAGAGACTGTGAGGCCAGCGGGGGTGGTGGAGCTCCACTTGTGCACCACACTCCAACACTTTGGTGTCTACAATGAAAAAAGTGATCAGAAAACTAAATATCATGCACACAAATAACTCCACTTAATTTTCCAAATTTTTAAAACTATCAATTCCCTTTATTTTATTTATCAATGAATGCATAATACAGCACTGTACATTACTTGGCTATTTTTTAACATACTGGCCTTCTCCCACAGAGGCAAGGTGACCCAAAACAAGTGTTTCTTCTTTTTTATATTTACTAATTTATACAGGAGAAAGGGTTACTAACCCCTTACTTAACTACATAAAACAAAATTTCATTAAAATATGCTAATGCCCAACATTTATTGTCTCACCTTAGTTTAAAATACTAGACAGTAATTTACCTAAAACACAGTTTACTTTTTGATATATGTATACAAAATATCATAAGAACATAAGAAAGAAGGAACACTGCAACAGGCCTACTGACTCATGCGGAGCAGGTCCATGTCCCTTCCCTATGGATTAGACCAATGACCCCCCCACTGGATTAGCCCAATGACCCACCCAGTCTGATCATCTCCACTCAAGGATAGAGCACTGCACCAGACCCAGCAGCACAAGCTAGTCAGGTCTAACTCACACCCACCCACACCCACTCATGTATTTATCTAACCTATTTTTAAAAGTATTCAACGTTTTAGCTTGAATAACTGTACTCGGGAGTTTGTTCCACTCATCCACAACTCTATTACCAAACCAGTGCTTTCCTATGTCTTATTTAGAATACTTATCCTTCTCACAATACATATGAGTGATCTCTCATATGTAAGTACAGCAGTGTATCAACATTATTACTGTTATATAAACTTTACAATAACAGGTCATTATTTAACACCTGTAGAATTTCCATTTTCTGAAAATTAGTCAACTTGTTTTCTTACAACCAGTCCTTCCAACATGCAGTACAGTACATGTACATTTGTACACAAGTAATAAGCATTGGTTAATGGTAGTAAAAAATGTACAGTTGAGGTATGACTTACACTGTACAGTACAATACTCCTCTTACCTCTTGATAAGGGAAATTATTGAAATACATTAAACACAAGTACAATCTGAGATACACAATCTATATTCTGCGACAAGGCTGTGATAATTACGGCATTAAGTCAATACTTTGTGACAAATCATTGATAGTTTGCAATAATTTGTGCGTCGTATGTAATAATTCACTTACAAAATATTGACAGCTTCATTTCCTACATCTGTCTGACTTTTTGGGTTATCCTAAGTTTTCTACACATATGATAATGTATGATAATCTATGTAACTGAACTTGTGTATACCTGAATAAACTTACTACATTTTTTAAACTGATTATTAACAACTGCTCAACAATTCTTCCAATCTGCATTGTCCTTGTCCTTGTCTATCATTCCTTCATCTAGTGTATCTATCTTCATCCTTAATATATCACTAATTATACTTTTTTTTTATTGAATCACTAAATACCTCCAGTACTGTAAAAACTATGTATTTATATTCTCATATAATGTACTTGTAATCATAATTTAGTTTTAAGGCTGCCCAAAATGTTTTGCATAATAAGAAGCTTTCTATAAAGTAGTTATATACATACATATATAAATTACTGTGATGTTACTAACTCAGTTGTTATACATTTGTTATAATTTTGCCTGTACATTTTTTTATACATACACACATTGATCCTAATCATATCTCTTAACATCTGGTGCAACTACATGCTATGCTGAAGAATACGTATATATGACAACCAGCAGCTTACTGGCCAAACTGCAAATACTATACAGCAAACACTGCTAAAGGTGTTCTTAATAAAAAGTAAATGTCTAAATATCTTCAATTGCAACACTAGATTGCTAAGTAAATATCATGATGACATCATAGCAGCACCTGAAACTCTAAATGCTAAATTATTTTAAACAAGACCTAGCCAAAACATGATTTCACTTATGTATTCAATATACCTGAGTACATACCCATCCATTGCTAAGCCAGACAAGAAAAGAGAAGGTATAACTATATACTATGCCAGTGACCTCATTCGCATGAATATCATAAATACCAATGACGAATATAATGAATATATACCATACAGTATTCGCTCAATTTAACATAAATAATTCTGAGCTAATAACAACTGGTGCTATTTACAGAACACTCCACACAAACATACAAAGTTTTGGTGACAATCAAAGGAACATGATAAGCAACAAACTTGTAAAAATCACCTGCTAATTGCTGATGACTAACATAAACCTCTGCCAAATCAATAACCCTCAAGTGTTAGGAATACATCATACTGGATGATTAGTGAGTGTTTAAGTGGCAATACTCAGGTGTTCAAGCTTTGACCCCAGCAACTACAAGTTGGTAGGTAGATCTGAAATTTGAAAAGCACTTTGACTGTGTAAATCATTCAGTACTCTTGGCAATAATAAGTAACAATAATAATATCTTTATTTCTGCAAGTACTACATGTACAAGGTATACAGGCCTAGCTGACATCAATGACATACTACTGCATTTCGGGCAAATTAGGTCAAATTTGTCCCAGAATGCGACCCACACCAGTTGACTGACACCTAGGTACCCATTATTACTGATGGGTGAACATAGACAACCCAATGTTTCTACCCCTTTGCCAGGAATTGAACCCAGACCCTCACTGTGTGACTCAAGAGCTTTGCCACCAGGCCACGGGGCCTTATTGTATCATGTACTTGTAGAAATAAAGATAAACTTAAAGAATAAAAAAAATCAGCATGAATAAAACATATAAATAATATCATACCTAGTTAAAATCATCAGAATTTGCTAAAAATCTAATAAAAATTTTATATCAAAAGACTTTCTTAGAAGTTCCATAAGATCCTAATAAGAACCAAAATAATTATAAAAGCTATGATGAAAGCAAAGGGGACAAGTCGTGGGTAAATACATAAAATGTGTTACAGGTCAGGGGCACCTACAAATGGATAGCTGTGGCAAGATGTGTGTTCCCAATCCCCAATCAACAGAAGTTCATCTCAGTGATAATTCCTACTGAAGCAAACTGGTAAGAACCAACACATGCATAGCTGAAATATCCACTATATTGCATACGACTTTTTATGTTAAAAGCGCTGAAAACCAAACATTTCTAATGCTTAGTTTAAATCTTACAACTCAAACATGAAAATGTAAAACTGGTTAGTATTTTGTGAAGCCAAAAATACTGAAAAAAATGCACATAAAACAAGAAGCAGAAAAGCATTTTTAAGAATGTTATATATTGGGGTTATTTATATTAAATTTGAAATTATTCATCCTCAAATACTTCTAATGTTTCACTTACCAACTGAGACAGAACAGTAAGGTCTTCTCACCAGTCTGGAAAAAAAAAATTGATCATATACAGTATGCACGATTTTTAGTAAGTTTGTTTAGCAGGGACACCACGAGTACATTGATAGACAACGCTATAAGTGTCAGGGGCCCAAGACTGTTCAACCGCCTCCCAGCATACATAAGGGGGAATGCCAATAGACCCCTGGCCGTTTTCAAGAAGGCACTGGACAGGCACCTAAAATCAGTACCTGACCAGCTGGGCTGTGGTTTGTACATCAGTTTGTGTGCGGCCAGCAGTAACAGCCTGGTTGATCAGACCCTGATCCACCACGAGACCTGGTCTCCGACCAAGTAGTTACACAAATATAGGCGACTACAATTATGATACCTAGTAACATACGTGTGTAAATTACCTAGGATTACCAAAAAAGTATGATGAAGTGACTTATTTCCATTAGAGTTTATTTTTTAACACGTCGGCCGTTTCCCACCATGGCAGGGTGACCCAAAGAGAAAGAACCCCCTAACCCCTCCCCCCCCCAAAAAAAAAAAAGACTTTCATCATCATTCAACACTTTCACCATCACTCACATAATCAGTCTTTAAAAAGGCGCTCAGATACGACAGTTTAGATGTCACTCCAAATTGCCAATATCCTAAACCCTTCCTTTAAAGTGCAGACATTGTACTTCCCACCTCCAGGACTCAAGTCCGGCTAACCAGTTTACCTGAATCCCTTCACAAAATATTACCCTGCTCACACTCCAACAGCTCATCAGGTCCCAAAAACCATTCGTCTCCATTCACTCCCATCTAACATACTCACACATGCCTGCTGCATGTAAATTATATATGCATAACTTAAAATAATGTCCCTGATAGTAATTCAAAACAGTAGTTTGCCCCCAAAACAAACATCATAACTATGAAAAAAATTATTCCAAGAATTATAGAAGTACATAATGGATGTTTTCTGTAGGAAAATATTACCTGAGAGCAAGTTGTCTTACCTGGTGCAGGAAACATGCCAGGAGGTAGAGGAGTGTGTGAGTGTCCTGAGGAACCTCAGCATCATGATGGTACCTGAGTGATCATAGTTGTATCATTCAGGTGACTACTGTATCATTCACACCTATTGTATCATACAAAATGCTACTGTATCATAAAGTGCTACTGTATTATTCAGGTTGCTAGTGAAAAAGTTCTGTTCCAAGAGGTACAGTACTAACTCCCACCCTCTTCCTCCTACTAATAAATAATAATAATAATAATAATATAATAATATATAATAACAATAATGATAATAATAATATAATATAATAATAATAATAATAATAATAATAATAATAATAATATAATAATAATAACAATAATGATAATAATAATATAATATAATAATAATAATAATATAATAATAATAATATAATAATAATAATATAATAATAATAATATAATAATAACAATAATAATAATAATAATAATAATAATAATAATATAATAATAATAATAATACAATAACAATAATAATAACAATAATAATAACAATAATAATAATAATAATAATAATAATAATAATAATAATATAATAATAACAATAATGAATAATAATAATATAATATAATAATAATAATATAATAATAATAATATAATAATAATAAATAATAATAATAATAATAATAATAATAATAATAATAATAATAATAATAATAATAATAATATAATAATATAATAATAATAATAATAATAATAATAATAATAATAATAATAATAATAATAATAATAATAATAATAATAATAATAATAATAATATTTACTACGGATACATGTACAAGGTATACAGATCATAGTTGACATCAGTAACATACTACTGTATAGAAAGTCGCTTGTTATACTGAGCATTTCCCGCAAATTAGGTCAGTTTTGTCCCAGGGTGCGACCCACACCAGTCCACTAACACCCAGGATGTGACCCACACCAGTCCACTAACACCCAGGATGCGACCCACACCAGTCCACTAACACCGATGTGACCCACACCAGTCCACTACACCCAGGATGCGACCCACACCAGTCCACTAACACCCAGGATGCAACCCACACCAGTCCACTAACACCCATGATGCGACCCACACCAGTCCACTAACACCCAGGATGCGACCCACACCAGTCCACTAACACCCAGGATGCGACCCACACCAGTCCACTAACACCCAGGATGCGACCCACACCAGTCCACTAACACCCAGGATGCGACCCACACCAGTCCACTAACACCCAGGATGCGACCCACACCAGTCCACTAACACCCAGGATGCGACCCACACCAGTCCACTAACACCCAGGATGCGACCCACACCAGTCCACTAACACCCAGGATGCGACCCACACCAGTCCACTAACACCCAGGATGTGACCCACACCAGTCCACTAACACCCAGGATGCGACCCACACCAGTCCACTAACACCCAGGATGCGACCCACACCAGTCCACTAACACCCAGGATGCGACCCACACCAGTCCACTAACACCCAGGATGCGACCCACACCAGTCCACTAACACCCAGGATGCGACCCACACCAGTCCACTAACACCCAGGATGCGACCCACACCAGTCCACTAACACCCAGGTACCTGTTTTACTGATGGGTGAACATGGACAACAGGTATCTTAAGAAAACACGCTGAATCCAATGTTTGCACCCGCATCGGGAATCGAACCACGGACCTCAGTGTGTGAGATGAGTGCGCTAGCAATCCAGCTGCGGAGCACCATAAAACTGCACGGAATGCTCTGCACAACCTGGAGAGAGTTCCAGGGGTCAATGCCCCCGCAGCCCGGTCTGTGACCAGGCCTCATGGTGGATCAGGGCCTGATCAACCAGGCTGTTACTGCTGGCTGCACGCAATCCAACATACGAACCACAGCCCGGCTGGTCAGGTACCGACTTTAGGTGCTTGTCCAGTGCCAGCTTGAAGACTGCCAGGGGTCTGTTGGTAATCCCCCTTATGTATGCTGGGAGGCAGTTGAACAGTCTCGGGCCCCTGACACTTATTGTATGGTCTCTTAACGTGCTAGTGACACCCCTGCTTTTCATTGGGGGGATGGTGCATCGTCTGCCAAGTCTTTTGCTTTCGTAGTGAGTGATTTTCGTGTGCAAGTTCGGTACTAGTCCCTCTAGGATTTTCCAGGTGTATATAATCATGTATCTCTCTCGCCTGCGTTCCAGGGAATACAGGTTCAGGAACTTCAAGCGCTCCCAGTAATTGAGGTGTTTTATCTCCATAAAGATTACAATGCGGGGTATACAGATTTTGGATATTGTGTGGTTTACATGTTATAAAATACTAATTACAGAGGGGGCCACTAGGACACCTAGCATGGCTAGGCATTTCGGGCAGACTTAGATTAATTCTTAACTCTAAATTAATACAGATTATGGAGTAAGTTGGTATTAACGCTAAGTGACTACATTATAGTTTGTGAGTTTAGCAATGTAAATGCTTTTGTTTTGGCACAATACACAGGTTCTATATTGTAGTATCACCTTCAAACTTATGACTAGTTAGGATTCATTATTTTATGATTAAGATTCGTATTTCTGTGATTATAGTCAAGTGGGTAAGTGTAAGTGTGAACCACCAAGTGGTATTCATGTAGTTAGTTGACGGGGTGTATCAGGGAGATAAGATGTTTTTTAATGGTAGTTTTGAAGGTGAATGTGTCTGCAGTTCTAGAGTTTTCAGGTAGGGTGTTCCAGATTTTAGTCTGTATAGCCCTTGTGGCTTAGCGCTTCTTTTTGATTATAATAATCCAGATTTTAGGCCCTTTGACACACAGAATTTTTGTAAAGGTTTAGTCAGACGCGTGGAATGTCATAGAGATGTTTGTCTGGTGTTATGCCTGTGGGTTCTGTCACAACTATCAAGAAAGCGTTTTAGGTCAAGGTTAATATTGGAATTTAAGGTCCTGTAGATGTAGATTGCACAGTAGTAAGTGTGGATGTACTGAACAGGGGGTAAGTTTAGATCTGTGAAGAGTGGGGGGGGGGTGTTGCCAGGGATGGGATTTAGTGATTATTCTTACTGCGGCTTTTTGTTGGGTTATTGGCTTTAGGTGTGTTGCTGCAGTTGATCCCCAAGCACAAATAGCATAGGTGAAGTATGGATAAATGAGTGAATGGTATAGTGTGAGAAGGACATTTTGCGGCACGTAGTATCGTATCTTGGAGAGGATTCCAACCGTTTTGGATACTTTTTTTGTTATGTGTTGGATATGGGTGCTGAAATTCAGGTTGTTGTCGAGGTATAGGCCTAGGAATTTGCCCTCATTATGTCTGGCAATTATAGTGTTGTCGATCTTAATATTAAGTTGAGCAACACCTGCTCTGCTACCAAACATAATATAGTAGGTTTTGTCAGTGTTAAGTGTAAGTTTATTGGCTGTCATCCAAGTCGATATTTTGAACAGCTCCTCGTTAACAATGGTGTTGAGGGTGGCAAGAATAGGGTGGGAGATGACATAAGTCGTGTCGTCAGCAAAGGGCTTGGCATCCCTAGTTTTGAAGGTTCTCATTATCCATCTTGTCATTTTTCTAGCAGATGCGATTGATACAATGTTATGGTTCTTGAAGGTGAGATCCTCCGACATGATCACTCCCAGGTCTTTGACGTTGGTTTTTCGCTCTATTGTGTGGTGTGTGTGTGTGTGTGTGTGTGTAGCGGGCTAGTTGCGGGATTTTCAAGGATAGCTCCTGGTCAAAGAGGCTGACCAGGTCCCTACTTAACAGAACTCAGTGTGAATGCTTGGAGAAGATACCAGAGCAGCGAACGGACATCCCAGTGCATCGTTTCAGCGTAAATAGTTGAAGTGTTGTGCAGTTTCAGAGGATTTGGTGTTGTCGAGTCAGGACCAGTCAGCGCCTCCCCCCCTCTCCGCTGGGGGGAGGGGGAGGGCGTGTGTAGTAAACAGTGACCCTTTCATAACGCCTCAACACCTGCGCGTCTCCCCCGCCTCACCCACCCAACTCCCAGCGCCACCCCATCAGTAGAGGGTACTCTCTCCCCAACCCACGATGTCAGCGATGGCACTGCAGGAGTGCCGGGCTCACAGGAACTTCCACTACAGGACAGCATCGTGGAGTTCGACCGCGAGCAGCTGTCAGGTGTGCCACAGGCAGTGTGTACTCAGTTCCTCAAGCTTCAACATCCATGCACACGAGGGCCTGGGATCTTCAAATTTAACTTGGCGTCCACCAGGACGCTGACATGTCCCTAGGGGAGCTCTTCATCGGGCTGCTAACGGAGTCACTGGCTTCTTGACCTCTTGGGGAGGGTCGATGGTGCTCGTGCAAGCAGCAGATCCCAGGGCAAACTTGCTGCTGTTTGCAATGGCTGTCTACGAGGAGAGACAGGCACCTAGCAACATCTGTTGTTGGGGCAATGGATGAATTCCCTGCTATGTTTGTTTACTGCTCATTACTCTGTAATTTGTCTATGATTGTAATCATGTGATAACGTGTTTATCATTCATTACCTTTGAAACTTGTCATGATTGTGACCAGCTCTACCTGGAGCTCATTACCTTTGTAAATTCTCATGATTAATGTGTTTATGATTCATTACTTTTGCAATTATTCATGAGTGTGACCAGCTCTACCTGGAGCTCATTACCTTTGTAACTTGGTCATGATTATGACCAGATCTAGTTCATTACCTTTGTAACTTGCTCAGCTATCAAAACTTTGGAGTCCAGTCCCTGGACCAATTATGTACCTCTGTAATCTTTTGACTACCGCCCACAGGATGGGTATGGGGTGCATAATAAACATATTAAACTAAAAACTGTGTGGTTGGAATTTGTTTTATACCCTGATGAGGTTTTAATTTCCTCACATTTACCATATCGGAGTGATTGAAATTTCTCATCGCTGAACTTCAGATTGTTTTCTGCAGCCCATTGAAAGATTTGGTTGATGTCTACCTGGAGCCTTGCAGTGTCTGCAATGGAAGACACTGGCATGCAGATTCGGGTGTCATCTGCAAAGAAGACACGGTACTGTGGTTTATATCCCCGTCTATGTCTGATATGAGGATGAGGAACAAGATGGGAGTGAGTACTGTGCCTTGTGGAACAGAGCTTTTCACCGTAGCCGCCTCAGACTTGACTGTTTACTCAGGGGTTGTCTGCATAGTATGTTATTGTTGTCAGCTATGGTCTGTATAACTGGTATCACGTAGTTGTAGAAATAAATATTATTACTGTAACACTCAGAGTTACTCTATCACTGGTGATGGTGTGAGTAAGACTGACCAGGAAACTCACTCACTGACCAAAGTCTGCTGAACGGCACTTATCTACACTGATCACTCAGCATCTGCTGTGAGCTGTCAGTTATTATTATTATTATTATTATTATTATTATTATTATTATTATTATTAAGACTGAACGTTCAACCCACATGGGTCATACAATGCTCCTGTCAGTGTCTACATTGATTAATTAATCAACCACTGCGGTACACTAGCAGCAACAGCTTGGTTGAATAATCTAGGTAATGAGAGGGAATTGCCTTGATGCAGGTGACGGACTCTTGATCCATGGAGTTAATTAAGAGTGCCCCTCCCATTCCTTTGATCAAACCTGATTACCTCTCATACCCCAGGTACTGTCTGACCCCTACGAATTTAGTGCTTGCCAATAATAATTATTCGGAAGAATATTATGTATGCTATGATTATGTCTCCTCTTGATTACCTTTACTTTTGATGAGTTCCGAGAGTTTTTCTAATCCCGGCGCCCGGCCATAGGTCAGGCTCGTCTGGTGCTTGTCTGAACAACCAGGTAGTGGTCCGCCGATCCATATCCATCGCAGCCTGGTGCAGTATACTCATCTATTGGAACTCACATATTTGTAGTCACCTTTTTGTGGCTGCATAGGTCGAGTCTCGGCTCCTGGCCCTGTTTCATAACTGGCCGCTACTGAGTTCACTATCGTCTGGTTTGGTCAGTTCTGTAATAATAATAATAATAATAATAATAATAATAATAATAATAATAATAATAATAATAATAATAATAATAATAATATATCTTTATTTACTACAAGTACATGTACAAGGTATACAGGCCTAGCTGACAACAATGACATATACTACTATACAGAAAGCCCTTTGTTATGCTCCGTATGTCAGGCAAATTAGGTCAGTGTCCCAGGATGCGACCCACACCAGTCCACTAACACCCAGGTACCCATTTTACTGATGGGGAACATAGACAACAGGTGGAAAGAAACACGCCCAATGTTTCTACTCTGGCTGGGAAACGAACCCAGGCCCTCGCCGTGTGAAGCGAGAGCTATCATAACTATTCTTGAAGATATGTACAGATTCTGGTAAAGAACTACAGACCGATAGCGCTAACGTCCCATATCATAAAAATCTTTGCAAGGATTCTAAGAAGCAAGATCACCACCCATCTAGATACTCAGCAGTTACACAACCCACGGCAATATGAGTTTAGAGTAGGTCGCTCCTGTTGGTCCCAACTACTGGACCACTATGACAAGGTCCTGGATGCTCTAGAAGACAAATAGTAGTAGGGGTGGTAGCAGTAGTAGTAGGGGTAATAGTAGTAGTAGGGGTAGTAGTAGTAGGGGTAGTAGTAGTAGTAGTAGTAGTAGTAGTAGGGGTGGTAGTAGTAGTAGTATTTTCTTCACATATCTCCTTAGGAATGATAGGTAAACAAGATTGATCCAAAGGCAAGATAGCTCCTATTCCCCGGATCAAGAGCTCCTCACCTTGTTCTCACCTCTCCCACACAAGCACGAAGCAGATGCCCGAGATCGACCCCCTATATTCGCAATTAGGTGAGTACTCTGAGTTAGAATTTAATGAGTTAAAATGTGTACACTAGTCTATGCATCCCCTTTAATGGGTAGATGTGTGTGGGGGGGGAGGTGCCTTGATACCGGTAATCATGGCCCAGACTGTTCAGGCTGTTGATAATGATCATGGAGTTAATACTGACTGATTATGTTGATGATACTGACTGTTCATGGCGTTGTTTTTTTACTGATCATTAAGCTTCAGGGCCCCTAATCCCGGAGGGCACCCAGAAACAACTTCAGTCCACATTGCTTAAAAATTTTGGCTCTACTGTATGAGAAGGGACCCTCATAACAGTTCAGGCTTCAGGGATCCAAAAATGTAGGTCCGCCATTGTTTATGGCATTGACATTGACTGCTACTGGCGTTGATAGTGGCTGCTCATGGCGTTGATACTGACTGATCACGTAGATCAAATGATGGGGAAGATGATTCAGACTTGCTACCTTTTTTTTTTACCGTGATTACATAGTTCGCAGCTTGAGGGCACTTTAAATACAATACCCGCATACTTCCAGAAAGCATTTGCAGCAGATACTTGCAGTAGGCACTTGCAGCAAGCACCTGCAGTAGGTACTTGCAGTAGGCACTTGCAGCAGGTATTTCCAGCAGGTTCTTGCATCAGATACTCGCAGCAGGTATTTCCAGATCTACTCCCAACAGGTACTTGCAGCAGGCACTTGCAGCAGGTACTTGCAGTAGACACTTGCAGTAGGTACTTCCAGCAGGTTCTTGCATCAGATTCTCGCAGCAGGTATTTCCAGATCTACTCCCAACAGGTACTTGCAGCAGGCACTTGCGGCAGATACTCGCAGCAGGCACTTGCAGCAGGTATTAGCAGTAGGTACTTCCATCACATACTTCCAGCAGGTACCAGAGAGCCTTCTCAACACATGGCTGGAGGGAGCAGGTTGGTGGGAGTAAGGTTGTAAGGTTGTTGTGGCAACTGTTGCAAAATACATACCATAATAATCTGAAGGTCACCTGCTGAGTACGTTTTAGTTGTAACATTTCAAGCTGCTATGTATGATTATTTAAGGTAACTGTATTTATGTGTACCTGTACCTGAATTAACTTACTTATTTATCATACTACAACGCTACTAAGATGGGTATGGGGTGCATAATAAACGTATTAAACTGAATTCCCTGTACATTACCATCAAGACGTAGTTTTTCCCCCTGGAATCTACGTTTCCCACATGGTTGAACAATTTTTCAAGTAATCTTGACTTGATAAACCTCTACACCTGAGCGAAATGTTGTCGTAATAATAATAAAAAAGAGCTTCTGCATCATTGTGTCCTTATACTAACATCAAGAATGTTTTTAATCCCTAAGGTAGAGAGTAAGTAAACTTGCAATGTGTATATATATACACCAAGATATACATCTCGAGTTAACAGTATATTCCCAAGTACCCTATTTGCATGGTTGTTGTTAAGTCATTCCTCATTCGAATTATATATTAATCTCTAAATGAACTAAATTATGATAGGAGAGAGATAGGGAGAGTGGAGGTAGTGGTAATAAGTGTTGATGAGGTTAAAATAGGCACACAACCACAATGGAAATAGGTCACTGACTATTTTGGGTTATCCTACGTAACTGACACATATGTACTAGGTATGCTCATTTTACTTATGTGGAGCTGTACCTAAATAAACTTAGTAATATGGCTGGTGGTGGCATGTATTGATCTGAGGGGAGTGTACAACACGCTTAGCTTAGTCTGTTAGTTTCCTTGCCTGTCTGTGGCTGTCTGTCTATCCTTCCGGCTGTCTTGGTAAGTGTGTATGTATATATATATATATATAATATATATATATATATATATATATATATATATATATATATATATATATATACAGTTGGTATTTCATTCACTGTATATGTCATTGGACACCATCTAGCAGCGTCATAGTGACGAGCACAAATGGAAATAAGTTAGATGTTTGAATCTGTTGAATTATCCTAGGTTAAATTAACATAATATAATTCGTATGTACCCATAACATGTGTGTCCTAAGGATCACTGTAAAAAAAATTATATACCTAAAGCCTATATGTACACTTAGCTGAGAAAGACCAGTGTCGGGTGGGTTTTACCGAGCAAAAAAGTAATAGGTTTTAGGGCCGCTTGTGACACATACTGCATTTATCAACATCTTAGTTTCGTAGGTTTATTTTTCATCCCATATACCCAGAGACGGCGCCAGAATTTCTGTCCCGAAGGGCAGGGTGCTCAGGACTGGCTATACGACTTGGGTTGACGGGGCTATATGACTTTTGTTGACGGAGCTATATGACTTTTGTTGACGGGGCTATATGACCTGTGTTGACGGAGCTATATGACTTGTGTTGTCGGGGCTATATGACTTGTGTTGACGGGGCTATATGACTTTTGTTGACGGAGCTATATGACGTGTTGACGGGGCTATATGACGTGTTGACGGAGCTATATGACGTGTTGACGGGGCTATATGACTTTTGTTGACGGGGCTATATGACTTGTGTTGACGGGGCTATATGACTTGTGTTGACGGGGCTATATGACTTGTGTTGACGGGGCTATATGACTTGTGTTGACGGGGCTATATGACTTGTGTTGACGGGGCTATATGACTTGTGTTGACGGGGCTATATGACTTGTGTTGACGGGGCTATATGACTTGTGTTGACGGGGCTATATGACGTGTTTTAGGTAGGTGAAATAAATTCCCAATGTCACTGAGGGATGCACACTGATAATTCTAAAACAGACTGGCTAAATGACTCGACATGCCTTGTGTTCTAATGTATTTTATAGTTGATCTGACATGTAAGTGCTTCACCAGAACCTGCCAGACATAAGCCAGTAGTGCTTCTAACTCTTAATGGTTATAATTATAGCCATAATTTTTAAAGGGGTGGACGGTAAACCAGTGGAAGGCCTCGGTCAGATGACCAAAAACTCCAGCTGCCGGTCATCACTTGACTAAGACCCACGTCAAGAAACACTTGTCCTGTTTGCTAACAAACCTTTCCCAACATAACCTAGTTCTTCTATTCTTACTCTCTCCAATTACTGGTGAGGGGATGGGGAGGTTAATTCAAGGAGTCTGACCTCCCTTCCTTTCGCTAGCACACTCGGCTTACACACTAAGTTCCAGAGATCAAATCCCCGGTACGGCTGGAAAACATTAGAACTTGTTTCACTAAGGCACCTCTTGTCAATGTTCACCCATCAGTAAAATAGGTACCTGGGTGTTATTGGACTGGTGTGGGTCGCATCCTGGGACAAAACTGACTTAATTTGCGGGAAATGCTCAGCATAACAAGCGGCTTTCTATATATTAGTATGTCATTGATGTCAGCTAGGCCTGTATACCTTGTACATGACTCCTATGAGCTTAGCGCTCCTCTCCCCAAGAATGTAACACAACACAGAACGGGTGGGGTTTGAACCCATGGCAAGTGAGTCCTAAAATTCACCGACCAATGAGTTAAAACCTGCCATGGGTTCTAACCCCACCCGTTCCGTGATTTGTTACCAATCGTATTATTTCGATTTCGTGATTCATGAATGTAATAATTATCATAAAATTCATTCTTACAGTATTACAAAAGGGTTGTAGTGTGCGGCAGCGATGGTGAAGCTGGGAGTGAAGGTGAAAGGCTCACCATGCAAGGAGAAGAAACCTGAGGTGGTGCTGAAGGAGGTGGTGACGGGGGAGGATGTTAAGACTCCACTCCTGCCAGGTCAGTCACAACACTGGATTAAATCCCCTTAATGGACTCTGTATGTGCCTATAACATCTGTTTAACGTCAAAACCATTCTAAAAAAAAAAAATCTGTACGTTTGGTACCTGAAGCCTAAATAAATAAAATCTTACCTACTTAATACCCCAGCATCGTAGAATGAAACTGACCTACGTCAGGCGAAGCTTATTTTTATTGGAAATAAAAGTAAGCTTCATTTGGTTTAAAGGTATTTTGAAAGCTTCATATATGCCAACACATAAGCTGTTTACAAGCAAGGTAGCGTGAATATTTAATGAAGATGTGTTCACCATGGCCGACTCCATATTGATATAGGAAGGGGTGACTCCATGTTTATATAGGAGGGGCGACACCGACACCATGTTCATATAGGAGGGGTGACTCCATGTTTATATAGGAGGGGTGACTCCATGTTTATATAGGAGGGGTGACTCCATGTTCATATAGGAGGGGTGACTCCATGTTCATATAGGAGGGGTGACTCCATGTTCATATAGGAGGGGTGACTCCATGTTCATATAGGAGGGGTGACTCCAGGTTCATATAGGAGGAATGACTCCATGTTTATATAGGAGGGGTGACTCCAGGTTCATATAGGAGGGGTGACTCCATGTTTATATAGGAGGGGTGACTCCAGGTTCATATAGGAGGGGTGACTCCAGGTTCATATAGGAGGGGTGACTCCATGTTTATATAGGAGGGGTGACTCCAGGTTCATATAGGAGGGGTGACTCCAGGTTCATATAGGAGGGGTGACTCCAGGTTCATATAGGAGGGGTGACTCCATGTTTATATAGGAGGGGTGACTCCATGTTTATATAGGGGTGACTCCAGGTTCATATAGGAGGGGTGACTCCAGGTTCATATAGGAGGGGTGACTCCATGTTTATATAGGAGGGGTGACTCCAGGTTCATATAGGAGGGGTGACTCCAGGTTCATATAGGAGGGGTGACTCCAGGTTCATATAGGAGGGGTGACTCCATGTTCATATAGGAGGGGTGACTCCAGGTTCATATAGGAGGGGTGACTCCAGGTTCATATAGGAGTGACTCCAGGTTCATATAAGAGGGGTGACTCCAGGTTCATATAGGAGGGGTGACTCCAGGTTTATATAAGAGGGGTGACTCCAGGTTCATATAGGAGGGGTGACTCCAGGTTCATATAGGAGGGGTGACTCCAGGTTCATGTAGGAGGGGTGACTCCAGGTTCATATAGGAGGGGTGACTCCAGGTTCATGTAGGAGGGGTGACTCCAGGTTCATATAGGAGGGGTGACTCCAGGTTCATATAGGAGGGGTGACTCCAGGTTCATATAGGAGGGGTGACTCCAGGTTCATATAGGAGGGGTGACTCCAGGTTTATATAAGAGGGGTGACTCCAGGTTCATATAGGAGGGGTGACTCCAGGTTCATATAGGAGGAGCAACTCATCACGAGTGTGTGTGTGTGTGTTTACACTAAGTCTATATAGCAACAATATATTAAAGTGAGGAAAAATTAATTAAAATTGGTAACTAAGTCACTGCACGTACAGAAGGGGTCCGCCAGCGGAGGAACAAGAAGGAGCAGCCGAGGTATATACCCACAGACTGGGACGACTCACTACCTTATGGAGGCAAGGTATATCTGGCCAGGAAGAAGCTACCAGACTCTTGGCTCTGCGTCTTCTTGCAGGTGAAGTTATTTCATTACAGGTAGTATGTGGTCCTGCGGGGTATACCACTGCATATTCATCATGTATGCCAATACTAGCAGTGTGCTATTACCCAATTCTGATAACAATATGGTGGGAACAAAATCAAGGTTCCTACGTTCTCCTACTTGATACGATAACTATATAAATGGGAACAAACGAGCTAGTTTAATAACTTTATGGACCCCATACCCATCCTGTGGGCGGTGTTGTGCTGCTACCCTGCTCTGTGTTACACAGTGGGAAATAAAGTTTGCCATTTCCATATTCTCTATGAGTTACATAGTGGGAACAAAAGTTAGATGTTTCCCTGTTATATTCTACCATATAGAACGGGTCTCACACTGTGAATGAGGAAGTAAAATGAGTGAGGCTGATTATTATAATCAAAACTAAGCACTAAACCCACAAGGGTCATACAGTGAGGGAGCCTGAGCTTGCAGACTTCATTAAGGCGATACTGATATCAACAAATTTTGTTGAAAATAAGAAAAAGTTTTGGAGTGAGATTAACAAGTTAAGAAAGCCTAGAGAACAAATGGATTTGTCAGTTAAAAATAGGAGAGGAGAGTTATTAAATGGAGAGTTAGAGGTATTGGGGAGATGGAAGGAATATTTTGAGGAATTGTTAAATGTTGATGAAGATAGGGAAGCTGTGATTTCGTGTATAGGGCAAGGAGAATAACATCTTGTAGAGTGAGGAAGAGCCAGTTGTGAGTGTGGGGGAAGTTCGTGAGGCAGTAGGTAAAATGAAAGGGGGTAAGGCAGCCGGGATTGATGGGATAAAGATAGAAATGTTAAAAGCAGGTGGGGATATAGTTTATGGAGTGGTTGGTGCAATTATTTAATAAATGTATGGAAGAGGGTAAGGTACCTAGGGATTGGCAGAGAGCATGCATAGTTCCTTTGTATAAAGGCAAAGGGGATAAAAGAGAGTGCAAAATTATAGGGGGATAAGTCTGTTGAGTGTACCTGGTAAAGTGTATGGTAGAGTTATAATTGAAAGAATTAAGAGTAAGACGGAGAATAGGATAGCAGATGAAACAAGGGGCTTTAGGAAAGGTAGGGGGTGTGTGGACCAGGTGTTTACAGTGAAACATATAAGTGAACAGTATTTAGATAAGGCTAAAGAGGTCTTTGTGGCATTTATGGATTTGGAAAAGGCGTATGACAGGGTGGATAGGGGGGCAATGTGGCAGATGTTGCAAGTGTATGGTGTAGGAGGTAGGTTACTGAAAGCAGTGAAGAGTTTTTACGAGGATAGTGAGGCTCAAGTTAGAGTATGTAGGAAAGAGGGAAATTTTTTCCCAGTAAAAGTAGGCCTTAGACAAGGATGTGTGATGTCACCGTGGTTGTTTAATATATTTATAGATGGGGTTGTAAGAGAAGTAAATGCGAGGGTCTTGGCAAGAGGCGTGGAGTTAAAAGATATAAAGAATCACACACAAAGTGGGAGTTGTCACAGCTGCTCTTTGCTGATGACACTGTGCTCTTGGGAGATTCTGAAGAGAAGTTGCAGAGATTGGTGGATGAATTTGGTAGGGTGTGCAAAAGAAGAAAATTAAAGGTGAATACAGGAAAGAGTAAGGTTATGAGGATAACAAAAAGATTAGGTGATGAAAGATTGAATATCAGATTGGAGGGAGAGAGTATGGAGGAGGTGAACGTATTCAGATATTTGGGAGTGGACGTGTCAGCGGATGGGTCTATGAAAGATGAGGTGAATCATAGAATTGATGAGGGAAAAAGAGTGAGTGGTGCACTTAGGAGTCTGTGGAGACAAAGAACTTTGTCCTTGGAGGCAAAGAGGGGAATGTATGAGAGTATAGTTTTAACCAACGCTCGTATATGGGTGTGAAGCGTGGGTGATGAATGTTGCAGCGAGGAGAAGGCTGGAGGCAGTGGAGATGTCATGTCTGAGGGCAATGTGTGGTGTGAATATAATGCAGAGAATTCGTAGTTTGGAAGTTAGGAGAGGTGCGGGATTACCAAAACTGTTGTCCAGAGGGCTGAGGAAGGGTTGTTGAGGTGGTTCGGACATGTAGAGAGAATGGAGCGAAACAGAATGACTTCAAGAGTGTATCAGTCTGTAGTGGAAGGAAGGCGGGGTAGGGTCGCCTAGGAAGGGTTGGAGGGAGGGGGTAAAGGAGGTTTTGTGTGCGAGGGGCTTGGACTTCCAGCAGGCATGCGTGAGCGTGTTTGATAGGAGTGAATGGAGACAAATGGTTTTTAATACTTGACGTGCTGTTGGAGTGTGAGCAAAGTAACATTTATGAAGGGGTTCAGGGAAACCGGTAGGCCGGACTTGAGTCCTGGAGATGGGAAGTACAGTGCCTGCACTCTGAAGGAGGGGTGTTAATGTTGCAGTTTAAAAACTGTAGTGTAAAGCACCCTTCTGGCAAGACAGTGATGGAGTGAATGATGGTGAAAGTTTTTCTTTTTCGGGCCACCCTGCCTTGGTGGGAATCGGCCGGTGTGATAATAAAAAAAAAAAATGATATCGTCAAGTATTCCGCTTTCCCTGAGTTCATAGATAAGACAGTTTTGATAATATATTGATCGTGTGCGGGGAATGGGAGGCTATAAGGGGCACGTTTGGACAAGGTAGATTATAGTGGAAGAATGAACATAGTTATTAAAAGATGGGGGAAGTTATGTGCCTCTTACTTACTCTTAAGTTCGACCTAAGGAAGGGGAGGATAGCTCCAAGTCTTCTGATCAAACACAGTGGTAACTGCAGAAGTTTCATTCCAACATATCTGGAGTCAGCTTTTGACTGAGGTTGCAGCTCACAGGAAAGTACATTGATGTTGGTGAAGGGCTCTTGATCCAAGGAAATGGATGTGCCCTCCCCTTCCATTGGTCAAGGGGAAACCTACAACTACATCTAATAATAATAATAAAAAATAATGTCATTTGTTTACCCCATCTACATAAGTATTAATGTATCACCGCCTGCACTACAACGTAACCCTACCTCCTCCTCCTGCTGGTGCAGGTGCTGGTTGTAGCAGGTGCACTAGGGCTGCTCTACTATGGGTTGTACTACACTGAGCACATGCATTACCACATCGTCAAGGCTTATGCTCACCTGGGCTACAAGGATGCTCAGGCCACTGTCGGTCACAAACTTCTTAATGGTAAAATTTTATTTTTGTAAATATTTAGTCTAAATGCTTGGACAGTTAGGTGATAATTTATAGTTTATAGTGTATAATAATATGTGGACTTTGCAATAGATATATCTATTATTTTGTGTGCAAATGTTCTTCCTGCTTTGTATGGCATTAAGGGCATTGACCTACGAAGAGGTCATTAGTCATGGTCACCTGGCACCTAGGAAGAGACAAGGAAGAAATATACCTGTTTCTACCTGACTGGGAAGTTACTCCTCCCATGAGGGGTAACTTCCCAGAGCAGCACAATCTATGACTGTGTTTCTTGTAGACTTAAATGATGAATGGTCTGCATTGCCCTATGAACGACATAAGTTGCGCCTATTTTTCCAAAGACAACAATTCCACCGTAATACAGCATATACCTGGAGAGAGTTCTGGGGGTCAACACCCCCCACAGCCCAGTCTGTGACCAGGCTGTTACTGTTGGCCGCACACAATCCAACTTATGAACCACAGCCCGGCTGGTCAGGTACTGACTTTAGGTGCCTGTCCAGTGCCTGCTTGAAGACAGCCAAGGGTCTATTGGTAATACCCCTATGAATTCATTTCAATTCCTGTCAGGGTGATATGCTCTAGATTTTTTGTTCCCATGTGAAGAAGGACTGCAAGACCTATCATGTCCTTGGCCAATAATTTCTAAACTGAAGCACTCGTCTTTCAAAGGCTAACTGAAAACTCGCTAAACTCATCAGCTATACATTACTATTTTCAGTGAAGCTCTAAACCTATAGGGGTCATACAGCACCTAGGGAATTAGAGAGGTTTAATCTGAGGAAGGGAAAACTAACTCCAATTCCTTAGGTAAAGAACCCTTCACTTACATCAAAACATCCCCTTTGAAGAGCTCTCAGGTTACTGACTCAGGCTTGTGTATCCACTTTGGTGAATGCAGGTAAGGGTGTGGAGGTCAACCACACTGCAGCCATGGAGTGGTTCAAGATGGCTGCTGACCAGGGTCATCCTGAAGCCTCATACAACATCGCCGTGGGCCACCTCCAGGGACATCCTACAGGCCTCGAGCCAGGGTGAGCCAAACAAGTACAGCATTTATTATTATAATCAAAGGGAGGTGCTAAACCCATAGGATTATACAGCGCCTGTGGGGAGGATGGAAGGTATTCAGGCTTAATTCAGGGAACTGGAGCACAGATCCAGTTTCCTAGATCAAGAACCCCTCACCAGCATCAAGGCACCTTACTTGAGGGGATGTACAGCATTACTGTTACATTCATAGAGTGCTAAATCCGTAAGAATCATTTAGCAGCTAGGGTATGAGAGGCAATCAGATGCGATCCACAGGAGAGGTTAGGTCCATTTCCTTGGGCCAAAAGTCCTTCGCTGACATCAAAACACCTCTCCTGAAGAGCCAAGGAAATATTCATATTTACTAATAATACTCATAAAATTAAGTGCAGTATTCACATTTAGAGATGATATTAATGGAGAAGTGCTGAACTTGTAAGGTTCATAGAGCCCTCCCTAGGCAAGTTAGAAGTAATGAGGCCTCATGCAAGGAAGTGAAGAGTTGCACCAATTCCTTGAATCAAAAAGGCCTTCACCAGCTACCAGGCACATCTATTGAAGTATCATTTTTTAAGTGCTGGGACCATTGAGTCATTTACCATATGCATGTCACATTATATTCATGGGAAACATTCAGCCTTTAAGGGTCAAATGACTCTTGGGCAAATGGTAGGCAACTGAATTTGATCAGAGGAAGGGAAGGTAACTCATTTACTTAAATCAAGAGTACCTCAACAGTATCAAGATACTCCCTCCGAGGGGTATATCACACACAAAGCTAAAAATATACCTCCCACAACAAAACAGTTACATTAACACAGTATAAAACATATACTTACATTAGTTAAAAAATTTGCTATCCTTTAAATAACATTGTCAGTATTATTAAAGGTGTAAGTGCTAAATTCCTATGGGTCATAATTTGTTATGCAGAAGTTAGTGTTTAACCTGTAAGGGTCACATAGCACCTGGGAATGAAAAATAACCAGGTGTGATTTGAGAGGATAGCTCCAGTTATTGTATTTTAATACAGTGCTTTATGACCCTAGTAGGTTTAGCACTTGGTTTTACTTATAATAATGTATTTTAATAATGTACCCTTTGGCATCAAGGCACCTGACCTTGAATGGTAAGGGTCACACAGTATTTGAGGAATGTGGGAGGTAATCGAGTTTGATTTGAAGGAAGGGAGGGGAATCTCCATTTCCTCAGATCAAGAACCCCTCACTAGCAAGGTAATCTCTCAACCCGTAGGGTTGAGAGATTTCCCACGAATGTAACATAATACAGTATGATAAAATTAAGTGCCGAACCTGAAATGTTAAGGGCATCATACAGCACTTGGGAATCAGATTTGATCCAAAGTGATAAGTCCATCCACATACACCCCCCCCCCCCCCCAAAAAAAAAAGCCACTTATGATATTCAGGAAAGTATTAAACCCAGGGGTCATACAGCACTTGGGGAATGAGAGGTAAAGTAATCAGGTTTGATACAAATGTATCTGCTCTCAACAGCGATGCTCACAAGCTGATCCAGCACGCCGCTTCACATGGAGTGCCTGAAGCAGTAGAGGTGCTGGAGAAAATCTGTTCTAGAGGGCACTGTGATGTCTGAATCATATGGGTGCGTATATATGTGCGTATACATGAACGTGCAGTGTGACCTAAGTGTAAGTAGAAGTAGGAAATTATACCTGTTATCCCATGTGTTTTGTGACAGAAAAAAGACACCAGGTTTCCATTTCACACTCGGCAGGACAGTGCAGTATACCAACCTACTACCCAGGTACCTCACCAGTAACTAAATAAAAAATATTAGCACCCGGTCATACATTTAATGAAATACAATTATATTTGACCTGGTATTTCCTGAACTTAGTGTTTTTCATGATGGTAATTTCATTACACACCATTTTCAAAAATGTATACATAATCAGTCTCTGCAGAAAAAAAATTTGCTGCAAAAAGTTTGGGAAAGGATAAATAAAACATGCAGCATAAAAAAAATGTTAGGAACTCAGAAAATACAAAACATCAATGTCTGGTCATTTGACCTGCAACTTTCATTACCCATTAAATCCTTTCTGTTTGGCACTCTGGGGATGGGAAACTTTTTTTTGTGTGTTCCATGCCAAAGATTTTTTGCCGAGATTGCACATAACTCGTGTTTGTAATTACACTTGATTTAGAGTATGTGATCCTATTTTGCAGTAGCAATAACTAACAGAGTACAAGCACCAGATAATATTAAATGTTTCAACTTCAATGCAGTGAAAAATGAAAGTCAAAAATAATTACATTTTGTATTTATATATATCATTTATGAAATTTATGATAAAAATTATACATGAGGTTCCTTAGCACTAAACTACTTACATTATAAGTTTCTTTAAATATATCAAGTATGTTCCTCTTTAACCCTTAAACTGTCCAAATGTAGATCTACGTTTTTTCAACATTTGAAAGTATGTAAAAAAATGTAGGGCTTCTTTTTCTTTTTTTACATTTGAAAACGTGTAAAAAAAACTTTGATGAACATTTTTGTTGTTATATTTGAAAATGTTAAAAAACGTAGATCTACTTTTGGAGCACTATGCATGTGAACGTAGATCTGTTTGGACACTTTAAGGGTTAAAAGTAAGCTCTAAAAAACAGAAACAGTATGTGAAAAGATGGGATGCCTGTTATGGATAGAAGTAAATATATGATCACAATGAGAAATGACAGGAAATAATACTGAGAAATATTGAATACCGATAACAAATAATACATCACTTGTCAGCAAATCTTAAAAAAAAAGATAATTAATATGTTGTCATGCTGTGAGGCTCTTACCATATACAGTTAATATACAGTACCCTGCAATTATTTATTACATAAATACAGATAGATACAGATTTTTATGTTAGTGAAAATCTACCAAAACATTATTATAATAATCAAAAGAAGTGCCAGTCTACCAAAACAAATTATGCTTTAGTTTTAATTTTGTGCAGGCATGTAAGTGAGATGGAACAATACTGTAAAATAAGATTTTTCATATCCTACCTCCCTCTCCATTCTCATGACTAATCTCTCCTTTAAAAATTTTAGTTTAATGACAATAGTGGAGAGGCTGCAGCCCTCTATGTTAATATTTATTATGGTTAGGGAAAATTATTAAGATACACCATATTTTCTGGCATATAAGGCATGTCTCCCCCCCCCCCAAAAAAAAAAGTCAGAATATCACCCTGTGCCTTATATGCTCAAGGTCAGGAAAAGAGAGTAGGCTTTTGTTAAACTACGTTGTCCCTTACAAAAGTATTTCCCAGATTGCTTTAGAGTGATTGGTAGCTTTTATAAATTAGCAGTTGTAAGTAACTAGAGTATCAGGGTCATTAGGTAATTATAACAAAGAATATCAAATGGTGTAACTATCTGTAAACAACAGATAGCCATGCTTGTTTTTTGTGGTTGGTGGCGGCAGAACAGGCAAAAGGCTGTGCAAGGTGTCACTTCTTTCAGCTATGCTGTGTAAATAAACAGCCAGTCACTAGATCACTGTCATTCTGAAGCAAGTACTGCACTTTTCCAATTTTTCCCAGAATATGCCTATTAAAATTGGGGTGCGTCTTACATATCAGAAAATATGGCACTGTGCTCATGTAGATTCGCCGGTACTTCCAGCCCAGGTCTTCTCCAGATGGCGACCCAGCACTGTACTGTACTACAAACTAAGCATGTTACACAAATACTGTATCATTTTTTATACAAGGTAATCCTTTTATTTTACATCTAATGTACAGATTGCAATAAAATTTTGTAAACAAATTTTAAATTACATATGCTATACTGCTACTTAAATGTGGTAGTATTATATACAACATTTACAGAATAAGAAACCAGTGCACATTTTCAATGTAGTGTTTTCAATCACTAAGCCTATTGATAATCCACAAGTCAGTCATGCACATAATGTCAAAATTCCAGTTCAAAGCTTGAATAAGTTAACATTTTGAGAATACTTATAATGTTTCTAATTTTTTTCATGTGAAAATGATGAAGCATTATTAAATCTGCAGTGGAAAGGTCGGTCTAGGAAAGGTTTGAGGGAGGGGATAAAGGAGGTTTTGTGTGCAAGGGGTTGGACTTCCAGCAAGCATGCATGAGCATGTTAGATAGGAGCAAATGGAGACAAATGGTTTCTAGAACTTGACGTGCTGTTGGTGTGTGAGCAAGGTAACATTTATAAAGAGATTCAGGGAAACTGGCAGACCGGACTTGAGTCCTGGAGATGGGAAGTACAATGCCTGCACTCTGAAGGAGGGGTGTTAATGTTGCAGTTTTATAACCCTAGTGTAAGCACAGCTCTGGCAAGACAGTGATGGAGTGAATGATGATGAAGTTTTACTTTTTCGGGCCACCCTGCCTTGGTTGGAGACGGCTGATGTGTTAATAAAAAACAATTAAAGCAAAGTAACGCCCATGTCAGTGAAAATACTTTTTTTTTTTTTTACAACACATTGGCCATTTCCCACCGAGGCAGGGTGACCCAAAAAGAAAGAAAAATACTTTCATCATCATTCAACACTTTCACCATCACCCATACATCATCACTGTCTTTGCAGAGGCAATCAGATACAACAGTTTAGAAGTCCCTCCAAACTGCTAATATCCCAAACCCCTCCTTTACAGTGCAGGCATTGTACTTCCCATTTCCAGGACTCGAGAGCTAACCAGTTGCCCTGAATCCCTTCACAAAATATTACCCTGCTCACACTCCAACAGCTCGTCAGGTCCCAAAAAACCATTTGTCTCCATTCACTCCTATCTAACAAGCTCACACACGCTTGCTGGAAGTCCAAGCCCTCACTATATTCTTCCATGAAATAAATTAAAAATAATAATCCATAAAGACAAATGAAATTCAATTGAAAAATAATACATATAACTTTTCAAGAGAACATCCTTTTAAGACTAACAGCTTTCATAAAAATAAAAGACACCATCTTTTACTGGCACTTGTAAATAAAAAAAAAAACATGTCTGGATGAGAAAACAAGCACCCATTCATTAGTATCTTAAGAGTTCTGAGATGCTGGGTACACAAAATAAATTGTGCACAAGTTATTATGTGCACATTAAGATTTGTAATTGTTCAGTGTCTGAATGCTATGAATGTATTACTCCACTGACATACTGAAGAACAGTTTTCCAAAAGATCATATTTATGCACCATAAATAAAATCTTGGGCACTACACAATAAATGCCTTAACAGATTTACAGTATATGATAATTTCATAGTTTTTATATTACATAAAGTTTTTTATATGTATCTCAATGTTATTGCATAAAAGTATACTGATTGGCTCTATTTTTTCCTAACAATATTTACTAAGTAAGGTATATCTTGGCTATGTCAACATTTCCATTAAAGCCTCTCCTCACTCAACTATTTGATACTGTTGTAATATCACCTTTGTACCATTTATAATATTCCTGGTATATTTTTAAATGTTTATACAGTAGTGCACTGTATATTGAAATAAACAGAATAGACAAAATCAGCTCTAATATACATTACTTAGGTATGGTTACTAGTCTGAGTTGTTGGTAAACAAGGACATCACTAAGTGAGGAGGGCCGTATTTGCAAAGAAGCAAGCTGGGCAGCATGTCTTATTTCTGATAAAATACATGCCAAAGCTTACTGAGGAATTACAAAGCAGCATTGTTACAGCACTTCAAAATATTAAAGAGCAGCTAGAACCTGGACAGCAGCCTTAACTTCTTACAGCTATTTCAGAAGAGACTGTAGGTTGGTGAATGCTTGACTAGCCATGGGACGTATGGTGAAGCGACCACCCTGGACCACCTGAACATTTCCGCCTCCACTAGCTTGCACAACCTGATAACAGAAACAAATGATATGAACGTGTCATCCTGCAATACTGTTTATTAAAATTAATAATGTTTTTTAGTCAATCTATCTCCAACACCATAATGAAGGAGGATGCCTTCTTTTACAGCAACTTAGTTAACACCAAGAAAAAAAAAGAGTTGAAATAAAAGCTATGACCATATTTCACCTACCATACTCAAACTGGTAATTATACTGAATCTCACTTTGCATACAACTTATCTTGGATAAAATCAGTACTCATGGACTGTGAGTGAGGACAGTGATGTATTTCATTACTGTGTATCCTTAAGGTACAGGGATAAAATTAAATCAGCTGAAAATTAAGGTTGTAATTAGGTTACTAAAGCAACATTCAAATTTCAAAACATGCAGGTAAAATAACTGAGTGAATGCAAACATAAAAAGTTGGCAACCAAGGCACAATACCAGAGTAATTATATCCAAACATACACTGAACTGATTCTCTGGTTGAGGAAAACATATTCAAACCAGTGATATCCAATTACATAGCTTGTCTCTACCACCAGTGCTGCCACAGTTGAGGCAAGAAACTTTAACCTTAGTATGACAGAGATGCAGACATTAAGGCCAAGGGTAGCACAAATGCTCTTTCTACCTTGCTGGACCGAGCTAAAAGTTGTCAAATTATGGTATACATCAGAGGAGAGAAACAAGAATAAACATAATGAAAGAGGTCTGGAGTAAATTTGCCTATTTTACTTAATTAAATGCAACAGGGATGTTTAAAAAATATATTTACTGTATGGTATTTAAAAAGTGCATCATCCAATTTTCATAGCTAACATTAAAGCAAAATATTTTGGGTACAAGTCCTTGGTCATGAGCAGATTACCAATACCTCTTGCAACTAACAATTTTTTTTATCCTCACCTGTACACCACTGCCCCCACTGGCTTGCACAATTTGAAGGTTGCCTACACTGCCAGATGTTCCACCTTGGACTAACAGGTTCTGTGTGCCACCTGCACCACCCTGAACCAGAAGATTGGCACCGCCACTACCCCCAACTAGCTGTAGACCTCCAGTGGGTCCAGCACTGGTCATTACCACCATTTGGTGACTGGGGCGCACTGTGCCCCCCATACTGCGACCAACTGTTTGCACCAGTTGCACAGTTTGTCCTTGTAAGTTGGTCAGTCCACTACCTACAAGCATTATGAGAGAAAAGTAAGATATAACAACCTACCTTACAGTATTTTATTAACCCTTAAATGGTCCAAACGTATATATACGTTTTTTCAACATCTGAAAGTATGTAAAAAAATGTAGATCTTCTTTTTTGCTTTACATTTGAAAACGCGTAAAAAAAAACTTTTATCAACATTTTTTTTTGTTACATTTGAAAATATGTTAAAAAAAGTAGATCTACTTTTGTAGCACTACGGATTTGAACGTCGATTTGTTTGGACTGTTTAAGGGTTAAACCAATTTATATTTATTACATTCACCCTTAACTCCACATACATTTCTTCAAAATTTTTTACAGCATTTTATTAACCCAATTAATGTTTATTACATTCACCCTTAACTCCACATACATTTCTTCAAAATTTTTTACAGCATTTTATTAACCCAATTAATATTTATTACATTCACCCTTAACTCTACATACATTTCTCCAAAAAAATACAATGTGCCTATTTAAAGTAGGAGTGGCTAAATGAAAAAATATATTGGTCTTCTCTACATACCTGCTTGAGCTGTGGTAACAGTAGCAGCTGTAGTTCTAGGACCAAGGTGTAGAGATGTGGCAGCAACTGATGTGGTGGGCAAGGTGTTAGGAGTGGCTGTACTGACAATTAACGTTGAGGATGCTGGGGCAGCTGACCTAAGAATTTGAGCTACTGCTGCCACAGATGTCACAGCTGAGGTGGGTGTTGAAAGAGGGACAGTAGTGGAGTAGGTTACTCCTTTCGTTAAAGTGTGGCCTGAGGTGAGAGTTGGTATAGTTGTGGTGCGAGTAGCAGAGGTGAGAGAAGATGAAGCGTAGACTGATGTAGAGTTGTTACTGTGGGCTTGATGCTCTGGGCGGAAGCCCGAACCTTCTTGTATTCACGTCGCCAAGCAAGCCATTTTGACACCTATGTTGAATATTATAGTACTTCGGAATAGTAAAAACTTAGGGTGGGACTAAATTAAAATAATTGCTGATACCGATATTGATATTCTATGTTATGCTGATACCAACACTTTTCTATATTTTTTATTAAAATTATGGTCATTGTGTTCAATATACAAAGGAATGCCTATTGCTCAATAGTTATTAAATAACCCAGGGAGGTTAAATATTAAATAACTTAGTTTCATTGTGATGCTAATGGCATTACTAATTACAAACACCCCTGTGAGGCTTACAAATGAAAAATCTGTAATCTGATGAAGACTTATGTTGTGACCCTTATGTAAAGTGACCTATGTTATGACCTAGATAGTGACCCATGTTGTGTGACTTATGTAGTGACCTACACTGACCTACATTGTATAACCTACAATGACTTATCTGAAACAGAAACACTGTTGCAACTACTCTGTCAGTTATGAATTTTAATCCTTGATTCCTAATGAACAAATGAGTCTAATCAGTTAGTTTCAACTTAATCTAAGGAGATACTGGGCCCACTATACATGGGTAAATGGGTTCTCATGGGTTTCTTCACTGCTTTTGTCACCAAGTGAAATTAATATTTAATAATTTTTCCGGGCATTTTTAAATGTACCCTATTTATTATGTTACTGTACATTTTTATTAAAATTGTTTATTTTTTGTAGCTTTCCTGTAGTCATGATACCCGTTTCAATTTTAGTCCAGACTGAAGCTAAGCTGTTTTATAAAAAATGCACTTGGTGATCTTATTGTCCATTAATTGCAGTATATTATAAGTGATATAATAATGGTGTAGTTTTATCATGAACAGTATTTCTGGTGACATGGGCTGATTTACCTGATTTTGTGAGGCATCCAGGATCCCATCTTTAAAAGTGTTTTCTTTTTTTTTAACACGTCAGCCAATTCCCACTGAGGCAGGGTGACCCAAAAAAGAAAGAAACACTTTTACCATCATTCACACATAATCATTGTCTTTGTAGAGGCACCCAGATATGACAGTTCAGATGTCACTCCAAACAGCCACTATTTCAAACCCCTCCTTTAAAGTGAAGGCATTGTACTTTCCACCTCCAGGACTCAAGTCCGGCTATCCGGTTTCCCTGAATCCCTTCACAAAAATTACCCTGCTCATACTCCAACAGCTCGTCAGGTCCCAAAAACCATTTATCTCCATTCACTCCAAGCCCCATGCACACAAAACCTCTTTTACCCCTTCACTCCATCCCTTCCTAGGACAACCCCTACCCCTCCTCCCCTCCACTACACATTTATACACCCTCTAGAATAAAAATTAATTATCAGAAGCCTCACACTAAAGATAATAATATAATAATGCTCCTGCACATGGAAAACAATGTGACTGAAGAAAACAATTTTCACCTCTTTATTGTTGCGATCTCCTTTATCCTCAAGCTGTTGGTAGTAAGCCTCACGAAGCACACGGAATGCTTGTAGTGTAGCATAAGGTAACTGCGTTACTGGATCAAAATATCGTGCTGGCAACCTGCAAGCAATAGAAAAATCACTAATTTTTTCAGTATGAGAATTAAAAAATGCATCATATTCAATATATTACTCATTCTGTTCTCTCCCATGTGATAATGTAAAGAACATTAAAGACCTGATAATTCATAGTACATGTATGTATTCCTGGGTCTAACTCCTCACACTCCCACAAACTCAAACAAATAGATAATTACAATATACCTAGGTAGTAGGTTGGTAAACAGCAACCGCCCAGGGAGGTACTACCGTCCTGCCAAGTGAGTGTACAATGAAAACCTGTAATTGTTTTACATGATGGTAGGATTGCTGGTGTCTTTTGTCTGTCTCATAAACATGCAAGATTTCAGGTATGTCTTGCTACTTCTACTTGCACTTAGGTCACACTACACATACATGTACAAGCATATATATACACACCCCTCTGGGTATTCTTCTATTTTCTTTCTAGTTCTTGTTCTTGTTTATTTCCTCTTATCTCCATGGGGAAGTGGAGTTAAATTTGACACATGTGCAACTCTTGGGTATCTTTATTGAGGAAACATTTCGCCACACAGTGGCTTCATCAGTCCATACATAGGAGAAACATGTCGGTTCTTTGAACCATTCATCTACAATCCTCCCTGGGTGGTTGCTGTCTACCAACCTACTACCTACAATGGTGAATACATCTAGGCGAATAAACACACATGCGATACATGTCAATAAATGTAAAAATATAGGCTACAATACAATACCAAATTGTACCAAACATATCAGAAGCAATACTTATTCCAAAGAAACACATACCAAAAATGAACCCAAATGACACAGTAATAACCAAGGAAAAGAGACTAATAAATTTATAATGTATGAGGCTGTGTCTGTAAGTGGAGAAAGCTGCCAACTATGGCTTTGATTAGCAGCAATACTGAGGGATCACAGATATCTTCTGTAATCTACCTCTTCAATACTTATTTAATTTGTCTTTGAAACTTTTACTTAGTAGGTTCTATTATGTATTAAGGGCCAATATGTTATAGTAGTAACACCACATGCTTGGGCACAAACCAACCCAGAGTCAGCAGAGAGATGAGATCCTTCTCCACCTCCTCTCTCAAGATATAGCTGCTGTTGGTAATACAATAATATAATGGGTAGCAGTTGGCAGGAAACTTACCCATGCTTCTTCCCTCATTTTGTTGGCCAAATAAACATTACTTTGCCTTATGTAGAAAGGTGTAAATAAATCTCTATTTATAGATGTGCTTCGGTAGTGTGGGTGTTATGACAGCCAGTATCAGTGATAATATGTTAGGTAAAAGTACACAAGTGCAACTATGTGACATTTTTATTGTGGCAACATTTTGTTTGACAAAGTCCTGGAGAGCAAAATGTTGCCACAATAAAATGTCACAGTTGTTGTACTTGTCTCCTTTTACCTAACATATTATCAGTAATTCTACCAACATTACTATATAAGTGACAATGTTGAGTATCTACTAAAACTTTCTCATTTAAATACTCATTCTTCATTATCAATCACTAACATTTTAAAAAATTGTTGAAATATAGCTAGATTAGGTGCATCATTATTAAAGGCACAGGAATGTGTAATTACGTATAACTAAATGTAGAATAATGAGTTAATAATAACCCAATAAAGTCTTGTACTGAAGTTCGGTTTATTCTTAATGTTTGAAAAAATACTATTTAGGCAAGAATGATACTGTTTATTAGACATGATGTATTCTGGTTTAGCAAGGGTGAGAGTCAGCTGAGGGTACAGCTAGTGGCTCAGTGGCTAGGGAGAGCACTGCTTGAAAAAGTCTACAGAGGGAGCTACAGTACCCAAATTTCACACATTACTTGACTTTTTTTAAATTTATGTCATGCAAGCCTTTGATGGTATATTTCTTCACTACAACATTTCAATCATGTTATAACAATCTCAAGCAGTGTAACTGCACTCAAATTGATGATTTACTGTATACAAATGTCAACCAACTGGCAGTGAAGTATTCATTGTGGAACAAAATATACTTTGAAAACAATTTTTATGCAAAATTTCCTTTTTCAAGTTTGCAATACTCACAAAGTATATTTATGAAAGATTCTGGCAAAGAATCATTTATGAAAGGAATATATCTTTTATGCCAAAAGACATGACATATTACCTAATAATGATATATCAAGTGCATGTCAGGTCTAAACAATTTACCTGGTAATAGGACATATACTTTTCTGAACAATCTTTGGTTTGGTTTTCTTAAAAGATCGCTTAAAAGTTCCCTCATCAGAGAAGGTGATGAAAGTCCGCTCACATATCTCTGCATCGCTCCCTGGCTTGATCAGTGCTGTATTTTCCTTATTTTCTGTGCATGGTGGGACTGCACCTGAGGTCAGCTGCTCCTGCAACATAAAATCAACATCAGTCAACAGGAATGCAAAATATAAAATACCTCCTCTAATAAAACACATCAAATTTATCTGAAATGGTTACCAAATAGAATATCATACCTGATCTTTACAGATATTCCGAACCTAATAAATATTTTTCTACCTTTGTTAAGTAACCACATGAAATTATTTCAGTGAATCTCAGTCAAATATTTAACTTCCTTCTCTATTTAGAATTATTAGATTATCTTTCATGAGAGTGGAGACTAAAATTAAAAAACTGTTATAATAAAATATATATTGAAGAGTGATGATGGAGGCAGGATGAATAATGATAATGTACAACAAATTTGTGACAAGAGTGAATGATGGAGTAGTGATCATTGTGGAGGTTTAAGAAATGATATGTATGGAGGATGGAGCAGTGATCAATATGCAATGTACTTCCTTGCCTAAATCTCTAGTGAAGGGAATTCTGCTAGGCGACAAAAAAAAATATCACCGATGGTAAATTCCAACATAAGAATACTTTTCACAGCCTATTATACTGATCTGAATCCCAACCTTGAATGAAAAACAGCAACTAATTTTGAAGTTAAACTTTCCTGGCTAACTTTACAGGTGAGTCACACAGATACATAGTTGGATGCAAATAGGGTGTGCCTTGCATAGGTTAACAGACCTTCTGTGGTGCTTATTTTTATTATACTTTTAAGGCACAAATCTAGAATTGTCATTTATCATCAATATCATCTCCAGTTAATGGCTTTGTTGGCAATACAGATTGCCTGTAAGTGACGTCAGAGGGTGAGTGTCTCGTATATTGCCAGTCAAATAATGGTGTGTTGAACTCATGAGTTAAAATAAAAATACTTATATGAAACATAATAATGTGCATACTACTGATGTAACTATACTTTCTTACGACCACCTCCTTAATGAAATGACTGATAATAAAATATTAAACTTGTCAATTCACTGAGGTAAGTCCCAAATTAGTTACAAACTTTTCATGAAATTTATAATTAATAATTGTTGAAAATCAACTTGACCTAAATCCTCAGATGTTGTTTTACAAACTGTTTTCTGGAAATTTCTTTATTTTCATTATTTAGATCAGGTTTGGTATGGCTAGACTTATTTATTAACAAAGATTACCAATTACTTAATAACACAGCACCAACAAAGGCAATAATACATAAAGGCAACAAAGGCCTTTGGACTATGAACAGATAGCAAAAAATAAACTCATATTGGCACTGTTTCATTTCAGTGTCACAATCACAGTAATACATTGACACTGATATAATGTAACAAAACACTTTGCACCACTAGAGTGGCTATTGTGCATGTCCCATGATTAATAGTGCTAAAAAACAGGATTACAAAGGTCACAATGGGTCTTTGTAAGATCCCCATTAGGCATAATTACTAACATCATTAAGATATTAAAAATCTTACATGATATTACAGTCTCATTTCATGGCTAAATTATCTATTCTGAAATATGTAAATACAGTCTTAATTTTTTATTACCACCAAACATAGATCACTTATTAGGCGAGAATCTCGTCAAATAAGTTCAGTATCATTAACAATGAAGTAATTTACCATTTCCTTCATGGTTTTTGAGGACAAGTCTCTCAATGGTTGGATAATTGTATATTATAAAATATAATAGTATAGTATGTGGCCCTGTCTGTCCACACACCTACTTGAGTCACATGACTGCAAACTTTATACAGTAACAAAGCTGTTTAGGCACACACTTATGTTTTCTATCTAACAATCTATATTTTTAAGCAAGCAAAACTTAATGGTATTTCTGAGTTAAGAATACTTACTCTTTATGACATACATAAATAGAGCAACATACTTTGGATCTGCTTTTAACTATTTTGTATGGAATGAGATATTAAATCCTCTGTTTACCACAGGATAAAGTAAATTCTGCAGGCACGAGGGATATCTGTGTATATAGCTCAGGGAAGATCTGTCTGAATGTGTGAGGAATGGTATGCAGAAAAAGCAAACCAAGAAAATCAAATCACACTATTTTACCTGAGTAACATCCACGTCAACGTTGGGTTCTTCAAGGTGTGCTTCCTGTGGTGCCTTGAGTTCCTGTATCAGTGGCATAGTAGTTGACTGATAACGGATGAATGAACTTGTGAAGCCCCTTCTGATAACTTTGGGTTTCTTGCGGTCAAGCTCTGCCAGCTCATACTTTTCTGTACGAAGGGAAACGATTAGTAGTGTACAAATAAATAAAAACAATCAGTACAGTACATGATCAAACATTTACTTCTAATTCTCTTTTTAACACAATGGCCATCTCCCGAAGAGGTAGGGGTGACACACAAAAAAGAAGAAACACATTCACTGTCACTGTCTATTACTGTCTTGCCAAAAGCATGCTAACAAATATGGTGGTCCTCCAAACTGCAACATCTTCATGTCACCTTCAGAGTGCAGGCACTGCACATATATCATCATCCCCCCCCCCCCAGGACTCTTAAGCAACCCAGTTAACCAGTTTTCCAGAATTCCTTCACAAATCCATTTTTGTATATGCAGAAATTTTAATTAAACAATCTACAAATATTTTAATCCTCAATTTTAATTTTTTTAGCTGTCTTAGTAAGTCACAAGGTGTGAACATACATTATATACTTAAGAGCTAATGCCCTCCCATGACCTGCAAGCTTACTTTGAGAAGAGCATCTTTTTTTTTTTTCAACAAGTTGGCCGTCTCCCACCAAGGCAGGTTGACCCAAAAAAGAAAGAAAATCCCCAAAAAGAAAATACTTTCATCATTCAACACTTTCACCTCACTCGCACATAATCATTGTCTTTGCAGAGGCACCCAGATACAACAGTTTAGAGCATATATAAAGATACATTTATGGATTTAGATTTATGGATTTATAGATTTATGCATTTATGAATTTAGAAAATGCATCTGATAGAGTGGATAGGGGAGCAATGTGGCAGATGTTGCAAGTACAGTAGACCCCTGGTTTACGATATTATTTCATTACAGAAGTATGTTCAGGTGCCAGTACTGACCGAATTTGTTCCCATACGGAATATTGTGAATTAGATTAGTCCATTTCAGACCCCCAAACATACACATACAAACACACTTACATAAATACACTTACATAATTGGTCGCATTGGGAGCTAATCGTAAAGCGGGGGTCCACTGTATATGGAATAGGTGGTAAGTTACTAAATGCTGTAAAGAGATTTTATGAGGATAGTGAGGCTCAGGTTAGGGAGTGTAGAAGAGAGGGAGACTACTTCCCAGTAAAAGTAGGTCTTAGACAGGGATGTGTAATGTCGCCATGGTTGTTTAATATATTTATAGATGGGGTTGTAAAAGAAGTAAATGCTAGGGTGTTTGGGAGAGGGGTGGGATTAAATTATGGGGAATCAAATACAAAATGGGAATTGACACAGTTGCTTTTTGCTGATGATACTGTGCTCATGGGAGATTCTAAAGAAAAATTGCAAAGGTTAGTGGATGAGTTTGGGAGTGTGTGTAAAGGTAGAAAGTTGAAAGTGAACATAGAAAAGAGTAAGGTGATGAGGGTATCAAATGATTTAGATAAAGAAAAATTGGATATCAAATTGGGGAGGAGTATGGAAGAAGTGAACGTTTTCATATACTTGGGAGTTGGCGTGTTGGCGGATGGATTTATGAAGGATGAGGTTAACCATAGAACTGATGAGGAAAAAAAGGTGAGTGGTGCGTTGAGGTATATGTGGAGACAAAAAACGTTATCTATGGAGGCAAAGAAGGGAATGTATGGAAGTATAGTAGTACCAACACTCTTATATGGGTGTGAAGCTTGGGTTGTGAATGCAGCAGCGAGGAGGCGGTTGGAGGCAGTGGAGATGTCCTGTCTAAGGGCAATGTGTGGTTTAAATATTATGCAGAAAATTCGGAGTGTGGAAATTAGAAGGTGTGGAGTAATAAAAGTATTAGTCAGAGGGCTCAAGAGGGGTTGTTGAGGTGTTTTGGTCATTTAGAGAGAATGAATCAAAGTAGAATGACATGGAGAGCCTATAAATCTGTAGGGGAAGTAAGGTGGGGTAGGGGTCGTCCTCGAAAAGGTTGGAGGGAGGGGGTAAAGGAGGTTTTGTGGGTGAGGGGCTTGGACTTCCAGCAAGCGTGCGTGAGTGTGTGAGTGTGTTAGATAGGAGTGAATGGAGACGAATGGTATTTGAGACCTGACAATCTGTTGGAGTGTGAGCAGGGTAATATTTAGTGAAGGGATTCAGGGAAACTAGTTATTTTTATATAGCCAGACTTGAGTCCTGGAAATGGGAAGTACAATGCCTGCACTCTAAAGGAGGGGTTTGGGATATTAGCAGTTTGGAGGGATATGTTTGTGTATCTTTTTAGGTACGTATATGCTTCTAAGATGTTGTGCTCTGAGCACCTCTGCAAAAACAGTGATTATGTGTGAGGTGAAAGTGATGAATGATGATGAAAGTATTTTTTTTTTTTGAGGATTTTCTTTCTTTTTTGGGTCACCTTGCCCCGGTGGGAGACGGCCGACTTGTTAACCCTTTCAGGGTCCAGAGGCCAAATTTCAAAATGTGCATCAGTGTCCAAGAATTTTCAAAAAATAATTTTGTTATTTTTTCTTATGAAATGGTAGAGAATTTTTTTTTTTGAAAGTAATAAAGCAAAAAGTACGAAATTTGACAGAAAATTGATGAAATTATTCTCTCGCAAATTTTGATGTGTCAGTGACATTTATGCATCGGCGATTTTGCCGACTTTGACTCCCATTTTAGGCCAATTACATTATTCCAGTTGACTAAATTCTTAGCTATTTCACTAGTATTACTTCTATTCTATCAACTGAGCATAAGAATTTGCCAAGTCAACTGTTTCAACTACAAAATAAAGTGATCGGAAATTGGTAATTTGACCAATTTAATGCAAAGTTCAAAATACTTCAATTTCAAAACAGTGTCCAGAATAAACAATGCAGGCATTCCTGGCACTAAACTAACATTTCCTCTGTTCATTAGTTATGTTTTCAGGCTTTACTAATGAATTCCATTTTGATTTTTTATTCACATAATGAATTTTTATTCAAACCAAAAAATAAAAGATTTACTGTTATGCAATATTGTAATAATTGTATGAATAATATCAGCACATTTGTGAACGTATATTAGACCGAACAGCAGGCGTGTATTAGACGTGTGAGGTCATTTGTTTACTCTTGAACATCGGTAAAAATTTAACATTTCCGCTACTTTGAGCTCAGTTTCAAGCCATTTCCAGTACTAAAACCAATAAACATCATCTCTATTTCTGTAATATATCTTCCATTCTATCAAATGAGACAAAGAAATGGCAAATACAACTACAAAAACATACGAAATAACACTGCAAAGTCGCTGTTTTAATTGAAAATTACGGTCTCAGTTTTTTTCTCTCATTATGCACTATGTGCTGAAGGATTTGTTTTATGTGGTGCACACATACCACATACATGTATTCTCTCATATCTAGGCCAAAATTTACCGCTCACAGCTTATCAGAGTGAGCTGAGCTCATGACGTAGATCTATGATTTGGACCCTCAACGTGAAGCCGTAGATCTACGGCACGGACCCTCAAAGGGTTAAAAAAAAAAAAAATAAATAAAGATACAGTATATTATATATCCCTCCAAACTGCCAATATCCCAAACCCCTCCTCTAAAGTGCAGCCATTGTACTTCCCATTTCCAGTACTCAAGTCCTGCTATATAAAAATAACCAGTTTCCCTGAATCCCTTCATTAAATATTGCCCTGCTCACACTCCAACAACTCATCAGGTCCCAAAAACCATTCGTCTCCATTCATTCCTATCTAACACACTCACACATGCATGCTGGAAGTGCAAGCCCCTCGCCCACAAAACCTCCTTTACCCCCTCCCCTCCAACCTTTTTGAGGACAACCCCCTACCCCGCCTTCCTTCCCCTACAGATTTATACGCTCTCCAAATCATTCTACTTTGATCCATTCTCTCTAAATGACAAAACCACCTCAACAACCCCTCTTGAGCCCTCTGACTAATACTTTTACTAACTCCACACCTCCTCCTAATTTCCACACTCCAAATTCTCTACATAATATTTACACCACACACTGCCCTTAGACAGGACATCTCTGCTGCCTCCTCGCTGCAACATTTGCAACCCAAGCTTCACACCCATATAAGAGTGTTGGTACCACTATACATTTGTACATTCCCTTCTTCGCCTCCATGGATAATGCTTTTTGTCTCCACAGATACCTCAACACACCACTCACCTTTTTTCCTCCATCAAGTCTATGGTTAACCTCATCCTTCATAAACCCATCTGCTGACAAGTCAGCTCCCAAATATCTGAAAACATTCACTTCTTCCATACTCCCTCTCTCCAATGTGATATCCAGTTTTTCTTTATCTAAATTATTTGATACCCTCATCACCTTACTTTTATCTATGTTCATTTTCAACTTTCTACCTTTACACACCCTCCCAGACTTGTCCACTAACCTTTGCAACTTTTCTTTAGAATCTCCTATATTTTTTCCATGAAGGTTACCAAACCAATTTTGGTGAATATTTTATATGTATAAAAACCTATTGGGTTATCCTATTTTATTAACACACTGGCCATCTCATAACGAGGTATGGTGACCCAAAAAAAGAAACACTTTCACCATCATCCACTCTATCACTCTCTTGCCAGAGGCATGCAGATACTACAAACTACAGTGGACCCTCAACCAGTGATGGCATCGATTAACGATAAATCTGACTAGCGATACATTTTAATGCAAAAATTTTGCCTCGACTAGCGCTTAAAAACCCAACCAGTGCAATTCGTTCCGTACCATACGCATCCACTTTGGCCTGAGCGCGCCTCACTTGTCCCTTGGGTGCCAGTGTTTACAAGCCAGCCAGCCACCGCGGTCGCTTCCAAACATACAACTGGAACATTTCATATTATCACAGCCTTTGTAGTGATTGCACCTGCAAAATAAGTCACCATGGGCCCCAAGAAAGCTTCTAGTGCCAACCCTACAGCAAAAAGGGTGAGAATTACTATGGAGATGAAGAAAGAGATCATTGCTAAGTATGAAAGTGGAGTGCGTGTGTCTGAGCTGGTCAGGTTGTATAATAAACCCCAGTCAACCATCGCTACTATTGTGGGCAAGAAAACGGCAACCAAGGAAGCTGTTCTTGCCAAAGGTGCAACTATGTTTTCGAAACTGAGATCGCAACTGATAGAAGATGTTGAGAGACTGTTATTGGTGTGGATAAATGAGAAACAGATAGCAGGAGACAGCATCTCTCAAGCGATCATATGTGAAAAGGCTAGGAAGTTGCATGACGATTTAATTAAAAAAATGCCAGCAACTAGTGATGTGAGTGAATTTAAGGCCAGCAAAGGTTGGTTTGAGAGATTTAAGAAGCGTAGTGGCATTCATAGTGTGATAAGGCATGGTGAGGCTGCCAGTTCGGACCACAAATCGGCTGAAAAATATGTGCAGGACTTCAAGGAGTACATAGACAGTGAAGGACTGAAACCTGAACAAGTGTTTAATTGTGACGAAACAGGCCTGTTTTGGAAGAAAATGCCAAGCAGGACGTACATTACTCAGGAGGAAAAGGCACTCCCAGGACATAAGCCTATGAAAGACAGGCTTACTCTGTTGATGTGTGCCAATGCTAGTGGTGATTGCAAAGTGAAGCCTTTATTGGTGTATCACTCTGAAACCCCCAGTGTGTTCAGGAAAAACAATGTCCTCAAGGCTAATTTGTGTGTGCTGTGGAGGGCAAATAGTAAGGCATGGGTCACTAGGAACTTTTTCTATGACTGGTTACACCATGCATTTGCCCCCAATGTGAAAAATTACCTAACTGAAAAGAAATTAGACCTTAAGTGCCTCCTGGTATTAGACAATGCCCCTGGTCATCCTACAGATGTGGCAGAGCGACTTTCTAGGGACATGAGCTTCATTAAGGTGAAGTTTTTGCCTCCTAATACCACTCCTCTCCTGCAGCCCATGGACCAGCAGGTTATTTCCAACTTCAAGAAACTGTACACAAAAGCTATGTTTGAAAGGTGCTTTGTAGTGACCTCAGAAACTCAACTGACTCTAAGAGAGTTTTGGAAAGATCATTTTACCATCCTCAATTGTGTAAACATTATAGGTAAGGCTTGGGAGGAAGTGACTAAGAGGACATTGAACTCTGCTTGGAAAAAACTGTGGCCAGAATGTGTAGACAAAAGGGATTTTGAAGGATTTGAGGCTAACCCTGAGAATCCTATGCCAGTTGAGGAATCCATTGTGGCATTGGGGAAGTCCTTGGGGTTGGAGGTTAGTGGGGGGGATGTGGAAGAGTTGGTGGTGGAGGACAGTGAAGAACTAACCACTGATGAGCTGCTAGATCATCTTGAACAGCAAGAGGGCAGACCTGAGGAAACTGCTTCAGAGGAGGGGAGAGAGAAATTGAAGAAGTTGCCTAGTTCTAAGATAAAGGAAATGTGTGCAAAGTGGCTTGAAGTGCAAACCTTTTTTGATGAAAATCACCCTGACACAGCTACTGCAAGCCGTGTTGGCAACCTGTACACTGACAATGTTGTGAACCACTTTAGGAAAGTCATAAAGGAACGAGAGGTACAGGTATCTATGGACAGATATGTTCTGCGACAGAAGTCCAGTGACTCTGAAGCTGGTCCTAGTGGCATTAAAAGGACAAGGGAAGTAACCCCAGAAAAAGACTTGCTGCCTCAAGTGCTAATGGAAGGGGATTCCCCTTCTAAACACTGAGAAGATCAACGCTCTCCCCTCCTCCCATCCCATCAATCATCACCAGATCTTCAATAAAGGTAAGTGTCATGTAACTGTGCATGTAATCTTCAGTTTGTGTGCATTAAAATTAATATTTCATGTGGTAAAAAACTTTTTTTTTCAATACTTTTGGGTGTCTTGCACGGATTAATTTGATTTCCATTATTTCTTATGGGGAAAATTAACTTGACTAATGATAATTTTGACTAACGATGAGCTCTCAGGAATGGATTAATATCGCTGGTTGAGGGTCCACTGTACTAAGAAATAGTTTAAAAATATTCATTGTATTTTTTAAACTGCTATACAGGGTAGGTTCTGGGTTACTACTATAAAGTGAAAATCACTATAAAGTGAATGTATATAAAAGCCTGATAACATCTTTTCACTATCATTTAGTAATTGAGCAATAGAGCAAGGCCTAAAAAATGTATATACACATTACTTACTTTAAAATATTTTCATCCTGACCTTATAGTGAGTGGTAAATATATTTATTGTAAGAAGCCTCAATATATGATGAATGGAAATAAGTGAAAATGCCTGTATTAGCAAAACAATGTAAAGGCCTGCCTGTAGTATATTGTAAACTAAATACCACCACATACCAATGGAGCTAAATAATAAATGTCGTGACCTACCAAGAGACTTAAGGTTGACTTCCTCGGTTAACTTGGCTTCCTCCAGCAGCTCTTCCTGTGTCAACCTGGGAAAGCTGGGTGTTCGGTCTCGCTTATTCATTGCACGTTTCCTTTCCACTTCAGCACGTTCCCTCTGACGCTTCACTGTTTCAGCAGATTTCAACTGAGTTGATTTACGAATACCCTTCTTTTCTGTAAATGGAATAAAATAGAATTCAACTTCTTGCAAGGTAAAAAAAAAAGACACACTTATCAATAAGAAAATACCTGACCTGAAGGAAGGAATAAAGGGAATTATTTCTTTACAATTAGTACTGGAAGAATGGAATAAATTGTAAGAATAGGTAGCAGGTGCTACAACTACTGAAAATTTTATAAAATTATATGATGAATATATTAATTCAAACCAGGCACCACAAACATAGCTCTGCTTCTATGCAGTATACTGCAACAGTAAACAGAGAAAAGTTTCTTACCTAGGGCTGCTAAATCAAAGACAGCATATTGTTTCTTGGGAGAGTGTTTCTTTTCATTTACCTTACTTGCGGTCGATTCCCGCTGCACAGATTTAGGCTCCTGTTAATGTAAGAATCATTATAATCATGTTGTTAAACTTTATGTAGCTGATTTTAGGAAAGAACTGAAGCACACTCAAATGTACAGTTTAGATGAACAGGCAAATCCCACGTTAATGGAAAATCAAACACAGAGAAGAATCAATCTATAAATTTTAGGTTTAATCAGAGACCCTCTTCAGCAGATGCTGAAGAAGTTCTCTGAGGTCAAAATATGCAGATCTTTTCTACCCCATATTGAATTTTCATTCCATATTGGATTTGCCTGTTCACTGATCAATGATTATGACCACCTGTTCACTGATCAATGTTTATAACACTCACTGTACAGTAATATTATTCTGATCTCTCTCTAATATAATAGAGAGTTAACACTATTAGCAAATTATAACACAGTAATGTCCATAGAAACACAGCTACATCAAAAGCTCTGCATGCCATTATAAATTTATAAGTTTTTAACGGATATCAATTTAGCATTTTCTCACGGTAAAAAACCCACTTCAATCCAATAGTATTGCATGATCAAAATTCACCTTGTAAGCTTTGGTAATAAGTCTGCCTCGCTTTCTTTGCTTTCCCTTAGCATCATCCTCTTGGTCTGATACTGGCTCGTCATTCTCATCGATGCTGAAGTCAGAATCTACTTCATCATCTTGTTCCACTTCTGATCTGAGTGCAGAATTGAGACATAAATCACTTCATCTGTTCTTAAAGAAAATCAAAAGCAATAAAAAAAATATATAGTAGGACCCCCATATCTGCAGGGGATATGTTTCAAGGACCTGCCACAGATACCGAAACAGCGGATAGTGGTGAACCCTATATGTAAGTCGTTTTTCGGTTACACATATACCTATGATAAAGTTTAATTGGTAAATTAATCACAATAAGTGGAGAAATAGCACTTTTTCATTGATAGGCAACACTTCACAGCTTCTCTTCAAAGCACTGCCACCATCACTACTTTTGCACTTTGAGGTCATTACATATTAAGCAAAATTAAGGGTTATTTTCCGACCACAATAAACCACAGATGACTAAAACCACAGATACTGAACCCGCGGATTCAAGGGTCCTATTGTATATATATACTATATCTTTTTCTTTCTTTCAACACACCGGCCGTATCCCACCGAGGCGGGGTGGCCCAAAAAGAAAAACAAAGTTTCTCTTTTAAATTTAGTAATTTATATGGGAGAAGGGGTTACTAGCCCCTTGCTCCCGGGATTTTAGTCGCCTCTTACAACACGCATGGCTTACGGAGGAAGAATTCTGTTCCACTTCCCCATGGAGATAAGAGGAAATAAACAAGAACAAGAACTAGAAAGAAAATAGAAGAATACCCAGAGGGGTGTGTATATATATGCTTGTACATGTATGTGTAGTGTGACCTAAGTGCAAGTAGAAGTAGCAAGACATACCTGAAATCTTGCATGTTTATGAGACAGACAGAAGACACCAGCAATCCTACCATCATGTAAAACAATTACGGTTTTCATTGTACACTCACTTGGTAGAACGGTAGTACCTCCCTGGGCGGTTGCTGTTTACTAACCTACTACCTAGGATATATGTACTATATATATATTTTTTTTCAACACGTCAGTTGTCTCCCACCGAGGCAGGGTGACCCAAAAAGAAAGAAAATCCCCAAAAAGAAAATACTTTCATCATTCAACACTTTCACCTCACGCATACATGATCACTGTCTTTGCAGAGGCGCTCAGATATGACAGTTTAAAAGTCAACCTCCAAACTGCCAATATCCCAAACCCCTCCTTTAAAGTGTAAGCATCATACTTCCCATTTCCAGGACTCAAGTCCAGCTAACCGGTTTCCGTGAATCCCTTCACAAAATAAAAAGATAGTGTTTGACCTGGTGACCATCAGGGCCCCAGTGCTGGATCTCACAGTCAATTACAATTACTTTCTTAGCCGAGTCCTCATTTTTCTCTGCATCAACCACACAGACACTCATAACTGTATTTACATACAACCTGTGGCATCAACTTAACCTGTGTTTCACTTCACATCTTTTAGTGGTTTCTTTGTACTTCTTCTACTATGTTCCCATCTTGACAGTTTGGAAAAAAAAAAAAAAAAAGCCCTATGAAAAGCACATGAAAGAACTATTCTATACATGTTAACAGAAATGGGGCATGGTAAAACATCATAGTCAACAGTGTTACAAAGCTAAACTTCATGTTAACCATTATGAAAGATCATCAATGTTAATTATATTATCAAGCATAAAACCTAAAGGTTAATCTTTAATTTGGCAAACCACATGTTCATAATCACAAAAGATAAAACTAATATTTTTTTAACAAGGCAGGGTGACCAAAAAAAGAAACACTTTCACCATCATTCACACTATCACTGTCTTGGCAGAGGTGCACAGATACAGTAGTTTAGATGTCCCTGCATATACCAAATCCCTCATAACTGTATTTACATACAGTTATGTACAGTGCATGCACTGTACTTCCCACCTCCAGGACTCAAGTTTGGCTAACTGGTTTCCCTTAATCCCTCCACAAAATCTAATGGCTCTATTACGAGAAAGACCATGATAATCATTGTACATAACAAAACTTTATGTTAAAAAATAAAAGTGATGGCCCAACAGTAATATAAAACACTCAGTATTCAATAATACTCTGTGAAAACTATATTAAAGTACTATACAGTATACTAGGTTAGCTCACTGATAATCAATGTCATCTGCCTCTTCCATAAATCCTCCATACGTAGTCTTGTAGAAATCATCCTCCTCCTCTTCCTCCAATAAGCGGGACATTTTTGACCCAGCATTATTACGGCGGTCACGTGTTGCTGCCATGGTGTCTGCTACCACCTCACTGAAAGGAAACAAATGAATCAACTTTTCTTACCAAGAATTTGGAAGAAAAACTGCTGGATTTACCAAGCATTTGATCCATAAAGTCATTCGACAATTTTGATAATGATAAATTAAGGTACGTACAGTGGCACCTCGGGATACGAACAGCTCAAAACGCGAACAATTATGTAAGTGCATTTATGTAAGTGCTTTTGTAAGTGTATTTTTGGGGGTCTGAAACAGATTAATCTAATTTACATTATTCCTCATGGGAACAAATTCATTCGGTATCAGCACTCGAACAGCCTTCTGGAACGAAATAAGTTCGTATCCCGAGGTACCACTGTACTGTGCATATTGCTGTCCACACTAATACTGTACCAGCAAGAATGAGCAAACATCACAATGAAAATTGAAGGACACTTGACTTGCACTTTCATCAGCTACATAAGTACTATATATACAGTTCTATACAGTACAATACTATATTAACCATCTTAAAAATAATAAAGCAAAAAGACAAAATCATTCAAAATTTATAAGTTATAAGTTTGGAGGGATATGTTGTGTATCTTTATATGTGTATGCTTCTAGACTGTTGTATTCTGAGCACCTCTGCAAAAACAGTGATAATGTGCGAGTGTGGTGAAAGTGTTGAATGATGATGAAAGTATTTTCTTTTGGGATTTTCTTTCTTTTTTGGGTCACCCTGCCTCGGTGGGAGACGGCCGACTTGTTGAAGAAAAAAAAAAAAAAAAAAAAAAAAAAAGAGTTTATGAAAGACTTTGCTCCAAGATTGCCAGGGGTGCAAAAGTTCAAACCCAAGAGATGAATCAGTGATTAGCTACCTAGAAACCTGGACACTATAGTTTAACTTTGATCTATTCTGGAAGTTTTCCTACTCCTGCAGCACAGCCCTGGCTCAGGCCTCCCTGTTGATGGTAAAAATGTCTAGCATTAGCATTCACATAAAATATACCCCATATGAAAAGGCATATGATAGAGTGGATAGAGGAGCAATGTGGCAGATGTTGCAAGTATATGGAATAGGTGGTAAGTTACTAAATGCTGTAAAGAGCTTTTATGAGGATAGTGAGGCTCAGGTTAGGGTGTGTAGAAAAGAGGGAGAATACTTCCCGGTAAAAGTAGGTCTTAGACAGGGATGTGTAATGTCACCATGGTTGTTTAATATATTTATAGATGGGGTTGTAAAAGAAGTAAATGCTAGGGTGTTCGGGAGAGGGGTGGGATTAAATTATGGGGAATCAAATTCAAAATGGGAATTGACACAATTACTTTTTGCTGATGATACTGTGCTTATGGGAGATTCTAAAGAAAAATTGCAAATGTTAGTGGATGAGTTTGAGAATGTGTGTAAAGGTAGAAAGTTGAAAGTGAACATAGAAAAGAGTAAGGTGATGAGGGTATCAAATGATTTAGATAAAGAAAAATTGGATATCAAATTGGGGAGGAGGAGTATGGAAGAAGTGAATGTTTTCAGATACTTGGGAGTTGACGTGTCGGCGGATGGATTTATGAAGGATGAGGTTAATCATAGAATTGATGAGGGAAAAAAGGTGAGTGGTGCGTTGAGGTATATGTGGAGTCAAAAAACGTTATCTATGGAGGCAAAGAAGGGAATGTATGAAAGTATAGTAGTACCAACACTCTTATATGGATGTGAAGCTTGGGTGGTAAATGCAGCAGCGAGGAGACGGTTGGAGGCAGTGGAGATGTCCTGTCTAAGGGCAATGTGTGGTGTAAATATTATGCAGAAAATTCGGAGTGTGGAAATTAGGAGAAGGTGTGGAGTTAATAAAAGCATTAGTCAGAGGGCAGAAGAGGGGTTGTTGAGGTGGTTTGGTCATTTAGAGAGAATGGATCAAAGTAGAATGACATGGAAAGCATATAAATCTATAGGGGAAGGAAAGAGGGGTAGGGGTCGTCCTCGAAAGGGTTGGAAAGAGGGGGTAAAGGAGGTTTTGTGGGTGAGGGGCTTGGACTTCCAGCAAGCGTGCATGAGCGTGTTAGATAGGAGTGAATGGAGACGAATGATACTTGGGACCTGACGATCTGTTGGAGTGTGAGCAGGGTAATATTTAGTGAAGGGATTCAGGGAAACTGGTTATTTTCATATAGTCGGACTTGAGTCCTGGAAATGGGAAGTACAATGCCTGCACTTTAAAGGAGGGGTTTGGGATATTGGCAGTTTGGAGGGATATGTTGTGTATCTCTATACGTATATGCTTCTAAACTGTTATATTCTGAGCACCTCTGCAAAAGCAGTGATAATGTGTGAGTGTGGTGAAAGTGTTGAATGATGATGAAAGTATTTTCTTTTTGGGGATTTTCTTTCTTTTTTTGGGTCACCCTGCCTCGGTGGGAGACGACCGACTTGTTGAAAAAAAAAAAAAAAAAATGTATTCTTTGAAACTTTACCACAGGATGCCACCAATTTTATACATGAAGCATTATAGAATTTGTACATGATGTCACTGGGTAAGCGTCCGACATGCTAGCAAGTGTATCAGTGATGCTTTGTGTACCTCTTGTGATTTTTGGCAAAACTGTGCATTTGTGAAAAATAAAACTGTACATTACTACTACTATTAATAATAATAATAATATAATAATAATTAATAATTATAATTATTATTATAATTATGCTGATCATCTCATACTCCATGTAAGATGACCAAAAAACTGGGAAGAAAAAAGAAGATAAGGGATACACTGAAATAGGAAAAAGGGTACATAGGTAGACAGGGTCCAAAGTTTGGTGGTCCAACCACTTGGATTTGTAGTTTGTGATGAATGTGTTAGTTGGCGCAAGCGAGTTAACGTGAAGTGTGTTATTGTCTTTCTCTCCTTTTTTTTACACATACCCCCCTGCACACTGCATATCAATATACAGTACTATATAAAAATTAAAAAAATTAAATATCATTATCACTATAAATATTGGTAATTTACTAGATTAAAATCTCATCAAATTAATGCACGTGACAAGTACAAGATTTCAGATATTGTATCATTAAATATGATGTTATTTACCATTTTCTGTATGGCCTGTCTGGACCTGTTCCTAAAATGATGGATGTTTGGCCTCTAAAATATACTGTTCTAGTGTATGGCCCCCATCTCTGTCCATACATTTTACACTTCATCTGACTGATATCTCTATACAAACTGAACTACTACAGAAAATTATAGCCTAGCCTTAGTCTAGCAGTGACAATGTTTTGTGGTCTGCAGATCTTGTAACTCCTACATAAACATGTTTTACATAACACATATCATTATGATGGACAATGGACTGGCTAGTTCCTATCTGCTCAGAACTACTTTCTTCTTCACACTCATTTCTTAGTTTTTTTTAATGACTTTTTTTTTTAACTTTTATGTATGAAACCAAAATTATATTAGACATTCCCTCTGTTCATTACTAGTTGAGCAAAGGCATTGCCTTCACCATACTCCTCAAGACCTAAGTGAGATGAAATCCACAAAATGTTGACCTTTAATCACTTTGTCAATTTCTGTATATCTGGCCTCATATATAACCATGTTACATTCAGATCTCAGACTAAGAGCAAGTAATGAGACCTGGAAGGCATAAAAAAATTAATCACTGTAGTTTCATTTATTTAGGCTTAACTATGGTTGTATTATAGGATAATGACTTAATTACAGGAAAGTGGGTGCAGGAGGGAAGAGGAGCGATTGGTGGAATGATGATGTAAAGAGAGTAGTAAGGGAGAAAAAGTTAGCATATGAGAAGTTTTTACAAAGTAGAAGTGATGCAAGGAGGGAAGAGTATATGGAGAAAAAGAGAGAAGTTAAGAGAGTGGTGAAGCAATGTAAAAAGAGAGCAAATGAGAGAGTGGGTGAGATGTTATCAACAAATTTTGTTGAAAATAAAAAAAGTTTTGGAGTGAGATTAACAAGTTAAGAAAGCCTAGAGAACAAATGGATTTGTCAGTTAAAAATAGGAGAGGAGAGTTATTAAATGGAGAGTTAGAGGTATTGGGAAGATGGAAGGAATATTTTGAGGAATTGTTAAATGTTGATGAAGATAGGGAAGCTGTGATTTCGTGTATAGGGCAAGGAGGAATAACATCTTGTAGGAGTGAGGAAGAGTCAGTTGTGAGTGTGGGGGAAGTTCGTGAGGCAGTAGGTAAAATGAAAGGGGGTAAGGCAGCCGGGATTGATGGGATAAAGATAGAAATGTTAAAAGCAGGTGGGGATATAGTTTTGGAGTGGTTGGTGCAATTATTTAATAAATGTATGGAAGAGGGTAAGGTACCTAGGGATTGGCAGAGAGCATGCATAGTTCCTTTGTATAAAGGCAAAGGGGATAAAAGAGAGTGCAAAAATTATAGGGGGATAAGTCTGTTGAGTGTACCTGGTAAAGTGTATGGTAGAGTTATAATTGAAAGAATTAAGAGTAAGACGGAGAATAGGATAGCAGATGAACAAGGAGGCTTTAGGAAAGGTAGGGGGTGTGTGGACCAGGTGTTTACAGTGAAACATATAAGTGAACAGTATTTAGATAAGGCTAAAGAGGTCTTTGTGGCATTTATGGATTTGGAAAAGGCGTATGACAGGGTGGATAGGGGGGCAATGTGGCAGATGTTGCAAGTGTATGGTGTAGGAGGTAGGTTACTGAAAGCAGTGAAGAGTTTTTACGAGGATAGTGAGGCTCAAGTTAGAGTATGTAGGAAAGAGGGGAATTTTTTCCCAGTAAAAGTAGGCCTTAGACAAGGATGTGTGATGTCACCGTGGTTGTTTAATATATTTATAGATGGGGTTGTAAGAGAAGTAAATGCGAGGGTCTTGGCAAGAGGCGTGGAGTTAAAAGATAAAGAATCACACACAAAGTGGGAGTTGTCACAGCTGCTCTTTGCTGATGACACTGTGCTCTTGGGAGATTCTGAAGAGAAGTTGCAGAGATTGGTGGATGAATTTGGTAGGGTGTGCAAAAGAAGAAAATTAAAGGTGAATACAGGAAAGAGTAAGGTTATGAGGATAACAAAAGATTAGGTGATGAAAGATTGAATATCAGATTGGAGGGAGAGAGTATGGAGGAGGTGAACGTATTCAGATATTTGGGAGTGGACGTGTCAGCGGATGGGTCTATGAAAGATGAGGTGAATCATAGAATTGATGAGGGAAAAAAGTGAGTGGTGCACTTAGGAGTTCTGTGGAGACAAAGAACTTTGTCCTTGGAGGCAAAGAGGGAATGTATGAGAGTATAGTTTTACCAACGCTCTTATATGGGTGTGAAGCTGGGTGATGAATGTTGCAGCGAGGAGAAGGTTGGAGGCAGTGGAGATGTCATGTCTGAGGGCAATGTGTGGTGTGAATATAATGCAGAGAATTCGTAGTTTGGAAGTTAGGAGGAGGTGCGGGATTACAAAAACGTTGTCAGAGGGCTGAGGAAGGGTTGTTGAGGTGGTTCGGCATGTTAGAGAGAATGGACGAAATCAGAATGACTTGCAAAGTGTATCAATCTGTAGGGAAGGAAGGCGGGGTAGGGGTCGGCCTAGGAAAGGGTTGGAAGGGAGGGGTAAAGGAGGTTTTGTGGTGCGAGGGGCTTGGACTTCCAGCAGGCGATGCTGAGCGTGTTGATAGGAGTGAATGGAGACAAATGGTTTTTAGACTTGACGATGCTGTTGGAGTGTGAGCAAAGTAAATTTATGAAGGGATTCAGGGAAACCGGTTTCAGAGTCGGACTTGAGTCCTGGAGATGGGAAGTACAGTGCCTGCACTTGAAAGGAGGGGTGTTAATGTTGCAGTTTAAAGGACATACGTAGTGCTAAAGCACACCTTCTGGCAGACAGTTGGTATGGAGTGAGAATGATGGTGAAAGTTTTTCTTTTTCGGGCACCCTGCCTGTGTGGGAATCGGACCGGTGTTGATAATAAAATAAAAATTATATCTTGAATACTTTCGATTGACATTTTATACACTTGTGCGTATAAGTTTGATTACATAGTTTTATCACACCATGGCTACCGAAAGGAAATGGCATGGTTTTCTCTGCCAATATGGCATACAAATGCTTGGCAAAAACACACTGCAGCAAAAAATAAAAACATATAATAGGCTTCATCACTTTACAAATGGTATATGGACATAAAATAAATTCTATTAACCTACAGATGGGTTAGAAAAAGATAGAATACTAAATGAAGTAAGTGGAGCATATGCCAAGACTTGACCCATAACTACTTATAGTATTTGGAGAAGTAGTAGTTCCAACAACCTTAAACAATGAAGGTTATGGTCATTCGTACGTCGTTATAATTAATAACATAACCCCACAACTTATCAATATAACTGACTATTTTGACTATCAAGAAATACTGATAAAAGCGAAAAATAAAAACAATCAAAAAAAGAAATTTTATTATTTAAACACTAAAATCATGAGTTACATTGCATGACATAGGACAATGAAGTGATCATATGTTTACCATAATTGATTTGTCATGTTTGTCTGTGTTCTGGAGTGTTCTATTAAGATGAAATTGGACAAAATTTGTTAAGGCTATGTGATACCAAATTTCCAGTCTGCAATATGCAACAATGATATGACATGAATGTTGGTAGACCACCAACAGGAACAGCTTGTTGAGTAGACAAGCATCAGAACATTGCCTGAGCACAATCACTGAGCTCCGGAAGATGGAGTAACTGCTCAGAACTCATTCAAAGTATTCACAATTTCAGTTTTTACTTGCAATTACTTGCTTTTGAGTATACAACAATATAGTTAGACACTTCAACAGGAAAAACAATGGATAGGCCAGAATGCACTTAGTTACTAATTAAAAACAAAATTTGACAACACTTTGCTCTGATATCGGTCTAAAAGTACAAATCATATACTGAAAGTAAGAATGAAGATAAAAATTAACACTGTAGTTCATTATTAGGTTGAATATGTTGCATTATAGATAATGACTTCAATTATCATGCATATTATAGAAGGCTAATGACATTTGTATGACATACCACTTTCGTAAGTTTTGACTTCATAGTTTTATCACACCCAATGGCTACCGAAAGAAAATGGCATGGTTTCCTGCCAACATGGCATACAAATGCTGCAAACACACACTGCAGTACCTATACAGGCCTTCCTCACTTACACACATGGTACATGGACATAAAAATAAATTCTATAACCTCAGGATGGTTAGAAAGATGAATGACATATGAAGTAGTGGAGGCATATGCCAAGACTTGACCCCAATAACTACTATAGTACTTGGAGAGTAGAACATGTTCAAACTAACCTAAACCAATTAAAAAGGTTATGGCACATTCAGTACGTACAGTAATAACACAAATAAATAACACAACTTCTATATATAACTGACTTATTTTGACTATCAAGAAATACTGAATAAAAGCTGAAAGAATAAAAAAATAAAAAAAAAAATTCTTATTTATTTAAAGCACTAAAATCATGAGATACATTCAGCATTAGGACAAATGGAAGCTGATCATATGTTTACCCAATTGTATTTGTCTGTTTGTCTGTGTTCTGGAGTATGTTCTATTAAGATAAATGGGACAAAATCTTGTAAGGCTATGTAATAACAAAATATTCAGTTCTGCAATATGAACTGTGATGGACATGTGGGTTGGTAGACCACCAACAGGAACAGCCTAGTTGAGTAGACAAGCATCAGACAAGCCTGGCCAATCACTGAGCTCCGGAAGTGGAAAAACTCTCAGAACTCATCAAAGGTATACAATTCAGTTTTACATCAGCAAATTCTTGCATATTGAGCTACTACAACAATAGCAGACATTACACAGGAAAAAAATGGATAGGCAGAATGCACTTATTTTACTAATTAAAACAAATTCTGACAAGAATTGCTCATGACTTACAGTCTGAAAGATACAAAATACATATACTGATAGGTACAATGAAAGATAAATAAATAAAATGGATGAATAATTGCCAAATAATACCTTCAATTTATATGCAATTTATCAGAAGGGCTAAATATATTTATGATCACGTTTGCAAAGAAATAAATTATTGATTCTATAAAAGGGTCAAATTATAAATGACTTTTATTAAGTTTTAAATTACATAATCATTAGAAGACTAGATACTAAGCAGATTTTAAATATTGCCAAATGTTTGGAAATCTTTCTTGTTAAATAGATGCTTCTAAAAGACTTCCAGTATTAAAACATATAATGTAGCTTACACCCACCTTTGTTAAATCCACTGCTATGCTTGTAATCCTCTTCACATTAAGTTGAATAGAGCCCTCTGCTTTTCCTTAAGAACCTCTGCTAATAGGTATATTTACATTAACTTAATTTGGCCTCTTCTTCTTTTCTTAAATCTAGTTTGTACTTCCGTATTAACACTTAAGACGTGAAATGGGTACCAAGGTTTGAGGGCTGCCAAGTAAAAGTTGAGATGACAGTTCCAATCTTTATGCACTTTTCAAGAGACTTTCCCAGTTGGGAAAATGTAGCAACATAATTCTGAGGCTGGTGTACAAAAACAACCTGAATAATCTGAAACTCTATGAAGCTATAAATGTCGTAATTATAAGTTTCTGAAGTCATCCTTATGTACAAGCCAACCAGAGATTCATCATCCCATACCTATCTTTTAACATATCAAGTTAAAGAAAAAATGGCCTCCTTAAATAATATTAACTGGACTTTTCTTAAGCTACTGTTATTGCATACATACATTACATTGTACTCTCTCGTGTTAACTTTAGCAAATGTTTTCTAAGTAAAGTACACTGAATACAATACATGTATATAGTTCTTAACTAAAATTATTATTATTTTAAAAGAAATTAAAAATACTCATTCATTAATCAAAATTAAATTGGGTATTTGCTTTATATAAAAAATTGGTAAATTTAAAACATAACTTTATTCTCAAATATAATCACAATCATTTGTGCATAAGTCCAACTACTTCAGAAATGCTGCGAGCTCCAGCAGGCTGAGCTCTAAGTCTCCGTCCTCCAACCTTGTTTACTACGAGTTCAATCACACTGTCAAGTTTTTGACGAGGTACTCCGCATTTAATAAGCTCTTTGCCAGCTTTCAAAATGCTGTCCCTAATTTTATCAGAATTTGTTTCAGTAAGAGTAATTGAACATTTGGAGTCTTCAACAGTTTTACTGCGCGTGCTTCTTCTTATATTTGATACAGCCGAGTTTGACCCCTCACTATTTTCTAAGCTGTGCAAGTCTCTCTTCAACGTCTCTAACTTATGCTGCAAAAGAACTGCTACATTAGCTTTACCATCTAGAGAAGCCTTCAAGATATTCTCAAGACAATTAAATTCTTCCTCCATTACTCCAAGAACATTGCGGTTTGTTGATCTTAACCCGATGGCTGCCGAATATTCTTGGTGCATCCTCTTTAAGTCATTCTGAAGAACTGAAAGACTAATATTTTTATTAGTGTAATCTTTTCTTGCAGGCACTTCTCCATTGTTATTGTCTTTCTGCTGTTTTATGAGATACTGCTTATAACTTGCTTCAAGAACCTCAGAGCAGTTGCTTTCCAGAAATTTATTTAAAGCTTTTTCACTTTTCAATGATGTTCTCATCAATGTCATCATAAAACAGGCATTAAGAAGAGACTCAGGATGAAATTTTTTTACCTTTCTGGATATCATCAAGTTCTTAACACGACTCATGAGTGTCTCAAGATTAACAGTGTTAGAGCCTCCAGCCACTAAAAGATTCTGATTTTCTTGCCGCCAAGTGTCATACAAATCCAGTACATCACGTGTTGTGACAGATCCTTCAGGCTGTTCTAGAAGCTTTGTATTGGAACAATTCTCTAGTGAAGCTTGGTGCACCAAAGCCTCAATAATATTTCCCTCATTTTCTTTATCTGGTCCTTCCATGCCAAGAACTGGATTAGTCTTACCCCCATCTCCTTCCAATGCTCCAAGGGACTTGGTCTGAGCAAGAGTACCTCGAGGAGAAGCTCTTAAAGATTTTGCATTTCTTGAGAATCTGCCTGGGTTCTTTCTCCTAACAGTTTCCCAGTACTTATTTAACACTTCAGGGCACTGTAAGTCTGCTTCATCTACCCAACTAGCATCCTCTGATCTAAAACCCAACCACTTGACTAAGTATCTATAACCTTTGCCACCGTCCTTGTGCACTTCCTGAAAATCAAGAATCTTTTCAACTTCAAAATCTTCTCCAGAGCAAAGCAAATTACGTTTCTTCACCTGAGCATTATTTAAAATGTTTCTCCTTAATTCAACCCTTCGTTTACATCTCTGCTTCCTAGAACTCTCCTCTATAAAATCTGAGAACTCATCAGATTCATATTCATCCAGAGATAACCCAATGCTCCTCTTCCTTGAAACTGACCTTTTACCAACACTCTCCATGTAACAGCTTGGAGGACGACTTATTGCATCACTTCCTGGTGTCCCTTCCGATACTGCTAAGTTGCCTGAACCTGACCTTTTACCAACACTCTCCATATAACAGCTTGGAGGACGACTTATTGCACCACTTCTCGGTGTCCTTTCAGATGCTGCTAATCTGCTTACAGTACACTTGTCTGCATCTTTTACATCCTGAGAAGTCTGAGAAATTCCAGAAGGCAATTTTTTGTCTTTAGAAAATTTTTTACATGTAGTCTGTCCATTTTCAGAGTGTTTTTTACTATCTGGTTTGGATTTCTCAAGTGTAAATGAATCATCAGAAATTACAGACTCATCTATAACCAGGCTTTTTTCACTGTACTCTGAATCACTCACACTTGCATTCTCTGGCTGAGCAGAGTTGCTAACATCTGTTTTGTCTCTGCTGTTTTCAGCATTATCTCCTTCTATTGTACTTCGTCGAGAAGGTCCCAAGAGAGAGACTAAATACTGGATGTCTTCCAGCCAATCTTCTTCCAAGTACATTACAGCATCCTCTTTGCTAACAGCAAGCATTTGTTTATATTCATCATGAAGTCTGACAGAAGACGACATTAGAGTTCCAGCTGGAATGCGAATAGACTGTACCTTCCTCTCTGTCATCAGCTTTTCAACAGCTTTTAAAAGATCAGTAACAAACACATTACTACCCACTGCCATTTTGTTTTTAAGCCACTGAGAATATAGACAAACAATGTCTCCTCGGGTGATGGAGCCTTCCTTTCCCTTCGTCTTTACAAGTTCATTACCAAAAGCAGATGTGTTTTCTTTAATGTCAACTGATGGTGCCTGGGAGACTATTTTTTTTGCATAAGTACGGTTGCCCTTTTTTCTTTTGTCGGTTACATTCTTCACTTTTTTTAAGTTTTGTTTGTGTGACAGATGTTTCTTTTTCTTTGTGTTCTTCAGAAATGCATTTATAGCAGCCTTTCTTTTCTTCGGAAGTTCATATCCTTCACTTTGAATTCCACAGAATCTTTTAGGAAATTTAAATTCTTTCTGCAAAGTACTGAAATCTAAACTGTTTGTCTTGGCTGCTTTGCTTACTGATAACACCGCAGATAAAATATGTGTATAATCTTTTATTTCTAATCCAGACATTTGGAATAATCTGAGTGCCAAGGATGTTTTGGTAGCACCCCTTGACACATAGAAATCATGGAGTTCTTTCACCATTCCAATAGTTATATCAACATCCTTCTGACCATCTGAATTTATATCATCAACAGTCACTCCAGCCTCACAACAATAGTCTCCAAGATAGTAGTCAACCTCCTTAAACTTGGGAACCAAATGGCCATTAGTAAAAGTAAAAGAAATTAATGAATTATCAATAAATAGAAATTTTTTATATTTTCTGCATGTAAGTTCACCTGTAGATTTTGGAAATGGTGCAGAAATATTAGATGATGGCTTTGTTTGGCATTCCCCATAATTAACATGCACATTTTTATTTTCTACACTTTCCAAATTCTTTCTCTTTTCATGTAAATTCATTTGGCTGTAACTTGGTGGCTGAACAGATGGAGTGCTAGTAGGCATAAAAAGACTCTTAATCTCAATAGACTCAATTCCTCTAGCACTAAGCTTTCGAAGTCTTCCACTTTTACTCACACCAATTGTCCCAACAGGATTATTAGTTTCAGTAGACACACTTTGAATTCCCTCCAGTTTTACTGGTATGATTTCACATTTATTTTCTTCCACTAACTTACATTCAGATCTTGAAATCTGGTTGCTTTGTATTACAGGCTCTTCAAAACATATAACGTCTTCTTTTACAGGTAACGAAAAATCAGCTAAATCAAGTTTTTTTTCCTTTTCAAGGTCCCATCAGCTGCAGCATTTTCGTGCTCACATTTCTGAAACTCTGCTACTTTATGTTTTCTTAGTGAACTACTCTTTTCGAATAACAGAGGTGAAATGTGGGGACTGACACTACATGGCTGGCTGTCCTCAATCTCAATTTCTTCCTTAACAAAAATTGATTCCTCATTAACATCTTTTTTTAACAATGATGGCAAAACAAACTCCATTAGATCAAAAGCTCTTAGCCTAACATTAGCCCTTTTTTTTCCAGAAAATGTTACTGCAAGAGCCTTCCTTCGCTTGAGAACCAGATGAATTTTATTCAAATCTTCAGCTGTTGGTTCACCATCTTCAATGCCACTTAATCGTTGAAGCCACAGAGCAACATCAATTCGTTGCCATGAAATTCTCTTAGCAAATTCATCCAACTCATAAACAATGCCATTATTAATAGGAACACGCTTTAGCTTCATACTTTCCAAGAAACTAATGGTGCAGCCAACTCTACTGCATAGCTCTCCTATAAAGTCCTGCTTGTCAATAGCATTTATTTGATCTATGGATGGTAATTTCATCTCCTCCTCTATCATTTTCATGCAGCTTCTCGTCATCTTCCTGGGAAACACAGAATCTGTGTGGCTATCACTCACATTCTTGTCAACAGTGTCTTTGGTTTTCCAAGCAGATATTTCTACGTTGTCTAGCTTAGACTTTGTTTGATATTTTACATTTTTAACAAGTATTTCTTGGGATTCACTTTGGCATAGGCGCTTCTTTGGCAATGTTACTTCACAAGAACTCCGACACTTTGGAGTTATCGACAACGAACTGTCTGTATTGATATTAAAACTTTTTTTTTTTAAATCAGTGCTTGAATTTCCAACTCTCCTTCGTCCTCGTAGAGATGTAAGTGTTTTCTTTAAATTCTTAGTTGCCTGCTTACCCCTACGTGATAAAGACTTTCTATGTTTCTCACTTGAATCAGCTCTTATCAATCTCTCACTCTGCAAACATTCCTCAAAACTTTCCTTGACTGAACTTTCAATTAAGTCATCCCTGACAACAATGCTATCATCATTTGCATCCAAAAATCCCTCGAAAGTAACACTACTACTACAACTTGATTCTGAAAATCCCTCAAAGGTACTACCACTGGCCTCAGAAAACCCATCAAAGCTGGAACTAGAGTCATCAGGACTCCTCAACATTTCTTCCAGTGTGGGAGGATGCTGACGTATGTAGAAAGGTGATCCATCTTGTAGTTGTGAGACATAGACTGGCACGTCATCCACAATGACACAGTCCGTGTCAGAAGCGGTAGTATTATCTTCCATGGTATCCTCCTCAGGTAGCACAGGTTCTACATCATCTTTGGATAAAGCAGCAGCAGGAGGAGAAGCAGCAGGAGGAGAAGCAGTAGGAGGAGAAGTAGCAGTAGTTACATCCAGTGGATCAACCTGGCCATCACTCTCTAACACACTACACACACTATTCTCCTCCACTATAATCAGGGAATCCATCTTACTGGCCGACAATTACTTCACAACCCTCCTATCATCCTCGTCTAACACCTCAACAGTCTATAAACTATCTGTCGCAGAGAAATTTGGTATTTTTTTTACAATAAAATTGTTGATAGTTCTCAAGTGTTGATGGAGGAGGTAAACATGAGGAAGATGAAAAGCAGCGAAGGTCAAAAATAATCTACCTCCTTCAATATCATTGTTAAAAAGATATAAAAATAAAACAAAACTGTTTATTTCTTATAAACAGAGAGAAAACTTTGCAATAGTTATGTCTCCAGTTCATTAGTTACAGTTTTAGTGCAATCATAATATAACAATCTCTCTCTCATTTAAGACACACGACTCATCCTGGGGGATAATTAATTATCCCTGGATAATAAGGAAGTAGAATACTTACTTTACAATCACGACGGATCAATAACTGGGGTAGAATAACGCAATAATTAGTCAATATTCCTCTTAAGAATAAATGTAAACGCTATACAACCCAAACAATCTTAAGTATGAAAATAGCAAAATGCAAAACACAAAGTTCAACTTATGGGGACCCATAGCCTCGGAGAGACAAATGAAGATAAGATTTCGTTCGGATTTTTAACCTCGGAGGGTTAGCCACCCAGGATAACCCAAGAAAGTCAGTGCGTCATCGAGGACTGTCTAACTTATTTCCATTGTGGTCCTTAATCTTGTCCCCCAGGATGCGACCCACACCAGTCGACTAACACCCAGGTACCTATTTGCTGCTAGGTGAACAGGACAACAGGTGTAAGGAAACGTGTCGAATGTTTCCACCCGTCGGGAATCGAACCGGGCCCTCCGTGTGTGAAGCGGGAACTTTAGCCACCAGGCCACCGGGCCACCATGTTCATTTTAGCTACAGCTACACATAAACACAGTTACGCAACTTTAGATGATTACATTATTATTATAATCAAAAAGAAGCGCTAAGCCACAAGGACTATACAACTAGATGATTACAATTATCATACAGTGAGAAAATAAGAACATAAGAATGGGGGAATGTTGTACATGAACGGTACACAATACCGACAAGTTGAAAAAATCGACTATGGTGCTCTTCACACCAACCCCTAAGGCTGAGGGACATAACATAAGAAAGAAGGAACACTGCAGCAGGCCTACTGGCCTGTGCGAGGCAGGTCCAAGTCTCCTACCGGCTTAAGCCAATGCCCTAACCTAGTTAGGTCAGGTCACATTCACTTAAGGAAGGAGCACGGCATCTGACCTAGTAGCACAAGCTAGTCAGGTCCAACTCACATCCACCCGCACCCACATGTATTTATCTAACCTACTTTTAAAACTGCACAACGTTTTAGCCTCTATAACTGTACTCGGGAGTTTGTTCCACTCATCCACAACTCTATTACCAAGCCAGTGCTTTCCTATATCCTTCCTGAATCTGAATTTTTCCAACTTGAAACCATTGCTGCGAGTTCTGTCTTGGCTAGATATTTTTAGTACGCTATTTATATTCCCTTTATTTATTCCTGTCTTCCATTTATACACCTCGATCATATCCCCCCTAATTCTACGCCTTTCGAGAGAGTGCAGATTCATGGCCCTTAGTCTATCCTCATACGGAAGATTTCTGATACATGGGATCATCTTTTTCATCCTCCTCTGTACATTTTCCAGAGCATTTATATTATTATTATTATTATCAAAAAGAAGCGCTAAGCCACAAGGGCTATACAGCGCTCCTCAGCGCCCCTCACAGTCTAGCAGGAGTTTTGGCGAAATATTTGTCAAAGCTCCTGGGTACAATCAGTCAGGCTCATCTAAAGCATTCGGGTGACCTCCTTAACCGTATCAGGGATCTCGACATGAGTGACAAGAAGCTTGCAAGTTTTGACGTGACTGCCTTATTCACCAATGTCCCAGTTGATCAAGCCATTGATCTTCTTCGCAGGGTGATTAAACATGATACAGAGTTACCTGTACCCCGCCAAGATTTTGTGAGCCTTGTCGAACTTTGTGTTCGTTATAACTATTTTAGGTTCGAGGACAAGAAGTACAAACAACTCTTCGGAGTAGCCATGGGATCCCCCCTTAGTGCAGTTCTTGCCAATTTATATATGGAGGACTTGGAATCAAGAAGGATCCTCAGTAACATCCCTCGTTCAGTTACTTGGATGCGGTACGTAGATGATATTTTGGTCATTGTACCCAAAAATCTTGACGTACAGGGCATCCTCAACACCATCAACACTCTGGAACCTACTATTAAATTTACTCAAGAGGAGGAGAAGGACAACCAGTTACCTTTTCTCGACGTTCTCTTACGCACAGGGGAAAACAAACTTTCTTTTAAAGTTTACCGGAAGCCTACCTACAAGAATGATCTACATTTCTTCTCTCACCATGACACAAGAACTAAAAGAGGGGTAGTTATTGGCTTCTTTCTGAGAGCCTACAGAATTTCCAGTCCGCAGTTCCTCGAAGAAGAATGTACATACATCACCAACTCTTTTAATTCACTACACTTTCCCCTACACTTCATACGTGACTGCAGGAAACGTGCAACACGTATCCTCAGCAAGACCAACACCTATCAAATTGAAGAAAAACCTCCAAGTTACATCGTTTTACCGGTCAGCAACGTTGCCACTAATGTTTCAAAAATGTTTGACAGAAAACTGGCTAAAATATCTACCAGCTCTTCAACTACTATTAGGAACCTGATACAAAAACCCAAGCATGATTCTGGCACAAGTGCAGGAATCTACACTATACCATGTGGGGGGTGTGACAAAGTATATGTAGGGGAAACAGCCAGAACTCTGGACATTAGGATAGCAGAACACAAAAATGCTTGCAGAAATGATGACCGCAAAAACGCATGTGTTCAACATAGAGACGATGAACATCAAAATGGTATATAATACCGACAGGTTGTTAGGTAAGACACATATGCAACAGTTAGACAACTTTATTCCGAAACGTTTCGCCTACACAGTAGGCTTCTTCAGTCGAATACAGAAAGTAGGCAGGAACAGAAGAGATGTGAAGACGATGTAATCAGTCCATCACCCTTAAAGATGGACTGATTACATCGTCTTAACATCTCTTCTGTTCCTGCCTACTTTCTGTATTCGACTGAAGAAGCCTACTGTGTAGGCGAAACGTTTCGGAATAAAGTTGTCTAACTGTTGCATATGTGTCTTACCTAACATAGAGACGATGTTGGACACCTCATGAAATTCAATGAAGCTAAACTAGTTATTAAAGAAGACGACTTAAGACGGAGAAAATGCATTGAAGCTGCACTAATTTCTGTCAGTAACACTATAAAGCAAAAATCCGGTAGTTACAGTATTTCAAAATTACTAAGCAAGAGGATATTACCCATCCTGGGAACTGGTGTTACATGATGCCAGCAGGTCCCTCTCTAGCCTTACCTCCTTAGTTCCATTACTACTACTACTACTACTACTACTACTACTACTACTACTACTACTACTACTACTACTACTACTACTACTACTACCACCTCTACCCATGCGTCACCTCACCTGACTCCTGCCACTATATATATGTGTTTTCTTAGTTTTCTCTGTATTAGGACTGAAGAAGCCACTCGTGGCGAAACGTTTCCTTTAATAAATGTCCTGAACTGTACATAAGTGTCTTTTTCCACATCTTGTCGGTATCACCATACCATTTCCTCAGCGCTCAGAGCATTTATATCCATTCTGTAATACGGTGACCAGAACTGAGCAGCATAGTCTAAATGAGGCCTAACCAAGGCTATATAGAGTTGAAGAACAACCTGAGGACTTCTATTATTTATACTTCTAGATATGAAGCCAAGAATTCTGTTAGCTTTATTGTGAACGCTAACGCACTGTTGTTGTCTTAGTTTTAGATTACTGCTAACCAGAACTCCTAAATCCTTTTCGCAATCAGTAGTATTAAGATCTACATTTAGTTTATATATGGCATGGTTATTTTCCTGTCCAACATTTAGAACTTTGCATTTGTCTATATTAAACTGCATCTGCCACTTCTCCGACCACTGCATCAGTCTACTCAAATCTTCCTGGAGTGCTCTAATGTCCTTGTCAGAATGAATTTGACGGCCTATTTTGGTGTCATCAGCAAACTTGCTTATGTCGGTGATGAATGGTTTTTCAAACCATTCATCACATATGTCGTTTATGTAGATTGTGAACAACAGGGGGCCCAACACTGACCCCTGTGGAACACCGCTCGTGACGCTTCCCCACTCTGATTTCTCCCCATTTATGCAAACTCTGCTGCCTATTTGTCAACCATGCCTCTATCCAGGAAAAAATTTCTCCCCCTATTCCATGTGCCTTAATTTTCCTCAATACTCTTGGATGTGGGACCCTGTCAAAAGCCTTACTGAAGTCCATATACACAATATCATATTCATTACCATGATCTACCTCCTCAAATACCTTAGTGAAAAAAGTTAATAAACTCGTAAGGCAGGAACCCCCCTTTGTAAATTATTATTATTGTTAGGTAAGACACATATGCAACAGTTAGGTATCTTTATTTCGAAACGTTTCGCCTACACAGTAGGCTTCTTCAGTTGAGTACAGAAAAGTTGATAGAAGCAGAAGATACTTGAAGACGATGTAATCAGTCCATCACCCTTGAAGTTTTGAGGTGGTCAGTCCCTCAGTCAAGGGGGAAGCGCTAAACCCGGAGGATTATACAGCGCCTGGGGGGGATGTGGAAGGCATTCAGGCTTAATTCGGGGAACTGGAGCACAGATCCAATTATCTAAATCAAGAGCCCCTCAGCAACATCAAGGAACCTTCCTTGAGGGGCAAGAGCCCCTCAGCAACATCAAGGAACCTTCCTTGAGGGGTAAGCCCCTTTGTAAAACCATACTGAGATTCGTTGATTAATTTATGCTTTTCAAGGTGGCTACAAACTGCCTCGGCAATTATTGATTCCATAAATTTTCCCACTATGGAGGTTAGGCTTATTGATCTATATTATTATTATTAAAATCAAGGGGAAGCGCTAAACCCGGAGGATTATACAGCGCCTGGGGGGGATGTGGAAGGCATTCAGGCTTAATTCGGGGAACTGGAGCACAGATCCAATTCCCTACCTGGAGTTTACCTGGAGAGAGTTCCGGGGGTCAACGCCCCCGCGGCCCGGTCTGAGACCAGGCCTCCTGGTGGATCAGAGCCTGATCAACCAGGCTGTTGCTGCTGGCTGCACGCAAACCAACATATGAGCCACAGCCCGGCTGATCCGGAACTGACTTTAGGTGCTTGTCCA